CGAAAAACTGCACCATCAACGGCTGCCATTAACAGCCTGTCTCTCTTGAGCCCCTCTCACATCACCACTCATCTCATCACTCACATCGTCATTCATCTCACCACTCATCTCATTACTCATCTCACCACTCATCTCAGGCAGTATGAGGAAACATGCTTTGGCCCGACGCCACATGCAGTCTGACCACCTGCATCCTTCTCTCCCGGTTCCAATTCCCCGGAAATAGGTAGACCCCTCCATAAAGACGGCCAAGTCTTGGTACCAGGTGAGATGCACGCCGTTCCTGCGTCTTGGCCTGCAACTGTTTAGCCAACAGCCCAATCATTCATTCCCCTCTATCGAAAGGCCTCAGTTCCCATCCCTCGAACCGTCCCGACTCTGCGATCATCAGGGGCTACTAGCGCTCACAGGATCCGGCCCGCCGCTGTGGCCCACTGCGGGGAAACTAAACTAGTGTGGAATGTCTCAAGGGACCGCGCCGCTAGCGACGGTTCATCCAGAGCACTGGGTTGTTCGTGCCTTTATTGAGTTTCGCCACCTAGAAACGCTCTCCTTTTGAAACAAACTCAAGACCAAAAGAGAGGAAGAGAGAGAGAGAGAGAGAGAAGAGGGGGTTTCCCGGCGACGTGGGTGAGACTTGAACATAACTCTGCCACCGAACACATGGCTATCAGCCACGTCCCGAGATGCCATGACAGCATAAAAAACATATCATCGTCCACAAATGCAGACAGACGTGGAAGCTCATTATGGACACAGCTCCCCGTTCTCAGGTACGCACTCGCGAAACGCAAGTACCCACCGCCATCGACGTCTTTCTATTAAAAGCTTTCCTCTGGACATGGGGGTTGACTGTGCAGGAACCGCAGAGGGGACAGTGTCCGACTGCACGTCGCCATCATCAACCTGGGCACCAGGGATCGACAGAGAGTAAGGGGGAGGAACATGGGTTTTTTTTCTCTCCTGATTTTTTAGACTTTGAGCTCCATGTCTCAAAACGCCGCTCGATGCTACAGCGCCACCAGGGCACCCCTCGTCGCCTTGGCAGAGCGAGCCTGTTGATCGTTTTCTGTTGACTGTGATTATCTGTCCCCTTTTTCGAATCACGCATAAACACAATCGCAAACACGCTTCTTCTTTTCCGTTCATTTCTTTTCATGACGAACGACGCTGGCCGCGAGCATTGGACGAACGATTACCCTGCATCGGAGTCTCGTCGTCTCATACCCACCTACGATCCTTCCGTCCTTCTTGGCTTCCCTTCCAATTGAGGCATTACGAGAGAGAGGGAGAAAGAGAGAGCGAGCCGCTTGATAGTTTGGCTTACGGCTCGAGGGGCTTAGCCGCCCATCTCCCTCGAGTCGTTCATCGTGAGGCCATCACCGCGACACTCCCAATCCCGCTGCAGCGCAGCACCCACGTCACATCACATCACATCACACCACACCGTCCCCAGCCATGACCTCATTCCTGCACCGCTGGTCGCGGGTGCGCTCCCTCGTCCTCAGCCTCGTCACTGTGGTCTGCCTCATCTACATCCTCGACACCGCCTGGCTCCATCCGCACACCGAATCTGCCTTACTCGAAAAGTACATGAACCTTGACAACGTCCCGCCGCCCCCCGTGACGCCCAAGCCCGCCTTTGACTGGTCCTCCGTCCCCGTCAAGTACCCGCCCCCGACGCCGCTGACGCCCGTCCCCGTCGGCCGCCCCGGTAACTCCCTGCCCCGGGTTCAGCACCGCTTCCCGACCGAGTCCTTCTCCGCCTCCCGGGTCCGCGAGGCCCGCCGCCGCGAGGTCCGCCAGCTCTTCCGCAAGAACTGGGCGAGCTACAGGGAATTCGCCTGGATGAAGGACGCCCTCAACCCCATCTCCGCCACCCCCAAGGACCAGTTCTCCGGCTGGGCCGCCACCCTCGTCGACTCGCTCGACGTCCTCTGGATCATGGGCCTCAAGGCCGAGTTCGACGAGGCCGTCGCCGCCGTCGCCACCATCGACTTCAGCCAGTCGTCCTCGAACCGCGTCAACACCTTCGAGACCAACATCCGCTACCTCGGCGGCCTCATGGCCGCCTACGACCTCAGCAGGCGGCCCGTCCTGCTCGCCAAGGCCGTCGAGCTCGGCAACCTGCTCTACGGCGCCTTCGACACCGAGCACCGCATGCCCGTCGACTTTATCGACTTCGCCGCCGCAAAGGCCGGCAAGGGCCTCATCGTCGAGGGCTCCGTCGTCTCCGCCTCCCCCGGCACCCTCTCCCTCGAGATGACGCGCCTGTCCCAGCTCACCGGCGACCCCAAGTACTACGACGCCGTGGCCAAGGTCATGGACCTCTTCCACGACGGCCAGCAGAAGACCAAGCTGCCCGGCATCTGGCCCATGTACGTCTCCATGAGCAACCGCGACGTCACCTCGGGCTCGACTTTCACCATCGGCGGCAGCGCCGACTCGCTCTACGAGTACCTCCCCAAGATGATTGCCCTTCTCGGCACCCGCGAGCCAAAGTACCAAGCCATGACGGAGAACTTCCTCAAGGCCGCCAACGAGTCGCTCTTCTTCCGCCCCATGCTTCCCGGCGAGGAGAACATCCTCATCTCCGGCAACGTCAACATCGACGCCAACGGACACCCCGTCCTCGACCCCGAGAGCGAGCACCTGACCTGCTACATCGGCGGCCTCTACGCCCTCGCCGGCCGCCTCCTCGGCAGGGAGGAGTGGGTCACGGTCGGCGGCCGCCTGGCGCTGGGCTGCTTCTACGCCTACCAGGCCATGCCGACCGGCATGATGCCGGAGCGCTATAACATGATCCCCTGCGACCGGAGGGACGAATGCAAATGGGACGAGGCCAAATGGGACGCCGGCAAGAAACTGCGCCCCGAGTACAAGGCGCACCTGCCCAAGGGCTTCACGACGGCGAAGGACCCGCGTTACATCCTCCGCCCGGAGGCCATCGAGAGTATCTTCATACTGTACCGCATAACGGGCGACCGCGGCTTCCAGGATGCGGCGTGGGAGATGTGGAAGGCCGTCAGCAACGGGACGCTCGTCGACCGGGGCAACGCCGCCGTCTTGGACGTCACCCAGAAGAAGGACTCCTTGCCCAAGGAGGACTACATGGAGGTAAGCGGTTCTGTGTCCGGAGTCAGGGGAGATTGAGGTAGATCGCTAACGCTGCATGATGAACGTCAGAGTTTCTGGCTGGCGGAGACACTGAAGTACTTCTACCTTGTGTTCTCGCCGCCTGACCTGATTAGTCTCGACGACTACGTCCTCAACACGGAGGCACATCCTTTCCGGAGGCACCGCTGAAAAACTTGGCTTATGGCGCGTTGGGTGTTCAAGGCGTTGCTGCAAAGAGGGCGGCGGTTGACTCCGCGAGGCCGCGCTCGCGGGTCAGTCTTTTTTTTGGGGGGTACTTTTTAATCCATCCATGGACAAGTTACCCATGGTGTTTTGCGTTGATACGTCAATATGAGACGGCGCTGTCCCGTTATCGGGAGGGTTTAGGAAAAGAACAGATAAATATATCCAGTCAGTAGGGGGGGCAGGGGGGCCGGTTTCATTGCGCTCGCCGGGGTAGAGATACTCTACACAGACCGCTGGGTATTGGCCCTGATATTCGTTCGTCTTGCTGCGTGTGGTACTGATCCATGACATTGGGTAGTCAATGATCGCCGGGATCATGAGCGGGCGTCCTAGGTAACACCCCCTTGGGTCGCCAGTGCAGTTATTGTCTCCAACGCCTTTGCGCGGCCTGCGTTGTGGGAAAGCCTCCGACAAACGAGCCAGTCTTTCACGATGCCGCGGGGCATGCATCACTTGGGCACTTGAAGCGGACCAAAGCAGTTAGTGGTAGGGTTTCTATCTTCCATGTTGGGGGCACCCCCTCCCCTGACTCCGTGTGGATTTCACCAAGTCTAGAGACAGATACGAATAGAAATAGGATACTAGAAAGAGACTCCGGTCGAGCAGCGCCTCGTTCAATGACCAGGCCGGGACTGCAGGCATCGCCGGGCAACATGTGTGAGTCGATGACGCCTAAAAGGTTCTGGACCCAACTGCTGGCCTACGAGGCGTTGCTGCTGCAGCTGCAGACATCTCTTCTTGGGACTTTGGTCAAACAGAGATCTGGAAAAGCTTGATTCCAGGCGGGATATTGTGCGCATATAATCCAACTAGTGATCTAGCCGGAACCCGACTCGTCTGAGGGCTCTCTCACCAGGGAATTTGCGAAACGAAGCAATCGGATGTCCAATCTGTTGCTGGACGTCACAGCTGTCCACAGGTCAACCAATGGTGTATAGATCTCACCATCTTTAGACGCCTTACCAAAGCAAGGCTTTATATTCTCCCTGGCTCTGTTCCTCTACTTCACGACCGCTCGCACGATGCTAAACCCCATGCTCCGGCTGGGGGCCTTGTTGAGAGAGGCTTGTATGCTACTCTCATGAGTTCCCCAGTCCTGGAATCTCAACCGCATAAGTCTCGGCAACTAAAGTTCGGGCAGGACAACGCTCAGTCTCCAAAGGCTCACCATAGTATCCAGCTCCGAAACGGCCTGCAGCCCTTGATAAGAACCTTCCTTTCGCGTGGGTGCGCAAAGCACTTCCTTCAGAGTCCTAATATTGAAATATTTTCGGCCAAAAGCCTAATTAACTTAACGCCAAAGGGAACCTCCCCCGAGCCGTCAGCTTTTGGCCTCGATTAGATTCCTTGATCAGCTTGAACATCTTGTCTATTCATTAACAAGCATATCTAGCAACATATATTGAAGAACGAATTGATTGGCTCAAATGCATGAAGCCCTGCAAGGCGTTCCGCGATTGGCAGGAACGTATGATTGGCAGATGGTGTGCGGCTGATGACATCTCTCATCGCCTCTCCGCTTTAAGCCATCAGGCTGGCGAGCCTAGCACTTCGTCTTTGTATTTCCATAGCGAAATCACGTTCCGAGAGACGATAGTGGCGCTCTTTAGGTGCATGACCTCCATCCCCGGCTCACGATGGCAGAGTCATTGGCGGCGCTCGGCGTCGCCGCCAACATCGTTCAGTTCCTCGAGCTCGGGCTCAAAGCGGCCGTATCCATCGTCGAGATCTACCGTAGCGTCAACGACGACGGCTGGACGGCGCGTAACGCCGACCTGGACTCGATGGCGAAGGACCTCCGAGATCTCTGTGACCGCCTCAAGAAGGACGCGGACGTCAAGCTAGACCCTGCCATGGAGCGCCTGCTTCAGAGGTGCATCGACACGGCGGACGAGCTCAGTCTGGAACTTCGGCGGCTGGTCGGAGAAATTGCCACAAGATACCAGAAATGGGCAAAGTTCAAAATTTCACTTGCGGCTTACTTCAAAAGAGGCAAGATTGACGAGGTTCGGGCACGACTGGTGGAGATTAGAACACGCGTCTTTGAGCACCTCCAGATCCTCCTACAGTATGTTCGTCCGGCTTCTAGACACATCGTCTATTGTGGTTTCCGAATACGCCGATACTGACTGGTTCTATTAGCGATAATCGTATATCGCTGTCCAAATCTATGCGTTGCCTAGAAGAAACATCCGAGGCCTGGAACCGAACCACGGAGAAGAGACTGAACGCGCTGGCCCATGATCTCAGTAATCTTTGTCAGTCTCAGTCGGTAGCAGCAGCATCAACTGAGGGTCTCAGGATATTCAGTGAGACATGGGCACGTGTTGCTGAGGATGCCCAGAACCAGGCTACCGTTGTTGCAATTCTGACGAGCCTTAAGTTCACGCAGATAAAGGAACGGCAAAGTGAAATCCCGAAAGCCCATCGCCGTACCTTTGAATGGGTCTTCAGTGACGACACTCCCGTTCGCTTGTCGGCTTGGCTCCGCGGGTCGAGCGGTCTGTTTTGGATCACGGGGAAACCCGGGTCTGGGAAGTCCACCCTAATGAAGTTCATCCTCAGTCACGAACATACCATGTTTCTTGCGAAGGATTGGGCCAGCCCAGAGCCACTCATAGTGGCTAGTCACTTCTTCTGGAGCGCTGGCACGACCATCCAAAAATCCCAAGAAGGTCTGCTGAGAACGCTATTATTTCAGATCCTGGTGAATTGTCCCGAGCTTATCCCTTCTGTCTGTCCAACGAGGTACTCCAGCCCATTCAAGCGCCTAGAATCTTGGAGTATTGAAGAGCTTTCCGAAGCCTTCGGCAGACTCAAGGATATCCGACCGTTACCGAGCCGGATCCTGCTGCTGATCGATGGACTCGACGAGTACAACGGCAACCTTGGCGATCTGGTCCAGTTCCTAAGGTCCGCGTCCGATTCTCCGTATATAAAGACGTGTTGCGCAAGCAGGCCGTGGCCTGTATTCACCAACGGGTTCGAGAATGTCTCCGGTCGGATTTACATGCACGAGCTCACCGCAAACGACATGAGGCGATACACCCGGGACACACTCAACCAGCACAGCCATTTCAAGATGCTCAAACGAAGCCAAAAGTTGGAGGCTTCCAACCTCGTCAAAGAAATTGCGGAAAGGTCTGAAGGCGTCTTTTTCTGGGTCTCGCTCGTGGTCAGGTCGCTTCTGCGCGGCCTGGACAACGGAGACGACGTCGCTATACTGCAGCAGCGACTCTCAGAGTTTCCCTCGGACCTCGACAAGTTCTTCCAACGTATGCTGGACACCATAGACTCGGTGTACAAGGACAGAGCGGCCATGGTGTTCTCGATGCTGCTGCTGGCGAACTCGTCGTTGCCTCTGGTGGTGTTTGTGGAGCTGGATCGGTTGGTTGCCGCGATGAACGAGTACGGGAACCGCCACGAAGCCATGGGGAGTTTGTCCGGTGGTTCACTTTTGCGGACGAAGCATTCCCGTCACGATTCCCGGGCCCATGTCCTCTCGGAATTTCTTTTGAAAGACGCGGGCAGCCTTCCTGACAATCTAAAACGCTACCAGCAGCATGACCTCTCCGTGACCAAGATCAAGAGGAGAAAAGACCAGATCCTAGCACAGTGCCGCGATCTGGTCCAGGCTTGGGAGGTCGCGGGGCCCTACGGGCTTCAGCACAACCTGAGGCTAGGCTTCCTTCACCGCACAGTTGTGGAGTTTCTCTTGCGAGCTGCGGAGAACCAGTGGCGATCCACGCTCCCATTCGAACGCTACCTGCTTGCAAGATCATTCCTCGGTTTCATTGAAGATGGCAGCGTTACGCGGCAATGGACTCGCGAGTTCGTATTGAGGTTCTTGTACACATTACAGGGAGCGGATCTTCAGGAGACCGTAGAGAGCCGGCATTTGACCGTAGAGTTGCTCTATAGGCTACTCTGGTACATCCACTCCAACATTCTTCCCGGCATGGACGTTACCTTCTTGGATCAGATAGGGGCAGTGGAGCTTCTCTTGAGGCAAGCAGTTGCTCGTACGTTGATTGACCGAAGGCCAGAGGCTCTGCAGTCCTTCGAGGTGTGGACCGACCTCTCGAAATGTCATCCGACCAGCTTGAGATTGTTGCCCTGGTACTTGTGTGACTCGGGATACGTCGAGGTCGGGGAGTGGGCGCAGGTCTCCTGGCCGCGCGTCGTGGACCTAGAGGTTCTCGAATACCTGCTTAATCACCAGCTCATACACTATATACATCGCCACCACCCCTTCGCGTTTTCGACATTACTCGTGACTCTCTCCAACGAGAAGTTGACGAGGCCGCGGAACGACCTCCAGGTGTGCAAGATGCTAATCGAGCACGGCTTGGCCGGGCCGGCGGAAGCTAACAAGCCCGCCAGGTCGCGCGGCATGAGCCCCGCACAAGTCATGTATGAATCGGCCAGCGACTCGGCTCTGACGCAGAGCTCCACCATCGAGTGGTTGCGCCTCAACCGGGTCTTCTCGGAAAGCGGGCTGCGGGAGCTCGAAGAGGCGTTCCCGCTGGAAAGCGCGCCAACGCCTATGACATTGCTGTACCAGAAGGAAAGGGAGGAGCGTAGTAAGGTGGGTTTCTTGCGCCGCCTACTGTCGTAGGATAACGAAACGTCAGACTGGCAGTGTATCGACTGTTGGGTTTTTTTTTGACTGTTAACATGCTCCCGCGGCAACCCAGCACTTGATTTTGATCTGGATCCTGGTCTTGATGCTTTGGGAAATGGGCGGTGCCTGGTCGGTGAAGCGACTGGCGAGCGACGAGGCGGGCAGGGTTTGATGCTCCATCAAGCTGGACGAGACAGGACGGCGCGAATGGTTACGTGTACCTCGACGGGCGTGAAGGCGCCCAGACTGAGGTGCCGAGTCGCAGCCATGGTTTTGTCATGTAAGCGCGCTGGCCAGTTCTCGCTGTGAGATTGGGCCGACAGTTGTCTATCTGCATGTCAGAGTTGGGCCGGCATCAGAGTGAAGAAGTCAACCATAGGATCACTTAGCTGTGTAAGGTATTATAAATAACATAGTAGGTTGATAGGTGGATAGGCAGATAGGCAGATATGCAGATAGGCAGATAGGCAGATAGGCAGGTTTGGTGGATTGCTAGTATCTGAACAGCAATAAGGGTACCAATCAATCAACTAGGATTACTCCGAGAGGCTCATATTTATAAGGTATTTGCACCGAAACATCATGATAACCGATTTGCTTCGCCCTGGGTTATGTGAGGCAGACCTCATGTGACCCTTGTTGCTGTTCAAATACTAACGATTAGCTTGTAAACAGACATCAGCTCGTTTCAGCTAAGATGTTCACATAATATGCCGAAAGAGAGCATAGTGTTAATGCTCATCATTGAACATTTGGTCATGATTCTACAACAAAAAGGAAGAAAGACGGGAAACAGTGGTTTGCGATTCAACAGTAGCACGCCGACGGGGAAAAAACAGCTTCAGATGCCCTTTCGGAAGCCTCACATCACCCGGCCTCCAGAACTAATGAAAGTCAGACATATCATGATCACCGTCCGTGTCGATGATACCCGGATTGCTCATCAGGCTGTCCCCCAGATCTGGTCTTGTCAAAAAACCTCGGTTCGGTCCTTGACCCGGCCGCCAGCCCATTCGCTGTGCTGGTATGTCCCGGCCGCGGGACATAGCAGACGTACCTTGTGGAACAGCCTGGTCCCTGGGCATCGCCAACAGCACCGAGCTTTCGTTATGTGTACCCTGATGCTGCTGGTTCGGGCTCCCGTCAACAAAGGCCGTAGTCGTCTCGGGGGAGCCCCCCACGCGTCGGTTCAGTAACCCGATCCCGTGTGTACTCGTCCCTCCGAGACGCTGCGGCGGCGACGACCCCAGAACGCCAGGCGGCGAGTAGGTCCCCGGGTCAGGTATACGGTATCGGCCGTTTTGATCCGATTCGGGTGAGTTAGGAATCAAGGGCGCCGGATCGCGCGGCACGTCCTGGAACCCCTCGCGCCTCCTGAACGCCAGCGGGGAGACCGGCGTCGGCGTCGGCGTGGCTGACCGCGCTGCGAGCGCATCCCTCATGTCCCTCTCGGCCAGCAAGTCCTCGGTGAACGACGCCGACAAAGCTCCCGGATGCGGGAAGATGCCCATGGTTTGGGGGCCCCTAGGCGTCAAGTTTGGGAACGCATTGACGATCGGCGGCGGCGGCTGCGGGCGAGGGCATGAGAAGAGGTCAGGTTTCTCCGGCTTGGCTAGAGGGAAGGCGAAGGACGGAAAGGCGGCAAAGGGATTCGCCAACCGGGGCTGCAGGTCGGGATCGGCCACTGACGGGCTTATCTTGGAAGCTTTTGTGTCCCTCGAGGGCCTGCGCGGCTTCGGCCCCGTGGGTTTTGACAGCGGCCGCGGATGCTCGAGCTCTGCGGGGGCCAACTGTGCCGTGTATATCCTCCTGCGCTTGAGAACGTGCTTTCTCGACGGCAGGTCGTCCTTCGCGTTTTTCCTCTTTCTGATGATCCTAGTGAGCGGGTCGTTGTCCTCGTCGGAGTCCTCGTCAACCGAACGCGGGGCATGCGAGGCCTTCATCTGGGCGACGATCGCCTCGAGGTGCTCTCTCTGGTCCCTGACCAGATCGATCCTGATGTTTTCCGCCGCTTTAAGCTTGTCCCGGACGAAGAGAAGGAAAGGCTGGATCTCGGCCAAGCACGCTACCGGCATCAGGTCGATCTCCTTTTGCGCGAACTTGACAATACGCATCGAGGCGGGCCGTTTCGCCTTCCTGATGTTCGGGATCATCGGCTGCAGACGCTGAAAATTGTTTGGGTTGATCTCTCTGACGTCCCTGGCCCAGGGGATGAGCTCCCTGATCTTCTCTATGAGCACCATGAAGCTCTGGGCAAAACGGGGTTTCACGTCGAAGGAGGCTTTCAGGCGTGAGATGCCCTTGTAGCAGACAAGTGCGTTGTTGCATTGTTTTGCCAGAACAACGAGACGGTTGGCGAGTTGGTCGACGACTCGCCGCTGCTTTGACCTCTCGCGCTCCTCGGGAGATAGCTGGTATATGTCCAGGTATAGCTCATGGACGCAGTCGATCTCGAACGACAATCGGTCATACATCTTCCGGAAGAGGTCGTCGAACCTCTGCCGCGCGTACGTGCCCACTTCTCCGATGCGATCCCAAAAAGTGTTGTCGTCCTGTAGCCTCTCCGAACCACGCGGAAGCGTAAACGGTATCCTAGCGCACGAGCTTCTGAGCTTCTGGACGAGAGCCCGATACCTCTGCAGAGTGACTGCTTTCCAGGAGTCACAACGCTCGGCAATGTCCTCTTTCTTCCGATTGGGAGACGTGTACCACAAGAGATTGCTAAGGATCTCAGCCTCCATGATGGATATGTCGAGCTGCTTCACGGTCAGTTCAATCTCCTCTAGCCTGGAAAAGAGGTTCTCGTGGTCCTTCTGCCACCGGAAGTGCACAGAGTGGTAGCGGAAATACTCCCCCAGGAGCCGTTCCAGGAACTCCCAAACGATGGCGCCGGCCCTCTGCAGCTTTTCCTTGTCCGGCCAGAGGGCCACCATCATCTTGCCGAGGTCCGTGGTGTTGTTCTGCAGGCTGGCCAGGGGCAGCTCATCCATCACGAACCGGACCCGCGTCGGGTGAGTTGTGCCGAGCCGCAGAGCGGCGCTGCCGAACTTTTGCACCTCGGAGCGCCAGAAACCCTCGGAGAAGAAGCGCGCAATATCGACAACCTTGACGGGCAGCCGGTACGTGTCGGCTGGCATCGGCGGCGTGCGCAGGACCATGTCCGCGGGGTTCTCGCGGATCTCGCTCCACGTCTGCATGCGGTCGTTGTCGTACTTGAACCCCGTCGGCCATCGCATCATCAGAGACCCTGAAGGTAGGAAGTGGAGGTGCTTCATTGGCATGTTTGACTGGCAGATGGCTTGCCAGTTGGAACCACCAAAGATCTGGCGTCGAGGGAGTTGGTCTCAGTTTTAAGCTCGCCAATCATGCGAGGTCTTTCATCATTGGCGGGAGAGTGAGTGACTTACATGGTTTTCAGTACTATGGCCAAGTTCACTTTTCTGCTCATTTTCAAAGTATGGCTCGATGGGATTCCGGTTCTTCAAAGTCTTGCTCCCAAAGAGACTCACACCAATATCGCTAAGGGCTTGCTTCAAATCCGGTCGTGCTTGCAATTCTGGTATAAGCTCAGCAGTTGGCCCTGGTGTGTGTAGCCAATGCATATGTGCGTAGTTGACGGCGTGCTGGTTGGTGAGCTTTAGTCCTTTGTGCACCACTCGAGAGCAATTCCCAGTCACTTTGAATAACGCTTAATAGAGTAGTACAAAACCGGGAAGAACATACAGCGATTTCGTGAATGATAGTGGCTGCTAAGGAAAACTGGCTCATGATTTTCTCATCCTGGCTGTAGCCATCTACCATCAGCGGCCACATGGCGTCCACCGAGAGCTTGACGACGATCTTGTCGCCTTCGGCCGTCGTAGATCCCGCTAGTGTATCGCCATCGGAGCTGGAGCCGAAGGCGCTGCCGAGCTCGAACTGCATGCAGGAGTCCAGCGTCCTCCAGGTCGCACCGATTGCGTCAACTGCAGCGCGAACGTGGTCGTCGGCTACGGTTATGCTGGATGTGTCGTTTTGTAAGCGAAAGTTCCACGCCGAGTACGTCCTCCTCCTGTGAGGCGGCCTGGGGTCGCGGTTGGATGCCACGCGGACTCTGTTGAATACGTCCATCAGCCGTGCCCAGTAGGGATCGTGATGCTCGAGAAAAGTAAGGATGCGAGAAGCGGCTCGCAGCGCGGGTTGCATCCTTCGCCAGAGATCATCGTTCGTCTGTGTGTGCATCAGGTCAGCTGACAGATGCCCTGTTGAACCTCGTGCAAAAGCTTTTCTTTACTATTGGGTCCCATTCTCCCTTGAAGTTACCGGCTTGATAGACAAGCCTTGGGTTCTCGGGCTCGTCCCCGCGCCACGTTGCAGTGTTCCACTTGCTTCGTTGTAGAAGCCTGTGGTTAATGTTTCAGCATTGTTGAGACCCAGCATGAGGAAGGTGAACGTACCTATGTAAGCTGTTTTCCAAGTTGCAGCCAAAGGTGTTCTTCAACGACAATATTCCATCGTCCAAGAGCTTGCCATCTAATCAGCTCGCATGCTACAGTTGACGCCAACAAGAACCCTACCTCTTGGGTGGTCACACCCCCCAAAACCAGAGACTGCCAATCTTCGTCATCCTGCATATTCTGCATCGCCAGGAGCACAAACTTCTTCGTCTCGGACGGTTGCTTGGCACCGCCCGTCGTTGTTATTTGCGAGTACTTCTCGAGCAGCGCGTCGACGTCGTCCACACCGGCGTTTGACGCGTACTTCTCGGCCTGTCTCGCGATGTACTCGCCCTTGACGTCAATGCTGTCGACGCTGTCGACCCTGAACCGCCGAAACGTCGAACGCGTCGGTGAGAGCCGGGAGCGCCCGTCGGTGCGGTCGGGGTGGATGCCAAACCGGAGCGCGAACGCGGTTGGATTCTGGCTGCGATCCTGCGGCAGCTGCGCGGGCCGCAGCCTGTTCAGCAGGCCCTTTTTACGGACAAGGTGGCCTAGGTCCTCGTCGACCACGACGGTGTCGTGGCCGTCCCATAGCGGGTCGGTCCAGGCGGGGACGAACTCGATGAACTCCCAAGTTCCCTGGTTCGCGAGCTTCGCGGGTGGCGGCGGGACATGCAAAGATGCGTGCTGGCGTCCTGGCCTTTGGCTGGCGTTATGCTGGATCGAGTTGTCGTGTGACCGCGTTGCGTTCGCCAGTATTTCGTCTGTTACGCCATTGCTATTTTTCTCGTCGTCGTCGTCGTCATCATCGAGGCCATGCTCTGGGTATTCTCGACTGTTGTTCTGGTACCAGTGCTCGTCATATTGCAGTAGTGCCTGAACGGCCTGGTCAGAGGTCGTATCCATCGCGTATGCGTTACATGCAGATGTCGTTTCTGTTGAGTCAATAGAACCGTAGAGCTGTGGGGACGAGGATACGATAGTTTCCACAGACTACAGTGAACCACGAGGCGAGTACCATCACATCAGTCAAACTAGGGGTGCAGACTTTTTGGCGTTCGCTACTCCATCCATTGTCCAAGCCAGCACGACCTCCCCCGACAATCATGTTGACACGTATGATATTGCATATGGTATCTCTTGCCCACAATGACTTCTTTGGGTCTAGTTCTAGATGTTTCGCGTTCAGTGTTAGAATTTGGACTCCATCTTTCCCGGTTCAAAACAATGGGCTTTGACAGGTATAGGACTGGGAGCCTACCCTTACTCGTGTCATCATTTCGAGAAATATTGCACCTGGCACCCAAGACTTGCGAAAGACGTAGTGCGACGGGACTTGGACCGGCAAACATTCAAAGTTGGACCGACGGAACTAGCTGCAATGGCTTGTCTGTATCAAGTGCTGCTAGAACAAAGACAAAACCCGTTTGTCAGGGTTTGCGCACTGTAGCAGTTGCTAATATCTGGTGCCAGTATCGGATGGTCCTGTACCCTGCGGAAATAGACGCAAAACTGCCTCTGTTTGGCCGTTTGCGGTCGATCAGTTTTGTGTAAGTGATAGTATCTCCCTGCAGAGAAATGATCAAGTAATACATATCACTCGGTCAACAGCAGAACAGACAGCCGTGCCTGCTTGCTTTGAGATGCCAACCACCTTCCTGGTCTGGAGAACGCCCTCGAGCTACCTTCCTTGTAGTTCTCATCCGTCCGTCTGACCAGACCAGAACTACTTCTTACCCACCTTACATCTTGTCACACCCAACAGTCTGTTCTCTGGCAAGAAAGAACAGCAAAACACCAAACAAAAGCAAGAGTAGGGGCCATGTGCCCACCTTGAGAGATTGCGGATACACCGTCATATGGAAAGTGGTCGTCCTGACCACCTGGTGACCCTCGACATGTTGTCCTAGTCTAGGTAGCCAAAAGCAAAGCTTCCAAAGTCCCAAGTCCCAAACCACAACATGATGAATGCTTGAAAGGTCGATATAAAGAACGGCAGCGGGTAGCCATCAAAAGGCTCAAGGGAGGCCCATTGTTGGAAGCATCTCTTACTCCCTTCGGATATACTCGCCCACCCTCGCCTCCTAAAAGCAGCATAGCCTTGTCATACCACTCGTTCTTCCAAACTCCTTGCGTCCCCCTCCCCTTCGCGATGACCGTCGCCTTGCTTCTCCTCCTCTCGGGAGTATCGCTTGCGGCAGCCCATTGCGCCGAAGACAACTGCCTTCGCGCCCTCAACGCGACCCAGACTCCAGGCCGCCTCGCCTCTGCACAGGCTTTCTGCGCGACCTTCACCCGCCCGCTGGCGGCGGCTAATACCTCTGTCCCAGACTATGCTTCCGAGAACTGCAGCGGTGCCTCGGGCCCGGTGGCGTCATCGAGGCTGTCAAGCGCGTGCTCGTGTATCGCGCCTAGGGTTACAGAAGCTAGCAGCACCTCTAGGCCTTTGTCTGTCACTGTGACGACAACGATGGTCAATCCGACCTCGACGTCTGCGCACGGCGGCGAGCGTCCTACGGGGGAACCCTGCGCGATCATCAGCGAGTTTTGGGCCAAGGAAGTGGCGGCTGCCAGTGAGTGACGGCCATGTCACAAACTCCAAGCATTTGATGCTGATACACCTCCTAGATCCCAATCCGAGTGTGAGTGCGAAGCTGGCCCACGACTGCCTCAGGTCGGTGCCACTCCACAAAGAAGCAGCCATCACCCTCGTCGACGCCATCCGGCCCTACCTCGAGTGGCAGTCCAATCTCGCGTACCTCAAGAACCCGCCGGTAGGATACGAGCCCGAGCCTTTCGATCCCGTCGGGCACCTGCAGAAGGTCCGGGAGAGGCTCGTCGCGGACGCGTACAGCGGCGAGCTGGACTTCCAGGAGGACCTCTTCGAGATGACCGCCAAGACCCGCGACGGCCACTTCGCCTTCTTGCCGGACGCGTTGACCGGCGTCTTCCGGTTCAGCCGGCCCTTCCCGCTTGTGTCGTATGCCAAGAACCCCTTTTCCACGCCCGTCATCAAGATCTTTGATGAGGTCAAGGCTGTCGGTAACAATGCCACAACCGTGTTGCGGATCAATGGCGTCAGCGCCTCGGCATTCGTCCAGGGCCTCACCGACCGGGCGTCAACCTGCCACGACCCGGACGCGGCTTACAACGAAATGTTCTACTCCCAGGCCATAGAGTGGTTCGGCACCCTGGGGACGTTCCAAAAGATGGGGTGGCACAATTATCTGTATCCTGGCGAGAACACGACCGTGGAGTACACCACGGGTGAGGTCAGGACCGCCGCCAACGTTGCCTCCATCCAGGAGCCCTTTTTCAACATAACGGATGGCGAGTCGTTTTATCAAAGATTCTGTGTGCCTGCACCGGGGCGGTCGGTCTCGCCAGGCGGCGCTGCTGCTCCGACAGCACCATCCAGGAGAAGCGTGGTGCAGCTCGGACAGTACCCGGAACCCGTGGTGAAGAGTTACGACAACGCGGTATCGGGCTACTATCTAAACAGCGAAGGGTTTGAAGATGTGGCGATCCTCAACGTTGTCCACTTCGCCGTGAAAAGCAGCGAGATCTTCCAGAAGTCCGTCGATTCATTCTTCGAAGCCTGCAAAAAAGCAGGAAAGTCGAGGATCATCGTCGATCTACAAATGAACCCAGGGGGCTATGTCCTCCAAGGAAGCGACCTATTTCGTCAGTTCTTCCCGCACATCGAGCAGGATGCGTTCACGCGCTGGAGACTGAACGATCAATTCCGGACGATGGCGGAGGGCTATTCTGCCGCGGGCGACCACATTGAACCCGGTGATCGAAACAGCACGGCAATTCGGTCACTATGGCACAACGTGTGGAATTACCGCACGGATCTGAACATGACAAACCAGCCGTTCGAGTCCTTCGAAGCCAAGTTCGCACCGTGGACGTGGGCAGGCGACGCATACACGGCTCTCATCCGAAATGACCTAAACGACAGCCTCACGACCACTGTCGGTTTCGGCATTGATATCACCGGGTATGGGAGCCGAAAGAACTTCACCCAGCCTTTCGAGTCTAGAGACATCGTCCTCCTGACAGACGGCTTCTGCGCCTCGACTTGCTCCGTCTTCGCGTCCGCGATGAAGAGCCAAGGGAATGTGAAAACGATTGTAATGGGCGGCAGGCCCAATGGCGGACTCATGCAGGGTGTTGGCGGCACAAAAGGAGCCCAGATCCTCACCTTCGAGGGTATTTTCGAAGCATCACGCACACTCATGGATACGAGTTACACGAACCTGTCCTCAAAGCAGGAGGCATCCCTGTCGCAGCTTACCAGTTTGCCCTTCGAAAGAAGCACCGTTGCGAGCCTTAACGTTCGCGATCAGATTCTGCGCAACGACATCAACACCGGTATTCCAGCTCAGTTTGTCAACGAGCCGGCTGATTGTCGCCTTTATTGGACCCTGGGTATGCTGAGTGACGTGAGGGAGATCTGGAAAGCCGCGGCCAACTCAGCGTGGAACGGTGGTGGCTGCGTCGCCGGAACAGGCTTCGGGAAAGCGAGGCCCAATGTTCCGTCGTCGTTCAAGGCGACCGGAGCGGTGGCCAGGCCGCAGACCAAGGTGATATCCGCGCTTGATGTTGGTTTGGATCAAGATGCCTTGGATCGAGAACCCGATTGGCGACCCGAAACCTTCATGTTCTAAGCTTATCGCGTGTCGCCTATGACGAGCTGACCCAGCTCAATTCGACGTATGGGTGTAGCTGTGTATCCCCACTTGTAATTGATATGATTATCGATATCCTGTGCTCCCCAGCGTCATTGATGCTTGCTCTGTGGTTAACGGCCACAATTGAATGCTTCTTTTAGGCTGGGGTGTGGTTGAATGCCTCCAATGTCTCGAAAGCGTGTAAACGTGTAGTATCGATCCGTGCCGGGTCTTCTCAGAACATGTGAAGTTCGGATACGTCACGTGCGCGGAGGAAGACGGGTTCCAAAGCCTGCGCGCCGTTCGCCGGGACATGCCTGCTTCATATCTATGAAGGCGGCAACGTTACTCTGGAGATCTAACCCGGAGAACCCCAGACGAGGGCTAGTTCGCCTCGTTGCGTTGTTGTCAGGATTATATTGGGAGGAAGGCCGGTGTCGGTGGTCGGGTCTACGTCGACTCATGGTTTCGGGTACTGCGGGATCAAAGTATCAGCGGACGTCACAGAGTGTTGAGGAAGTGAGAGGGTGGGTGCTGACTCTTGCAGGAACTCTCGTGGATCTCGCCGGACCCTTAGCAGTAGAGTTGGCAGGGCGAGCGCTCGTGGCCGCGCAGCTTAAACTCCAACGATGGCCGCATCCGAAATGTTTATCGTCCCGGCTTGGACTTGCCGAAGGTGGACCGTTGCGACTCAAATGTCCATGATGTGAGGCCTGAAGGGCCTATGATGGTCTGACGTGGTCCCTCAAAGTTGCTCAGCAGTATATTCGGAATGATCTGGACGGGTGTGTATGGATGCGCTGGTTCAGTATTCATATTGTCAAACACGCCGGGCTGGACCATGCCGCAGGAACAGAGTGAAGGAAGGGTCCAACGTCACCCCGAGACCCGGATTGGCCTTGGGAGAAGGAGAATCCGGAAGCCAATCGGAGAATACCCGAACAAAGGCCGAGACTAACAGTTCGAAAGCAAAAATCACTAACAATTCGCATGGCCAACCATGGAAGCCTGAGGTAACACGGCTTCGGACTGCAAAGTGGGAAACCCCTTCCTATTTTTGTTTTTCTTCCCTTCGCCGCTTGCTTGATGTAGAGGAACCATTGACACTCTGGTTTAGCATGTGAAGCCCGCATCTCAAGCATTGCATTTCGACGAGGCCCGGGGCTTGCCACGGTCTCCAACCATGCTTGTCTCTGTCCACACGTCAGCAAAGAAGGCGGGAGGGCGTGCGACCCATGCTAGTTTCCATTGCCCTGGCCAAGAGATGACGAGCCTCGAAGACCGGGCGATGATGAAGAAAAAATTTCCAACGGGGGGTGCCCCACGAGTTTGTGGAGTATTTTGGCGCCGTCGTGGAGAGAGGAGCAACGCACTGGCGAACGAGAGAGACGCGCGTAATGGGCTGGTGCGTATCACACACACCCCGCCATTTGTAGGCCTGAACGTATCGTATCGATAAGACGACGACATCGCGGGCATCTTAATATCAACGACGTCTCTTGGGACGGTTGCTGGGGAGTGAAAGCCGGCATCTGTTGACGACTATGCCACTCCGCTTTCCCTTCAGCTAATGGCTGCTGTATGTTTCTAGATGGCAGTAGTATGCTCTTTCTACAGCTGTCTACCGGAATACGTGTAAAAAGGCGGTGGCAAGGGGAGGTGAGACACATACTGAGAGCATTTCGCTGTGCCTCGACTTCTGGTAGTGTGGATAACCAGCATGAGAGGCAGTCAAGTTCAGGAGACTCTAATCTGAACCCCGATGTTGAACATACAGCTGTTACTGTCGAGGAATGTTTTCAGGGGCGAAGACACACGGAGGCTAATGCCGTTGTCCAGCCCAGGCGGTTCAAGACATTCAGCCAGATTCGTCGATCCATCTAGCCTCAAGGGCCAGGCTCAATGGGCAGCATGCTTGATAGTCTGGACCACAACGCCCCATCGGCACTCCACCAATCCTCGACCTCGCTGCCATGCAACTTGTACGTATCTGTACTAGATGAGACTGGGGGCAGTAAGCCAGCACGAAGGAGCAGACAAAGGCCCAGACGGACTCGGACGTGCGAGGTGACGGCCACGGCGTCTGAACGATTCAAGGACAAATCGGGCAGGCCGTGGCAAAAAGGGACGGTCCGAATGGTCCGGAACACCAGAGAACCCAATACCAGCTGGCTATGACGAGCACTGCCTGCTTCCACAGGTGCTTCGAGAAAAACTTTGATAATGGTGATGTCGGGCCAAACGTAAGCGGGAAAAGATGAGACGAGTCGCTTTCACATGGGCAGTCGTCGTACCCGAATATGATACATGTGGAACAGGGGGGAAAACTTTCTGGTAGGTTTAGAATAAGTGAAGGAAAATAAAAAAACAGAAAATCCAGGGACGTTCCCCATGGGAAAGTCAAAATTTGTTGGAGGGGTTTTAGCGCCGTTCCTCGCATATGCCTTTGCCGAAACCCTTGGCCACTAAACCAGTCCGGACATCGCAGAGACAAGACCGCCTTGGATAGGTACCTCAGTCCCTATGAAGGAGGTGAGCCGAGTGGCGAAGCCGAGGCGAAGGGGGTGGATTGTGAGATCTGTCCCTGTCCACCGCAGCGCAGTAACACGGCCACCAGTGACATTGTGCCCTTCTGATATTTCCATCCCCCAGCCTAGATGACTCAGGCAACCTGAGAGCGACAGGGGACGGGCGGTTACACATGGAGGATGGCCGTCTCACCCACCCCTTTTGCCTCTTTCCCCATACTCTAACTGCCTAGACTATGTAGAAACACGGGATAAGACAGGGCTTATCAAGAACTGAACCGAGCCACGGATTACGCTGACGACGTGAATGCCCGCCACCGTGGGCCTTGCCATCGACGGCAAGGTGCCAAGGCAAGGCCAGCCATGCCAGCTTCAAAGGATAAGCCGGGGAGAAACAATGCCTGCATGCATGGTCCGAACGTCGTCACCGGGGCTTCCAGTCTGCAACGCCCAGTGCAGGGACGACGACGACCGGGAAATGGGATATTTTGGAGGCTTGCTCCGTCTGGCACAGCGCCGATCCCTATGCTCCGATAATTGAGGGTCACAAGGCTAGCTACAAGGAAAGCAAGTCCAAGATGGCTTGCCTCGGTGCTGGGTAAAACTACGCAGGACTCGAAGGACTGTCACATATTGATGGCGTTCGTTGTAGGAAAAAATACTGTTGCAGCTGGAAATCACGGAAACCAACACCACAGCATGGTCGGCTCTGTACGGGGATCTCCTAGCCGAGGACAACTAAGCAGGAATAAAAAATGAAAAATAAAAATAAAAAGGACAAAATACAGGGCCGTCCAAATGGGCTGGAGGGAATGCATTGGTGCATGAACGGCCATTTTCCCACTCACCGCCCTTCCCACGTAGCCACTTATGGACTAGCGCGGGGTCAGATAAGGAATTGAACCCCTCCGATAAGGCATTACTCGCCAGGAGACGCCGCGACACCCAACCACGCCCAGTCAGACAAGGCACGCACCTCCCCTCCGTCAGTCAGTGGGCAGAAGAGGGAAGGAAGGGAGGAGGGGGAGGAGGGGAGAGGTTTCCGCACTTTCTGATTTTTCGTCCTGTGGTGGGGCTACTCTTGCCGCTAGTGTCGCCGTCGCCGGGCCAGGAAGGAGAGGAGGGGCACAATTTTCTACTGGCAAGGAGGAAAGGAAGGAAGGGGAGGGAAAAAAAGTTTTTGGTGGGAAGGCGGCGACGATGGCGGGCGGCGGGACAACGGGGGAAGGAGGGGCACAAAGTGACAAATGTGACAAGAAATCAAGGAGGGACACGCTGCCATCCAAGAAGTACCTATCCGTGCATACTGCCTAGTGCCTAGGTAGACACAGGAACAAGTAGGTACCTTGTACAGGAGAAGAAGGAGGGGACGGGAGGCGACCAGAGAGTGTCCTGTACTTGTTACCAAGGACTGATAACACAAAGCCAGGACGCAACATTTTTTTTTTCTTACGCTAGAGATAAAAATCTCCAGCCCGCCGCCCTCACCCCTCCTCTCTTCTCTTATTTTTCCTTCTCCTCCTCTCTTCCTACTCTTGAACCTCTTCCTCTCCAAACCTCCCACTCCCTTTCTTCTTGGTTGTTCGTCTTCCTCCGGACGTATTTCCACTCAATCATTTCAACTTTCTTCCGTCTCCTGTCTGCGACGGTTTATTAAGAGCGAATCTCGCCCTGATCAAACCCCCGCCTTCGCAAGAAGTTCAAGAGACGAATTCTCTCCGAAGCGCCATCTAGAGCAGAAGAACAGCGATCCTCCAGTCGTCTTTTCTTCCCGCGGGCCTTCCCATCCTCCAAACCGATCTCTTCCGTCGCCTCTTCGGTTACGATAGAGCATAGACTTTGCATCTAGACGCGTTAGACGTTCAGACAAGCGAGTTTTCTTCCTCTACAATACTTCTCAACAAACCACTCCTCCCGATCGACATAATACCAACCGCCATAATGTCTTCCGAGAACGCCCAGTCTGTCAAGGTTTTGGACGAGCTTATGCAGAAGCTCACCATCTCCAAGGAGGCTGCCGAGATCAAGGAGTCTTCTGCTGCTCTGGCCTCTTTCATGAACGGCCGCATCGAGGACCAGGATGTTCCCACCAAGTAAGTTACAGCCACTTTTCCATACAGCCCAAACCTGCAAATTCTCAGGGGCACAGCCTCCGAGCCACCGTGTCCACGGCCTCGGGGGCTTTTCTCCAAAAAAAAAAAATTAAGAATTTTCCCCTTGTTCCCCGTCCGACCTCGCATCTCACCCCTTGGTCGGGTTTCCCACCGACCCGCTGCAACACAAGACGGCCGATCCTGGCCACTCAGCGGCGAGCTATTTTGGTGCCCACACAAATTTTTTTCCGAGCATCAGCACTGACAAGCATTTCCCCGCAGGAGCATCGAGGCCTTGAGGAAGCTGTTCAACAACAAGAAGGACGCTGCCGCCCGTGAGAAGGCTGCCGTTGCCATCACCTCCATCGCCCAGCACTCCGAGGTCTCTGCCCACGTGGAGCCCTTCCTCGTCGCTCTTCTTCCCGATGTCCTTGCCGCCGCTGGCGACAAGATCACCGGTGTCAAGAATGCCGCCACCCAGGCTGCCCTCGCCATCGCTGAGGCCATCAACCCCAACGCCGTCAAGGGTATCTTCGAGCCCGTCAAGAAGTCCCTCCTCGAGGCCCAGAAGTGGCAGGAGAAGATGGCTGCCCTTGACGTCCTCGAGACCGTCATCCGCACTGCCCCCGCCCAGGTCGGCTACCGCGTCCCCGACTTGATCCCCGTCGTCTCCGAATCCATGTGGGACACCAAGAAGGAGGTCAAGGAGCGCGCCTACAAGACCATGGAGGCCATCTGCCAGCTCATTGTCAACCGTGATATCGAGCGCTTCATCCCCGAGCTCATCAAGTGTATCGCTAAGCCTGAGAACGTCCCCGAGACTGTCCACTTGCTCGGTGCCACCACCTTCGTCACTGAGGTTCAGGAGCCCACTCTTGCCCTCATGGTTCCCCTGCTTGACCGTGGTCTCGCCGAGCGTGAGACTGCCATCAAGCGTAAGTCCGCCGTCATTGTCGACAACATGTGCAAGCTCGTCGACGACCCCAACATTGTCGCTCCCTTCTTGCCCAAGATGATGCCTGGTCTCCAGAAGAACTACGACAACTTGGCCGACCCCGAAGCTCGTGAGAAGACCAAGCAGGCTCTCGACACCCTCACCCGTGTCGGTAACGTCGTTGACGGCAAGATTCCCGAGGTCCGCCACGACTCCGACCTCGACGTCGTTCTCCCCAAGCTCAAGGAGTCCATCCCCTCCAAGTACAAGTCCAAGGTCGACAAGCTTGACATCGTTCTCCAGTACGCTGCCAGCATCGCTGGACAGCTTATTGACGAGAAGGAGATTGAGTCTGCTGTCTGGACCGAGGCCCTCAAGCCCTACATCTCCGTCGTTGTTGGTGACGAGGATGCCCAGAAGGTTGTTGACGACTTCCGCAAGCGTGCTTCACCTGGTGCCGCCGACGAGGCCGAGGTCGACCCCGATGATGAAGAGGGTGAGGACCTTTGCAACTGCACTTTCTCTCTCGCCTACGGTGCCAAGATTCTTCTCAACCAGACTCACCTCCGTCTCAAGCGTGGTCAGCGCTACGGTCTTTGCGGTCCCAACGGTTCCGGCAAGTCCACCCTCATGCGTGCCATCAACAACGAGCAGGTTGAAGGTTTCCCTAAGCAGTCCGAGGTCAAGACCGTCTTCGTCGAGCACGACCTTGACTCTGCTGACACTGAGATGACCACCATCGACTGGACCATGAAGAAGCTCCAGGATGCCGGTGTCGAGACCTCCCAGACCGACGTCGAGGCCAAGCTGAACGAGTTCGGCTTCACCGACGGCATGATCAAGGGTGAGATCTCCGCCCTTTCTGGTGGTTGGAAGATGAAGCTCGCTCTGTGCCGTGCCGTCTTCGAGGCCCCGGATATCCTGCTCCTCGACGAGCCTACCAACCACTTGGACGTGAAGAACGTCAAGTGGCTCGAGGACTACCTTTGCAGCTCGCCCTGCACGTCCATCATCGTCTCCCACGACTCTGCCTTCCTCGACAACGTCTGCCAGCACATTGTCCACTACGAGCGTTTCAAGCTCAAGCGCTACCGTGGTAACCTCAAGGAGTTCGTCAAGAAGAACCCCGCTGCCAAGTCCTACTACGAGCTCAGCGACTCCGAGATGGAGTTCACCTTCCCCGAGCCCGGTTTCCTTGAGGGTGTCAAGACCAAGGCCAAGGCCATTCTGCGTGCCAGCAAGATGTCCTTCCAGTACCCCGGTACGAGCAAGCCTCAGATCCAGGATATCTCCTTCCAGTGCTCTCTCGGCTCCCGTATTGCTGTCATCGGTCCCAACGGTGCTGGCAAGTCTACCCTCATCAACGTTCTCACCGGTGAGCTCGTCCCCACCCAGGGTGAGATCTACCAGCACGAGAACATCCGTATCGCCTACATCAAGCAGCACGCCTTCGCCCACATCGATAACCACCTGGACAAGACACCCTCTGAGTACATCCAGTGGCGTTTCCAGACTGGTGAGGATCGTGAGACGATGGACCGTGCCAACAAGATCATCACCGATGCTGATGAGGAGGCCATGAACAAGATCTTCAAGATCGAGGGTACTCAGCGCCGCATCATTGGCATCAACGCCCGCAGAAAGTTCAAGAACTCTTACGAGTACGAGTGCTCTTTCGCCATCGGCGACAACGTTGGCCAGAAGAACGAGCGCTGGACTCCCATGATGTCCGCTGACAACGTCTGGCTGCCCCGCAACGAGCTCCTGGCTTCTCACCAGAAGATGGTTGCTGATGTCGACATGAAGGAGGCTCTTGCCTCTGGTCAGTTCCGCCCTCTGGTCCGCAAGGAGATTGAGAGCCACTGCGCCAACTTCGGCCTTGACGCCGAGCTGGTTTCCCACTCCCGCATGCGCGGTCTGTCTGGTGGCCAGCGTGTCAAGGTTGTCCTTGCCGCCTGCTCTTGGCAGCGCCCTCACTTGATCGTCCTCGACGAGCCCACCAACTACCTCGACCGTGACTCTCTCGGTGCCTTGTCCAAGGCCCTGAAGAAGTTCGAGGGTGGTGTCATCATCATTACTCACTCTGCTGAGTTCACCAAGAACATCACTGAGGAGGTCTGGGCTGTCATGGACGGCAAGATGACTCCTTCAGGTCACAACTGGGTCCAGGGCCAGGGTTCTGGTCCTCGTCTTAAGGGTGACGACGCTGAGGAGGAGGAGAAGTTCGATGCCATGGGCAACAAGATCGTCAGCACCAAGAAGAAGGCCAAGCTGACGTCTTCCGAGCTCCGCAAGAAGAAGAAGGGTAAGTTGAGAGTTCCACCCATTCACCTGATGATTTTGATGTGACAGATTTGCTGACTTTCATTTCTAGAGCGCATGGCCCGCCGCAAGCGTGGCGAGGAGGTTTTCTCCGACGAGGACGACATCTAAACGAGTCGCCACGAGATCGCTTTCCTTCCATTTGTCACAAGCCTTACAAAAGTCTTTTTTTTTTCGGTAACGCGGGTTGCATGGTACGGGCCTGTTTATGATTTCTTTGACGATCACCCATGAGATTCCCCTTTGAAATGAAACCGCCGGATGAGGAATGACCACTCGCTGTGGGATTGGAGGATCCCGCGGGCGAGGAGATAGGTTCCTGGCGACAGGGAATTAGGGGTCAGAATAAGAGAGTAGAAAGAGTAAATAGACGGCAATACAAGCCATAGACACTTCAACTTGGATCTTCCATCACGATACGATTATTGATGCCGTTTGTCCACGATGCTGAATGCCCTTCAATTGTAGTATCCTTGACGTAGTACGGAAGGTCGCTTGTTTGTATGACAATTGGATGAAAAGCAGTTCCATTTCAGCTCGCTGACTAACCATACCTTCCTTTTACACATCACTACCTCAGCTGCGTATGGCCTTCTTTGTCCTATCGTTTGTCTTCCTCCGATTGACGTGCCGACAACTTTCAACTCTAACCTCCCGTCAGGACTGAGAAGGGCCCCCATGGTAACACACGAAGTCTCCCTTGACAATGGCTTCAGAGGATGGCCTACATTCAGCGGCAGTTTGGCCCCCCTTGATCCGTCCATTATTCTCTAAAAGTGTTGATCCTACCAAGTCAGGGATACAAAGCACAAAATGCGGTCGATGGACTGGTTTTATCACACACAGTAATGGCCTGTAGCCTTCCTCATCTAGGACGTCAAGCGCCGGATCGGACACGCTAACTGAGCCTCGGATGACAATTGACTGCCGTTTCTGTTAATGTCGTGTCAACTCAGGCGTATCCGCCATACCTTATCATATCACTTACAGCTGGGACACGGTTCCAAAGTTCCGCACGAGGGCCCATTGTCGTCTTTTTGACACCGGCTAGGAAACCATGGCACTAGAGCCCTTCCACGATCCGTGGTGGCTACCAACCCAGCTCCCAGAGCTGGACGCCGATGATGGCGACTTTTGCGACTATACTCCCCTCCCGAAACCTGGCACCTCTCAGCTCGATATGCTTTTTTGGGCGGAGAGCATCCAGCTGCTGCGTTTCGGCGGGCTCCGCGCCCACGAGTCCCGGATCCTGCAAGAGGTCGAGCCGTACACGCCGCGCCCGGCGATGCCTGAGGGCCTTTCGGGGTACGGGAGCGCGGATTCTAGTGAGAACGAGGAGGACACGAGCGGAGCGTCTACGAGCGGCGACGACAGCGATGATTACAGCATCGACGACGAGCAAGGCGGGGCCTCCTTGTTTCCCACCCACAAGATGCCGACCGTCACGCCGCGCCCGTGGATGGAACGGGACTTCGTGGAAGTGGACGAGACCAAATGGTTCAAAATCTTCCGAAGGGAAAGGTGGGCGAGCTATTCTAACCCGAATCCCAAGCAGCTGTCGGTCGATATCGGCAATGACAAGGACTGGACGAAGTTGAGCAGGGTCATAGAGATCGCGAACCGGATCCTTAGCGAGGCTGTGGACCAGGAGTGGTGAGTTTCCCCTCGGTTTTTGCATACCTACCTACTTTGAACAGGGTTAAAGAATCAGACCAAATGACGTGGCTACTCAGGCTGGCGACTTTCCTCGATCCACAAGCCCGCGATACCCGCGGCCCCGTCTCCTGCGGGAACCACATCGAATCCTGGGACAACACCGTCGTCCACCGCGCCGTCCCCGTCCCGCCCCAAGCCCGTCCCAGCAGGGAGCAGGCCTGCAAGGCCCTCGACGATTTCGCCGAGTCCATCTTCTGGGGCTTCCACATGCCGGACGAGTACGCTGGCGTGACCGGCAAGACGGGGGTCATCCAAGGCAAGGACGGGCGCTTGTCTCGCTTCATGACGCTGACGCTGACATGGATGGAGCCGGTGTTCCGGGAGAAAACGCGCGGAGACCCAGAGGGGAGGCAATGTGCGGTTGGGATGGCCCATGTTGTGAGTCTATAACATCGCTTCTCTCCCCCTCAAACTTTTTCGTCGAGATTATTGTTGACCGTGCCATCCGTCGGTTTCGCAGATGCTCCACGAGCTGTCGGTATGTTAGCCCCCCCCCGCATGGGTACTTGGGATGACGCAAAAGAACGCTTGGCTAAAGTACAACAGCATTCGCTCTCTGGCTATTTTCACGAAAAGATGCCCAGGTCAAACAAGGATTTGCGCTGTATGGCACGCGAGCTTGTAGGTTGGATTGCCGCGTTCCCCTGTTTCCTGGACCCTCGCCCCCTTTTCTGGCTGATGACTGTGATTTAGTTCTTCAAAGAGGAAAGGTGGGCAGAGGCGGGCTACTCTTTCGAGTCGGCCGTGTTTGGTACTACCTCCAAAAACCACTGGCCGAATTTGAACGACCGTATTCAATACATCGGTATGCAGGGGATGACCCCCGAAACATGCGCGAATAGCCTACACTGGAGGTACGACGGCTGGGCCCCCGAAAACCCCTTCCTCGACGTGCCGCTGGGCATCCCCGCCATCGTCCCCTGCGCGATGACGACGTCCGACTTCTGGGACGTGCATGTCAGAAAGTACGGCTTTCCCAGCCTCCGGTGGACGTGGGTCTGCGAGGGCCGGTTTGAGACGAGCAACGGGGAGGCGCAGATGCGGCCCGCTAAGATAATGGGCCAGCCATACAGATACTCGAGGTACGGAGAGCTCAACCGGAGCATGAAGACCGTGGCGCAGAGACTGCGCAAGAGGCGCCTCGACCTGAAGAGGCTGCGGCCGTGGTACGCCCAAGAGTACGCCTTTTGGTCCAGGACTTTGTACGCCGAGACAATGTTGCGGTCTGCGCTGAGGTTGCTGTCGCAAACGCTCTGCGGCCACTCCTTCCAGCACGAAGCCAATGCGAATGATTTCATCAATAAGCTCTTAAAGCCGCACAACCGGCTATCCGACCTGGAGGCAGCCCGGCCCGAGAAGGCGAGGACGTCCAAGATGTTCTACCACGCCATGGGGTTCCTCGCCCAGGCGGTGCTACCCGTCCGGACGGGGACCATCACATACAGGGTCAACGGCGTCGTCGAGTACCCAGACAGGTTGCGCCCGGCCCTGAGGCCCACCTTCGCCGGCGACCTCGCGTTCTTGGACCAAGTAATGAACTGGGGGAAGGCGGCGGCGGACGCGATGAGGATCAGGACACTGTATGACGACGCCACTCCCAGCCACGACAGAGAGCTGTGCATGAGTAACGCGCGACTGGCCTTCCGCCGCTGGCAAGTGCTGGGGTTTGTTTCCACCCCGGTCGCCAGGGATTTTGAGCGCGAATGGGAGCTGCTGAGGCGGCAGATGGACCAGAGACCCCTCGACGACGCGCGGCTCGACTGGAGCCCCGGGACGTGGCACTTACTGCGTCGCTATTCCGGAGAAGCGGAACACCAGGTGTCAGCCTTCTTCCGCCCGAGGGAGCAGATGGAGCAGCAGAGCGAAGGCGTGGACGCCGACATACCGGCGGGGGCCATTGCGCGGCCGGCGATCCCCACCACGCTCATCGCGACCTCAGGGCCGGCGGCGGCGGCGCCGTGGATCCCATACTATAATTCCGGCGAGGTCGGCGACCACCAGAGGCTCAATGGCACAAGCCAGTGGTGTTGCATGTGGACCGGGCGGGAAATGGCGATCTACGACGTGTCCGACCTCCTGGCGGGCGGGTCGTGGACCAAGGCCGCGAGAGCCTACATTACGCAGCCTGTTCAAATGCCCTTGTGTCGGGCGGCCCGTCTCGACAGGCTCAGCCAAGTGTGGCTCAACCGGTTTTGTAGGGAGCGTCCCCTCGGCTACGTCGCGGCGGTGCGCAGGAAAGAGGACGTCAGGATCAACGACGGAAAGGAGGGGAGGCCGCGATGGGCAATGGCCGGAGAGGATGTGTATGACGTGACAAGTGGGTTTCCGGCAAGATACAAACTCCTCCCAGACGATCGAAGACTGAAAGAAAAATGAAAAAAGGAAGCTCTAGTATGAAGGGAAAATGCTGATGGAAGCTGTGGTGGCAGATGTCGAACTCCTTCCGGAGCTGCAGGACCTGGAAGTCATTTTCACCGAGGCCTCCCACGAAGACCCCGTCGCCGAGGCCGTCAACCGGGGGTATCACCCGGATGTCATTCAAGCAGCCCTCCGCCCATACAGGATCGGCTGGGCCCAGAAGAAAGAACCCGAAGTACTCTATCGGATGCATCACATATTCACGGCGAGCGAGGTCAAGTGGCACACGACCCGCGAGACCGGGATCTATGTCATTATCCGGGGCAAGGTCTACGATTTCACAAGTGAGTACTAGTCCGTCCTGTCCACCTCTTCATTGACCGCGGACATTGAGCGGACGAATACTCACATGCGACGGAAAGACTTTATAGATCTGCACCCCGGCGGGTCGTCCATCATCGCCCAGGTTGCCGGGACGGATGCGACGAGCGTCTGGGACAGGTTCCACAGCAGCCCCATGACGGACTTTGGCTTCGATGTTCACCAACACCTGGAGACCCTGGAGATCGGGAGAGTCGTAGAGGAGCGGTTCGCAACGGTCTTGACGCTGCCGCCCACCGAGATCTGCATCCGGAACTACATCTACAGCAAAGACAGTGAGTTCAGAGCCTGAAAAGCCCTCGCCCTTTCTCAGAAGTGGGAGCCATGCCGACTGGCCACATATCGTGAGTGAGATGAGACAGTTAAGTGCCCCTCAGCTAACCGGCTGGGCCTAACGCCAGAAATCGATGCGAACAACAAGATTCTCGACCTGCTCGACGGCTACTGGGGTACGGACGGCACCGCCGACATGGAGAAGCCGAACCCCTCCGAGGCGTACCTTCGGCTCTGGGACACTCCCTGGTTCATCGTCGCCAAGATGGGCCGCCCGCCGAACAAACTCCCCTACATGAGTCCCAAGGTTCTGGAGAAAATGGACGGCAAAGAAAGGCCGGACGGATTCAACGAGTCGTGGGTGTCTAGCGACTGCATCGTCTATAACGTCACTTGTGAGCGCCCACCCCCCTCCCCCTCTTCCCTCCTGCCGCCTCCGGTGCTCGCCAGCTGACCAAGCCATTGCGATTCAGCGTTGGTGAGATACAGCAGTCCGACCCCGATATTGGAAAAGTTGAAGTCGAGGGCTGGGTCGCGTCTTGACTCCATGGTGGTAGATGACAGGGACCTGATCGATTTACTCATGAAAAACTGCTCGCATCGTATCATCGGCCTGCTCCACACTCCCAAGCGCGGCTTCGACTCTGTAGAAAAGCCCATCGCGTGGAAGACGTCTTACAGGCGGACGCCGGCCATTACGCCAAAGCCCGTCCCACAGGCTGGTAGCTCGGCGGCCATGGCGATGCCGACCCCAGCGCCGGCGTCATTCACGGTGCGGCCGCTGCACCGGCTCAGGAAGAAGCGGCAAAAGACCAATAACACCGGTACTGGATACCCGTCCCCGAAGCTCATCGATTCAGGGCCTCCGAACGCTGCGAATGACGAGCCATCGGGCGAACCAATGGACGAATCGCCGGATGGGCCGAAGGATGACCCGATTGACAACCCGATGGACACGAGTCGTATAGCGGCAAGGACGACCCTGGAGCAGATGGGGTTTCCAGCGGAACTGGGGACGGGTGCGGGCGGACATGAAAGGAAGATATTAGGCTGGTGAGGATGCAGAATTTATTGATAATGGATGGTCAGCTTTTGCAGGGTTACGAACCCCCGGGGTCTGATCTTTGTGTGGAGTGTGTGCAGGTTCATCATATCGATTCGGGGGGGTTTTTTTTTTCATAACATTGGCTGTTCCGATAGAGTTCAATATAATTTTTGCAAAACCACGCGAATAGAAAACTGATCAAGGATCTGAGAGATCCAGCGAACCACGCAGAGTTGGTGCATTGAGGAGGAAATCTGCTCTTCTCGCCTCGGTGACTGGGCCGACGTGAACACTTTTCTAGAATATTTTCAAGGACGCGCTCTCTGCTGTTCTCGACTGATCTTCTTTCAAGAAAATTGTGTTCATACTTGCTGCAACTCAAACTACAGAGTATTCTCTGGCTGACTTTCACGCCGGGCAACGACGTGTAGTCGGCCCCACCCATGGTATCATCGGATCCGGTGCCCTGGCCTGATCCGCCCGGCGCTCGCCGGCAGAGAACGATCCAGCGGGCCGAGAATGCTGGTCTGAGACTTGGGTTACGCATAAACGACTGCCCTGAGGAAGAATTGTTTGTTAATAATAACCGCGGACGCAGGGGGGCTGCTTGTTGTGCCTTGACAAAGCCCAACGTGCCCTCAGAAGGCTTTTAACAAGTCCAAGGGAGTTTGTTCCATGTTATTGTTCTGACGGATGCGGAGGTTTTATGCAGGGCGAAACGTTAGACAAGCTTGAAATGCAATCATACGATAGTCAAGGCAAGGCTCCTTTCAGCCTTTTTTCAGTCTATTTAGGAACCCGAGACCATGGACGCCCTTCCATGTTCTTTCGTCTGATCTCTAGTTGAGCTATTGTTCTCCGAGGAATGACATCTTGGCAGGCGTTCAGAGTTGCAAATGTCAATCCGATCTATTACACAACATGTTCAATGACTTCTTTGTAATTAGCCTCGGCATGATTGATTACTCTTTGGGACACCATGTCAATAGACCAAGGCTGCTCGGCAAGATAACTTTATGCTTTTCTACTTGTGCTCGCCGCAATTGCCACGAGACTATCCGGTACTGTAGTTCTTCCTGTATTATTACCACCATCCTAACATTCTTCTTGTATCATCATTTCCATCTTTTGCTAGCACATTCCCTGGCGGAGAGGCTATACATTGATCGGCCGCTGACCCTATTAGTCAAGATGTCCATCCCCACCAAGGGTTGGGCAAGATACTACTGCGTAGGCAAGCCGCGACCCCGAAGAACAGATGGCCTCTCGTGGATCGATCCGGTGTACCCTGACATCGATCCCGTGACGCTTGACCTCGAAGATCCATCTCCCGGCCAAGTCCCCCAACCAACTCCACCTCAGCTCGACGATCTCTATATCTCGGAGGTACAGCAGATCAACAAGCAATACGGCCTGCGTACGTGGGAAGCCGCAGTCCTTGCCAAGCCTGAAGTTTACACTGCCGAAGATGAAGCGTCACAGCTAGCCGGGAACCCGATTGAGGTGAAGGAGTGGACATGGTTCCATTTCTGGGCGAGAGACCGTTGGGTTATCGATTTCACCGTGCCTCCCAACTGGTCAAATGAATGGACTACTGAATACCTTTGGAGCGCCCAGGACCCAGCAGTTTGGGGGGTGCTACGGCAAGCCATCCAACTTGCGGAAAAAATGCTCAGAAGTTGTCTTCTAACACCCTGGTACGTGTTCGTGCGCGCTTCAACACTTTCAAGATCCATAGCACACAGATATAACCCCATGAATGCGTCAGCTTACACGAGTTTCCAGGTTTCAAGCGCTCGTTAACGCGAGAAACCTCACATCCTCCTTGAAAGAAGTGCCCCTCGGCTCCGGCCAGTGGGGCAATGTCTGGCGGATGCAATCCTCTCCGCCCTGGCTCCTCACGGCAGAGGACACAATCGAGGTGCTGTCGCGTCTTTTGGACCAAAAGCTGCAATGGTCGTTCAACGACAAGTCCACTCAGGCGTTCTACGAACCCTCCGGGACCACTCATGGGCTGACGTTTTCCGTGAACGGATCCCTGACCGGGCCAATCGCTATCTTCATCGACATTCTTGAAATCAAAACGATCATGAGTCCGACGACAACGGAGAACTCAAGAAAGACGGCGATGACCAACCTGGCTGATACGGTAAGATCCGGTTTCCCCCCAAATAACCCCGGGAGCTTTATACTGACTTTGTCTCGGCCAAGCTTGTACATGAACTCATGGTGAGGCTCCCTCCTTGCCATAGCATCAGGATTTGATGTCTTTGCCCATTTGCCCATAAACTGCTTGATGTATACTTGCTCACTATGGGTGGCACCTGACCTGGCCTTTAGCATGCAATCTTTCTGTGCCACAGAACCAATGGAGCTGTGGTATATGCCCTGGGACAGCCGCACAGAAACCTCGAACTTGTAAGCCCTGATATCTAGACCATGCCAAAAGTTTCAAACAGCCAACCATAGCACAGTTCGGTCCCTACGAACATCAGGCGGAACTCGGCCAATCGTGGGAGAAAGCAACGTTCGGCGGCAAAATTTCGTTAGTCACCACAGAGGAGACCGCCGAGTACTTCCACACAACAACTGGCGCAACTCTGATCTTGGGATTTACGGAATGGCCTCTATATTGGGAAGATTACCAATCGACATTCGACGAACCCAGAGATGCCCTAGCTCTGCTGACGAAATGGCCTGTACCGGCATTGTGGCAGCAGTGTCTTTCGTCCCAAGGTTTCTGGGACCAGTTGGTGGCCAAATTCGGGCCCGTCTGCCTCAGAATACCCAAAATGCTTTCAGCGACGACTGTTCTGGGCAACGACGGATACCCTAGGCCTTACCTCTATCCGAGAGACACCACGACTCGGTGGGTGTCTGATTTCGCACCCCCTCCGTTTTGCGAAAAGTCAATCAAGTTTCTAGCGAGGGAACTGCATGCAAGGCGGCAGAAGTACCGCGAGATCCGCCCGTGGTTCTCCGACATGTTCGCCATGTGGCAGCTCACTCCATGGAACGCGCGGAGGTACCGCGAGGAGCTCTGCTGGCTGAAGGACGTTGCGCTTATTCGGAAGAACGATCGACACGAAGCTGATGCACAAGAAATCCTCGACCGCTGGATATATCCCTTCCAAGTGGGGATGAACCCAGATGGATCTCTGGGGACATTTGTCCCTGCCTCTTATCAGGATGTGCCACTTAGGGTTGGCATCACAGTGTGGTTCTGGCGTGCGTTGGGTTACTTGTTATATGCATCCCTGCCCGGAAGAGTGGCGAAGACGACGCCAACTAAAAATCCGAGAGGCCTTGTGACAACCCGTTGGTCCTTGAATAGGAGCCTTCGCATCAGCGCAGCTCAAGAGAAAGATGCAATTGACACCATACAAAGAGCAGAAGAAAATCGATGGAAGTATCCCGAGATCCAGCTGGGAGCGAGGCATACGCAAGAGAGAGTGCCGTCGTCAGTGCGAAGAACTCGGCTGGGGGCCGTCTGTCTGGCAAGGACCGCGTTCGATACCTTTGAGCTTCTCTGTATCCGGCCCGCTGGGCTGAAGGAGGCTTTCGAAGCCGCGTGCGTCAGCATGGAAGCCCAGATCGAGGCGAGCCGAGAGAACGACTACATGTCGTGGCTGGACTTCGACTTCGACATGCCGCCCTATCCCGGGACGACAGAAGACGGGAGGGCATTGGGGATCTTGGAATTCTGGGCGGTAGGGAAGAACTGGAAACAGCCGTCCGCGATGGGGTACGAGGATGCTGCCGGTGAGGTGCTGCGTGGGGAAGACCCTGCCATCTCCATGCAGACCGATAACCTGCCATTCTTCGCGATGACGGGCCTGGCAGGCGCGCCGTTCAAGTCTGGGGAACGCCCTCGTCGACATCATGTTCCCTATTTCACCATTGCCGAGCTATACGACCACTCTGAACGGCTGAACGAGCCCCTGGTCCTGGTCGAAGACGGGTTTGAATTGGACGTATACAGATGTTCCACCGTTTGTCGGTCCCTCGGGGTGACAACAAGTGGGCTGTCTCTCTTGACCAAGCGGACGTTCTATGGGAGGCAGCTGACGCGCCACGCCGCGCAAAGACTTTATGATGCAAGCCATCCTGCTCTGGCGATAGCAAGAGTGGTGCGCGTCCTGCGACCCGAAGACATTGCCTTGGGCGATGGGAAAGATGGAAGACCGTTTTGGATAAAGATGCACCGCAGTGTCTTTGACGTCACCCGTAAGAGCACCCCGCGTACTTGTAAAGTATTCGAGAGAGAGAGCCATGCTAATCTCTGTAGACCTTACATGTCTGTCGGAACCAAGACTGACAAAGTTGCTGAAAAGCGCTCCCGGGGGCGATCCATCTCGCAAGCTCCGAGACGAAGGGTACAGTCTGTTCGAAATCAGAAAGTCCCTGTCGAGCTGGAGGGTTGGCATTGTGGCGAGCAAGTCTGCAGCGATAACAGACCGGCATTCTCTTCGTAATTTCACCCCGCGATCGCTTCGCAAACACGAATTCAGGGAGACGGGCATGTACATCTCGATTGACAAGAGGGTGTACGACATCACGAGTAAGTGTGCCGTGGTGCGCAAAGCATTCTCAATTCCATAGCTGACTTGTTTGAGATTATGCCGATTTGCATCCGGGAGGGCTCCGGGCCTTGGTTGAGAATGCCGGACGAGATTGTACTGAATTGTTCGATCAATATCACAGAGAGAATCGTGAACTCATCATTTCGAAGTTACAAGAACTCTGCATCGGAAACCTGATTGAGCAACGGCAGGAATATCAAGAGGACGAGTTCGAGGGTTTAGCGAATAAAGGTCTCATTCTTCCCCATGAGATCAAATTGGACAGGAGCATCTACTCAGTGCAAGGTAAAGCATATCATTTGCAATACGATGTTTGGTTCAAGTTCTATCTGCTAACAGGGGAACATTTCTAGCACTCAAAGACTCGGATGAGCACAGCAAGTACGTCGACCTCGTGCATCAACTCTCGCCATACTTGGGCATGGATGCCACACAAGATCTGAAGCTCGAAGAGGGAGACGAAACGCCACTGCTCCAATTTGCTCGCTTGAGAGGCTACGTTGTAGCAACCGTTGAGAGAATTGGACAAGGTTTGCCAGAAATTGAGTTGAAGGAGCTTCGAACATTTGACGGTCAGGTGGATGAGATCAGAAACTTGCAAAATGATTCTTTCGTTGCCGCTGACGATATGGTCTATGACCTAACCGGTATGCTTCTACCCCCGTGCTTTGGTGTTGATCACTCTATTAAGCACACTCCATCCAGCTGCTATGCAATTTGGTTCACTCAACCCCAACTACGCCAGATTCAGACCGTATCTGGGAGGCATCGTGAAGAATACAGATCTCAAGTCCTATTTGATTGAGAATTGCCACGGCCTTATCTGCGCTGTTTTAGTAAAGAAAAAGCGACTTGGCGGTGGCGGAGGGCGCGTTGTCAACTGGAATTCAAAGAGACAAGCACCTCGTGAGTAGTACACTAGCCACGGAGCAATCGAACAAGTGCTGATTGGGCTCCTTCCAGTTCATTATAAGATGCCCATCTGGTTCGACCAGCCACCAAAGAAGAAAAAGACCCCACGCGACGACGAGATCGCTCCTTATCCCAGCACTGCTCGCCGGGCTCTGAAGGGCCTGCAAGAAGAAGACTTCGAAAAGAAAGATATCTTCAAACCCTCCCCATCACGCAATCAACTTGAAAGCCTTATGAGCAATCTTGAATATCAGAATCGGCACGAGTACAAGACAAATGAGGACACAGGAGGATGCTCTGGACAGAAAGTTGAAACAAACGCATCGACTCGAAAATTTTCAAGTGTATCGAACCCAACAATGAAGCAGTTTGGAAGACTGAGCTCAGAGTTTAGGCGTCGAAACGATGACAAGGAGGTAAAGAGAAGAAAGCTCATGTCTGTGGAGGCCATATCAAAAGGTCCAATGGGTGACGCAGATGCAACCCGACGTAAAGGCCAGCCAGCGGACAATATCAAAGGAAAGCCGGAACATCTATCGTCCAACTCCCACAGTGAGGAACGGGTAGAAATGGAGCGAATACCAAAGAGAAGGCTACGATTCAAAGTGGACGAGAGACCAGCCAAGAAACGACGGTGATTTGGAAGGTGTTATGAAGTTCTGTTATGGGAAACCTGTGGCGGTGTTTCTGTTTGAAGCGGTTGTACGTGGTTTCGAGTGTAATTCCAACCGAAGGCCTTCCGCATATAAATCACAGTGCTCTTCTGTCATCTCTCTCACGAATTCCGTCTTTGTAATAGGAAAACTCAGTACTTCTGCGTGACTTTGAAAATCCTAACACAGGCTGTTCTCAGATGCGCTCAAACCATGTAAGAGGTTGGCCGGGCCCTTCCATTCTAACCCCAATTCCCAAATGCGACACTTTTCCCTGTACGTCTACTTTGAACTCGACAGGCATGCAAAATCCGGGCACAAGGATCTTTTCGGCCGACCCAGCACCGAAGAATTCACGACCAAGCCAAGAGTTGCCGGACATTGGCTCAAGGTAAACTGCGGGCCCTAGGTAGGCAAAGGCATCTCCGCCAACACCCAAAATTCGAAGCTTGCATTCTTCAACCAATTCGGGGCAATTTAAGTCGACTTTGAGAGTACCGTATCCAGGATCAAAGAATTCGCCGACATGCTCGGAGATAGGCAGCGTAGGTAAATATGGCGGGTCCGGGAGAGACGGGTACAGGAGTTTGGCACATTTCTTGAAATCTTCAAGCTGGTCTTTATACTCAGAGAGGAGCCTTTGAACAAGTCAGTTTGTTTCTGTTGAATGCTGTTCTCAGATGACCTACTGCTTGTTGATGTCGTATCTTTTGTCCTTGGGCACGCCCAAACGCTCCCACAAGATGTGGTGCGCGATAACCTCAGGGACACTAACATCGGTGTTTGTGAAAACTGCCACCCCGATTTGCTTGGACGGTATCATCATCATGGTAGATCTAAACATGGTGACTGCACCGTTGTGTGAATACATCTGCTCGCCTTCGAACACGGCGCCACTCCAACCAAGTGCATACGTCACAGGCCCTACATAGGGAATCTTTGATGATGATACAAAGTTCCGGGGTGTCTTGATCTCTCGATGGCCTGCCTTTGATAAGGGGGCAGACTCGTTTATCATCACGCGGAGATACTTTGCGTAGTCAAGCACCGTCGAGATGATGTTCCCTGCGCCTTCTTCTGCAGAAGATGGATCATGAGGGACCTCAAAGTGCTTCTTATGAATGGGGTCGTAATAGTACTCCCTGGCCAGGATTAATCCGCTTCTCTCGGCATCCGATAGTGAGAAATAGGTCTCGTTCATTCCCATCGGCTTCCAGAGGTATTCCTGGAAGAAGTCACCGAGCCACGAGTCGGTCAGAACACTGATGAGGTACCCCATGGCAGCAAACATCTTGTTGCTGTACAAAAACTTTGTGCGTGGTTCAGCAGCCATCGGCAAGTGTCTCAGCAGGCGGATTGTCTCTCGGGTAGTCTCCGCCGACGCCAGGTCGTGACGCGGGTAGCCCGTCCGGTGGCTTAGGGCATCCTCGAGAGTGATGTGCGCCGTTGCCCATTCGTCGCTGAGGACGAAATCGTCACGGAGGATGCTAGAGACCGGGGTTTTCCATGTGAGGCCGGAGTAGACGGAGGAATTGGCAGTGGCGTTATCAATGAGAAGTGAGAGACCGGCTGCCGTGAACGACTTTGTAGTACTGCCCGTGTAGAAAAGAGTGTGAGGCGTCATCGGAGTCGAGTTCAGAACCGCGTAGCCATAGCCCTAATTAGAAACAAATAGACGTCAAATTCTGTGGTATATGATCGTATACCAGCAGTATCGGCCGATCTGCCACATGCTTGGAATGTGTGGATCGTAAAGGAGCGTTTAAGAGGTTGGCTTTGCCAAATCCCTAGCTACTGGCGTGGTCCAATCGAGGGATTCAATTAGGTAGCAATGGAAATGCATTCATACCTTTGCCCACGTCTTATCCCCATCAACGATAGCGACGGTCACGCCGGGCGCGTGCCAATCTTCCATGATCCCCTCAATATACGCGTCAAGGTCTGGTGAGACCGCACGGGGGTGGCTGTCACGCGATGGATCATCCTGTCCGAGTGGTATTTGCTGTGCATCAGCCACAGATGCACGGCTCCCAAGGAGAAGCACGGCACAAGAAAGCAGCTGAGGTTTCATCTCGACCGCTGTATTGTGACCAAGTGGGCGTATGGCTTTACGACGGGTTGAATGAAGCTGACGACATTCAGGTTTACCGACGGAAGTAAGATTGACACGGATAGATGAAGGAGAGGGGGTGGCGTGAAACCCTTGTCCATATAGACGGGCATTTCATTTGCCGTTCCGGGTCGGCTCACTGCGCCGCAGGGATTGCTGATGACGGCGAAGTCATCTCTTATCAGTTGCATCATTCGTGTATCTTGCTGTATTAGGAAGCTTGTCGTGTTGTGCCTGCAAAAGTGAGAAAGCTCACGTCTTATTTCACTATGGCCATGCTAATTCGTCGTTGAACGGCATCAACAAACTTAGGACATAATTCGATAAACATTTAACTTGGAAAAGGCAAATTTCAGCCTTAGCATAGTAAAACTAGATAGTATATGGATGCATACTGTGTAGATTATTGTTAATAGACATACAATATGATGGACTGTCTACACAAACTCACTATCATGAAGCTGGGAATAGCTTTGCGTGGCTAGTACCAGTTGTGGCCGCCATCACAAATGTGGCTTACCACATGCACAGATTCACACATAGTTGCTAGATTTGACTACTACTGTACCCTCTTTTTAGCGGAAGCACAGTTTGCTACACTTACAAAACAGTATATGCGGAACTGTCTTACTCAGTTCTGATCTTCAAATCATATGAGGTTACATAGGGTGGGATGTTCCCGAGGGCTGCCACGTGACAGTGAGGTCAAAAACATTCAAGGCAGGGGATTGGTATATTGCAGGACTGTTGAGCCTACTTAGGGAGTACAATTTGATAGACTTGTCCATACGTGCGGGTTCCACCAGAATAAAGGGTGACATGAGATAAGCAATGGAACAAATAGCCAAAGAAGAGGGAGTATGCGCATTTCGCATCTTTCATTACTTTGAATAATCCAGGATCCTTAGTGTCATTGGGTGTGTTCGCCGTTAACCTTCCGCCAGAAGTTTGCTGGCAAATCCCTGACCTTGGGCGGGGGCGATCTACCGTTGATGTACTGCCAAAGCCTGCTCTCTTGGTACACTTTGGCACCCTCGTGGTCGATTTTGCGACTTCCCTCATCAGACTGCATAGGCGAGTCCATAAAGGTGCCCGGCTTTGGCTTCCCCTTACTCTCCTCCTCGACGCCGGTCAGGGAGACGTTCAGAGGCAGGATTCTATCCAGGTAGTGCTGGTTGAGCAGATGACCCTTGACCTCATTCTTAAACAGGAGTCCAGAGAAGTTGTTCTGTCTCTCATCACGGCCGAGTATGTATCCTAAGTCGAATGATCGTGCCTTTTTCTCGAGATCTTGATTCAGGGACGCCTTGGCGACGAGGGACTTGAAGTGATTGACACCCCATGCGGCAACAAAGTCACCAGAATTGCCGTAGTGTTCGATGTGGCCGAGGATGCCTTCCTCGCCACTTACTCTAGGGTTATTGAAGTGGTTGGCTGCGTTGCCGAAAGTGTATATCTCCACCTGTTTCAAGGTGTCGCGAGAGTAGTTGGAAAGAAGCCAGTCGAGGATGATGCTGCCTTCGAGACCGCCCTGGGAATGAAGTATGAGGACGACCTTGTCAGTGTTTTCTGTGGGACTCAGAGCAGCGGCAATGAGCGAGTAGCAGGTCCTGGTGTCGGTAGTGCCAAAGTAAAAACACCTTTCCAAAAGGCACTGGATGATGTCGAAGACAATGCCGGCCCTGCAAAAGGTCTTCGTTATTATCGATCTCGAGCGAAAGATGAGAACGGTACATACGTGGGGTTATGAACGCCAACAATGGGGCGGTGGAAGGTCCTCGAAAGCCTGTTGAGGTTGCCTTGCAGCCAGTGAGAACTTCGTGCATGTTGGTTAGCACGGTAGATGTTCTGAGAGAACGACAATGGATGGCACAAACCCGACAGAAATTCCGTTGAGGAAAATCCACTTTTCTCGATAGTCTTCATCTCTGAGAGAATCCCAGTGCCTGGCCTCCTCCCAACGGTCGTGTTGGGATGTGAGCATTCCATTACTCGTTCCAGCGTTGAGCGGTATGCAAACAAAGTAGTTGAGAGCGATGAATCCCAGAATATAAGGTATTACGACGTTGTACGGGAGATTGGTAGCGAAAGGAATAGAAACCAAGAACGAGAGCTGCGCGACAATGAGGATCCCATGAGCCGTGAGGGAGATGAGATTCCCCACTGATGGGTAGAGCTCGTCCATCTCCCCAGAAGGGAAAAAGGGATCGACGAGTTTTTGGTACCAACTCTGCGAAGCCGTGACTGTCCGCTGGATGATATCCCAATTAATGCTCCTGGGAAGCCATGCCTGACTCAGAGAAGGGTACTGTACCCCATCGCGACGAGGATACCACAAGGGGTCGACGATGAATGGGATGAGTGTGGAATGCCTGACAAAGAGCCACAAATCGTCCCAGAGCAGTTGCCAAGGCGGAGAGACATGGTACTCTGGAAGCGTAGCTCGGACTGTGGTGATGTTTCCAGAACCTGTAACATGGGAATCGGTGACCTGCAGCTTGGTGGTCATGCGGTCCCGTTGTTTTTCCACGGACTGGAGGACGGTGACGGGCCCGGTGGATGTGCTTGAGGTGGACATTATGAGGTTGGCGTGACCTATGATCACGACGAGTGTGGAGGTTCGCCGAGTATGAAGATGACGTGGAAAGTCGACAGACTTATAATTTTTCTTTTGGACATGCTGCGAAATGTTTCGGGTTTTGTGGCGGTCGTGGCCCAGAATATCACTGCAGGGAGAAGAAACCATGCCAATGCCCCTTAGAATAACAGATAGTGTCTCAATCACATGCGCTCAGGGATCTGTTTCAACCTTCTGTCTTGTGAATCTCACACACGGAACTTAGCCATTGGGCGATGATGTTCTCTCTGGTAAATTTACGAACGAATTAGCGTTCACGTCAGCGTGGCTTATCTTTGCCACCCTTGGAGGTTGCTTCGCGAACGCCGCGCATGACATGCATGCCGCCCACTTAGGAAGAATGCGGTATGCGGTACACCCAAGAGGAGCTTAGCATTCTCAAAGAGGGCAGGCAGTATGCCTGGTACATGTAGGCTGACAGGCTGCCTCTCAGTGTCGCATCGTATTCAATTATCGTGTCGGTGTCTCGGACATAGCCGCACAACGCCCTGCAAAGCCTTTTCAGCTTCATGTCAGCTTACATGCAAGCAGTACTGATAAAACGCCACGAATAGCGTCTATGAACATGCATCATATACCATCGATATTGCCAGATACACGGATAACAGAGTCAATATTCGTTGCTGGCTCAATCATCCCCAGGGACTATGCTCAGTGCCATCTCATAACCGAATCCAGACAACGGTCATCGGCATTCTGAGTTTTCGATGACTGAGTGGAATTATCATCTGCGGATGTTTCTCGGGTTGCACATAAAGTCCGTGAAAGCCACTTCCTCATCCTCTTCAGGGACAGATGCAAATCCCGATCATAAACCCAATAGGCATCAAATAGGAAGCGAATAAGAGACAACTAACAACAACCCAAACCAAGATGGTAGTCAAGCTTTGGCGCCACTGCTGCACTTGGCTCCACACTAGTTTGCTCGTCACTCGGTAAAGATTCCTGCATAAAGACCCGTTGCTAACATCAACACTGCACTTTACCCTGGTGTGCATCTACTGCTTCATATCCTTTTCCCACTCCCTTTGCTCTTGAGACATTTCTATTCTATAGACAGTGAATCATGTTGCACCGTGATGGCCAATACCCAACAGACCACGATTCACGGTGAAATAATTTCACACCTGGTAGGGGCAGTCTGGTTGAAAACTAGCATTGAAAAATAGACTTCAACATGTTAATAAATTTCACCCTTAGTGCTCTTGCTATTCCACACATGAATAACCTTCAAAAATCTAGCATGTAGCGAAAGGTTGGTATAGCAGCTCACAGCAACGACAAATCTCGGCAAGATTATCATCCCAAGGGACAAGATGCTCTTCCTTTGACCACCTTATTTTCGATGTGGCTGGCAATAATCATAGCTGCCGTGGAACCTCTTCTTTCGTAGTCTTTTTCCTATATCATTCCATCAGCGAGTCTCTCGGAGCGTTCAGTTTCAACCACATTGAGAGTAGTCGGCATACCATCCGTGTAGCAAGCGCCGTTGCTTCCAGTACACCATTGAAAGTCCGCATGTTGCTATCAAAATCGGCAGTCCTCTTGTTTAATCTTGTTCCCATATCTGTTTCCTCCTGTAGAGTTCACGTATGCTCATTGCTGAAATAGACACCTTAACGGGGTGATGTTGAGAACAATGTAGCCAGCTCCTAGAAGTAGCTGACCATCAAGTTGTCACAATATATAAGCTACTATTACTGCCCACGTAACTAACAGTATTATTTTGTTATATAACAGTTATAAGCCTAGCTTCTACCTACTATATTATATATGTTAATATAAGTGCAGTAACTAGCTATAGATCTTAAGCACTGTAGGTTTAATTCCTATTAGGGTCCCCTAGTCAAAAATCCTACTAAAGTCTATGTAGATCTTCACCACCTATGATTGGCGAGATGTACCTAACTAGGTTTTCATCAAAAGTGTGCTCAGATGTGACTTTCTAGGTCAAATCAGGGGTGTGTATTACAATATATAAGCTACTATTACTGCCTACGTAACTAATGGTATCGTTTTGTTATCTGACACAAGTCATTGCAAGCCTGAAGTCGCGGCTTCTCAGCACGCCCGTTCCTCCAATGATTTGGAATCAATTCCTGCCCTTGTCGGATTAAAAGCAGGAACCCGAGAACCACATCTGTTTGTAACTTGAGGTGAACAAAACGTCTATTTCAATAAGTGCCATTACCAAGTTACTAGTATGCAGGCGGCCAATGCAGTCGGTGGTGGGGCCAACGGCCCAGCACGGGTCCACGGCGATATTAGTGTTTAGGGCGCTTTCGCACGAAGTTCGACTGGCAATATTGACTTCTCTCCATCTCACTCCCCGTTCCGTCTCGGCAATCGACAAAATGCCGAGGTCAGCCAACCAGAAGATGTCTGGCCACGATCTCCAAGCAACAGAAGAGGGCGTTGACAGTCACATGAGCGAACAGGAACGAAAGTGTGTGATCGCAGAATCTCCATCCATTCCCTAATACCAGCGAATGACAGCTGACGTTGACGCCGCAGACGACTGCGCAATCGCCTCTCCCAGCAAGCGTTCCGTCGCAGACAGGCAGAGCGCATCAGGGAGCTGAGTAGCCGCGTCAATGTTCATCAGAAGTCGGACGGTGAGCGCATCGAGGCACTGCAGCAGGAGAATCGGCAACTCCGGATGCAGCTGGTCGAGGTCCAGGCCAAGATGTCCCGGCTGCTAGCTACCCTCCAAGGGCTGAGCGACTCTGTTTCAAAGACTCTTGATGATACGGCTACCATCGAGAACGGAAATGATAGGTTTATAGATGACTCGGGGAAGCCATCAACTGGATTATCAAACCAGGACCACAAGCAAAGCAAGCATATTACCCCACAACCTCCCGAACTCTACGCACCACTGGAATTGGAACCATTGGATACATCGATGTTCAGTTTTGATCCGCCCCTGACGTTACCCTCCATGACAGGCCAGTAGGACAATGACCTAAAATATAAAAGCAAGGCACTGATAACTTGTAGGGCAAAATGAGGAGTACCTATCATCCGAGCTCGTCAACGTTGCTGGCACCAGCCCGCTCTATCCCCAGATCCCGAAAATCTGGAGCTTCGAGTACCAAACCGGCATAGAACCATACCTGACAGCCATAGCTGCAACCCAAGAGTCCAGCACACTGTTGCGCAAGAACTGGACGCAATCAAACTCACCGTTCTCGGACCACATCCAGCTCCTCCAGCGTCTCCTCAAAAACAAGCTGAGAGCGTCCGGGTTTACGCCAGAAGGACAACCCTCTATGCAAGGGTAACAATTGCTAGAGTTCATTGCTGATCGGAACCAGACTGACCGACTTTAGGATCTACCAACCTGTTCTCATGGTTCTCTCCATGTTCAACAGCATGACCCGGCCCGACGTGATGGCCTGGTACGCCAAAACACGCTTCTTCCACATCATAGAGCTAACGGCGTGGCAACTCTATCCGTCTACCGCCACCTTTCAGAAGCTGCACCCCAGATACCGGCCGACCGAGATACAGATGAAGCACCCGCACCCGCGCGTGATAGACTGGATCCCGTTCCCCTCGATCCGCGACCGGCTCATACAACGCCACGCCGCCAATCCTCAGATTGACCAGATATTCTGCGACGCGGTCACAGGGTACGTAGTCGAGACGAACATGTCGGACCTCATCCTCGGCGCGCCGCAAGTCACCGTCTATATCCGAGTCACCGATCTGATCACGGCCATGTCGTCCACCACGGGCGAGGACGACGGCCTCGATGAGACGCCCGCAGCCATGCCCGCCCCCGACATTGCGACCCTCTTCTCCTCGCCGTCGCACGCCCGTGCGGCCTTCAAGCTGCTGAACATGGACAGAGGCGCGTCGTACTACAAGATCGACCCGGCCTTCTATACAAAGTACCCCGAGCTGTTCGACCAGTCCAGCGACCTGACGGCCACCGGCATACCCCTCAGGCCGAAGTCGCAAAAGGTACTAACGTACCCCAAACCCCTCGACGCCTCAACGGTCGAGACCTACCGGAGTTTCATTGACTTCTCTCTCGATGCCGCCAACACGATCACTTCCTCATCGACGTCTTCCTCCTCAACAACGAGGGCCGTGTGACCCGTGTCTTGGGTCCCCTCATCGACGCAGTCGCTTGTGTAGCACGGCCACACAATCACGTCTCTTCCTGCGCCCACCCTTGTCAGATTTGTCAAACAAACGCCGGAACCCCCAGCCGGCCCCGCGATGCCGAAACTATCCGCGCATGCCCCGTATGTAGCCGTCGCAACTACTGCCGCGATAAGGTTCCAAGACACCCGTAGTTTCGGAGCATAGCTATGTCCACGTTTTTTTTTTTTTGTTGAGCGTGGGCGTCACTTAGACCCGCACTGACTAACGTTCCACTTAGTAACGCTCAGATTCGGCTGTCGTCTAACGTTTGGATGTGCATCTTTCTGTGGGGAACGGGGAATTCTATATACTAGTAGAATTCCGAGGAGACGGGATCACAGATTCCCATCATTCTTTTCGTTGTCTATAACCATATCGTCATACCGTCCAGCCATCAACTATGCCCTCTCAAACTCTTATCCCCAATACTGCGCCTCGCTACAGCTTCCTCGATGACTACAGCGAAGGAGCCCACCCGGCGCTCCTGAAAGCCATTCTATCCAGCAACACATCCCAAGAGGCAGGCTACGGCGGCGACGCATACTGCGCCCTCGCGCGGCAGCGGATCCGCCGGCACCTGGGCCGCGAGGACGTCGGCGTCTTCTTCGTGCCCAGCGGCACGTCGGCCAACGCCATCTCCATCGCGGCCTGTCTGCGGCCGCACGAGGCCGTCATCGCCGCGAGCTCCGGGCACATCGTCACAAGGGAGACGGGCGCCGTGGAGGCCAGCGGGCACAAGATCATCAACGTCGCGCCGGTCGACGGGAAGCTGACGCCCCAGAGCATCCAGCGGGCCATGGACGACAACTGGCACTTCCCGCACATGGCCAAGCCGAGGCTGGTGTACGTCTCCAACGCGACCGAGATCGGCACGCTCTACACGCGGGCGGAGCTCGCGGCCATCAAGAACGTCTGCGAACGGAACCAGCTCCTCCTGTTCCTCGACGGCGCGCGCATCGGGACGGCGCTGGCGTCCAAGGCCAACGACATGACGCTCGCCGACGTGCTGGAGCTCACCGACATCTTCTGGATCGGCGGCACCAAGAACGGCGCCCTCCTCGGGGAGGCCGTGGTCGTCAAGGACGCCCGCCTGGCGACCGAGTACGAGTTCTACATGAAGCAGCACGGCTCTCTGCTCGCCAAGAGCCGCATCATGGGCGTGCAGTTCGCCGAGCTCTTCAAGGACGGCCTCTACTTCGACCTCGCGCGGCAGGCCAACCTGTGCGCCGAGACGCTGTCCAGCGGGGTCGCCGCCGCCGGCTTCGCGGTGTACGCCGTCACGGAGACGAACCAGGTGTTTGCGGTGCTGCCCTTGGGCCTGATACAGGCGCTGCAGGAGCACTTCACATTCTACGTGTGGGAGAAGCGTGCCGACGACGAGGCGGTCGTGAGGTTGCTGACGACATGGGCCACAGAGATGACAGAGGTGGACAAGTTTATCCGTTTGGTCCAGGGTTGGAATAAGTAAAAATAAATAAAAAAGAATAAATATCTAACACATGAACAAAGTAATACATCGTGAACAGAGGTCCGTTAGCGTAGCGACGACAATGCCTCCTCGACGTTGGGGATCTCGGACGCCGTCTGAGCTGGACCGCCCCAAGTCACGCCTCCTCTCCCGTCCACGGCCCAAGCCCCCGAAGTCTGCCATCGGCTACCGCTCTCGGTGGGCCTGTTGGCGATGCCCTCCTCCCGCGCCAGCTTGAACACGCTCGACAGCGCGCTCGGGCTGAGGACGTGCAGGAAGCTTGACGCGCCGAGGCCCCATCGGGCATAGACGTCGCGCCCCTCGTCGGTGACGACCCCGACGGGGTTCGCGTCGCCGCCGGGGCCCCCGACCTCGGACACCCACTTCTTCGTGTGCGACGCCGACGAGTGCGAGACGGCGACGAAGGCGACATCCGGGTTCGCCGAGGCGGCTTCGCGAAGGACGCGGAAGGATTTCTCGGCGACTTAAACCCTGGGGTGTGAGCTTGACATGCTCGTTCTGAAGGGCGGGAAACGGATGACGTCTTTTTTAGCATCATGGGATCGTGACTTACATGGACAACCGCAATGCCTGAGGAACACGACCACGGCCGGCCTCTCGTCGGCCCTGGGAAACTCCAGCAAGTCGGTGCTCGGGGCGGAGTCTCCCACTTTCGGCGGGCTTCCCAAGTCCAGCTTCTTCGGGGACATCCATGATGCCAACTCTTGCGTCAAGGACATGGTTGTGGGATAATCGATTGGATTGGTCGCGGGTTCACCTAGTCGTGTGTTTTGGAGCGGGCATGAATGTCAGAGTGGATTTGTTTGTCTGCAGACTTCTGGACTTCAATCACGTCATGGTTTATCATCGCTATTCATTGTTCACTAATCAGATTGCGGCCCTTGTCGGTAGTCCGGCACTTGGTCTTCGGCCGAGTCCCGAAGCCTGCAAGCCGCATGTCCACTCGTCGGCATCAGACAGCTGGATCAGTGCGTCTAACTAACCCTTTGTTCCTTGGTCGGTACTCTTTGTCGTTTCCAAACATGGTAGTATCTTGAGCCCAAGGAAAGGTCTATTAACTACCAGATGCTTCGAATGTGATTTCACCCGGATATCTTTTTTGATCCGGGAGTCGCAACAATCGATCCCCGTCTCAGATAATGTGCGCCGCGTCCAAGATCATATCCGATAACCGGTACTGCCTGAAGCTCTCTTCGCCCCCCGCATCATCGTTTGCGAGGTAAAGGTGGTCGTCTAGGAAACACATGGTCGGGTCTTCGGTTTCTGCTGTTTGGACCCACGAGTGCGTTTCAGTTGGCGTTGCGTCAGCTACATCTCTCCATGTCCAATCTCTTTCCTCTGCAATATCGATATCATGGGCGGCGGAGGGGCTGGATGTGTATAATGGTGTTAGGAACGATGGCTGATCCGAGCTGCCTGATGGAAAACTATTGACTGTGCGGGAGCCGGCGTCTGTGCCGGGGCTTTGCACATTCGCTGCAGCAGCGAGAAGCATCATATCTTCCGCTTCTTTTTCAGTGAGACTAAGGAACGGGAAAAGAACCGCCGGTGATGGGGAAAAACCTAAGACATGGACGTACATAGTGTCGGAGTAAACGTGTTGTCTTCGTTTTGAGGCCGGTTTTGTTTCTCTTATGGTCTCACTACGCTCTGTTTGAAATTGCGGCGGAGGGGAATTTCATAGGAGGGTACAGGTGTGAGTTGATTATATGCTTTGTATCCGTCTAAGTGGTACATGAACAGCAGTTGTGTTGCCCAGGGAGAACCCATTCTCTCTTATTAGATTTTCAGCCTGAGGTAGAACAAAGCATCCCAGGCGGCAGCGACATCAAATAGAGTCTTCTTTCAGCATGCTCCTAGAAGAAAAAGATGGCCTTGGCTTTGCCGCGGCAAGGAAACAATAACCCCCCTCCCGAGGGTGTAAGACACCTACATAGTGAACAACAACTGGCGATGAATGGCCTCGTTCGAGGGCTGTGAAACAGCCTCGATAAAGGGGTTAGAGCGGTTCTCGACTCACATCTTCAAACAAGCCGCATTGTTCAGGCTCTATCTCCTTGTCATCCTGCGCGCAACCCATCTCTCTTTCAAGGCAGTCCGGACTCCCTGGAGTCCTAGCAATGGGCCTCGTATCATGGGTCAAGCAAGAAATGTACGCGAAGCAACTTTTACAGCTTCGGTCCTGCTGCTGCATCAGTAAACGCATTCCGCACCCGAATCCTCGACCTTGATGGGTGCACATGGACACTAGCCTTGGTGATGCGCCAGTCTGACAGGAAAAATATGGTAACAAAGCATATACAGAGAAAAGCATCCACAGTTGGCCCAGATCTGCGTCTCGATAGGTATCGGAAGGGGACAAGGAATAAAGCAGAGACAAGGTATATGGCTTCAGCCTTTGATATCCGGTCTCGAGTCTACGGACCACTCTCCCCATCGTGACCACTCCATGACCTCGCTGACACTCCTTTTTCCCCCCCTTCTTCATCTACAGCTTCAACCCCTCCATCATCCCCTCCAGCTGCTTCCACTCCTCCGTCCCCTCCCACGCCTCCCTCCCGCGGCTCATGACGCTCCGCACCGCGTTCCGCGCCTTACCCCTCCACCTGCTCCCCACGCCCTCGACCTCGCCGCCAAAGTTCTCCAGCACGCTCACCAGCTCGTCCGTCCGCGCCACGACGGCCGCCCACGCGCCCGCGTCCACGAGCCAGTTCCGGCTCTGGTCCGCGCCGCCCGACGCCGCCGCCGCCGACGCCGCCAGCCCGCCCCCCGCGCCCGCCCCCATCGCCGCCCGCCACGCCTTCTCCGCCGCGTCCACGGCGCCGGCGTAGTCCCGCCGCCACACCCGCAGCCGCACCACCAGCTCCCACAGCTCCGACCTCGTCGTGATCAGCGGCACAACGGCCTCCTCGAACAGCGCCGTCACGGCCTTCTCGACGGTGCCACGCGGCGGCGCGTACATTCCGCCGCCCCTGTCGTCCTCCTTCGTCTTGGAGAGGACGCCCTCCTGCAGCAGCGCGCGGAGGACGGCGTCGTCGAGCGCGTCCTCGGTCTTGCGGATCCGGATGATGGCGCCGAGGGCCTGCACCATGTCGACGATGGCGGGCGGCCGCATGCGCGCGGCCAGCGTGAGGACGTTGTCCCAGATGCGCCAGTTGTCCTGCGCGATCGACGCGCCGCGCTTGTATGCCGCCAGGGCCTGGGAGAGGAGTGTGCCCGGGTCGCGGGGCTTGGACTCGTGCTGCTTGGGCTCCTCGTCGTCACCGTCATCCTCCTCGTCCTTTTCCTCGTTCTTCTTGACGCCCGTCTTCTTCTCCTCGATGATCTGCTTCTTCAGCTCCTCCACCGCCTCGAGGTACATGCTCCAGAGGGCACTGCCCAGGTTGCTCCACGTTCGGGCGTCCTCTCCGCCGACGACGTCGCCTGCGGCGCCGATGGCGCGGCTGTACGCCTCGGCCGCGTCTGCGAACTGGCCCAGGCGGAGGCTGATGTCGCCCAGCCGGCTCCACATCTCGGGGCTCAGCCGGTTGCACTGGGTCGCGAGCTTATACGCGTCCTGCGCCTTGGCCCAGTCCTTGTGAGCGAGGTACCACTCGCCCAGGGACTTCTGCGCGCGCGCAAAGCGGTGTTTGGAGATGTCCCACGCGCGCTCCCAGTGTGCCGGCTCGTTCTCCAGGTCGCCGAGGATGCAGAACAGCCGCGGAGCGTTGGGCGGCGGCGGGCTGCGTTCGGGACCGGCAAAGTCGGCGGGGTCGAGGTACGTGACGTCGCGCTGCGCGACGTCTTCGGCATCCGGGTCTGCGTTCTCCACGACGGACTGCCCCGTGCGGTGGAAAAGACGCCAGCGGACGAGCGCCTTGGCCTTGTCCTCGCCGCCGCTTCCGCGGCCGGAGTCGTCGTCGGCGGAGGCGCTGCTAGCGAGGCAGAGGGCGACCTCGGCCCAGAGGCGTAGGCGCTTGAAGATCTCGAGGGCGGAGACGAGGGAGCCGACGCCGGCCCACGAGTAGGCGAGCTCGGACTCGAGATGCCACCTCGGCGGGGAGGAGAGCGCGTGTATGTACTGCAGGCGGACGTGCGCCGGTGCCGTGTCGGTCTCCTTGGCGGCCGGGAAGAAGGACGTCGGCTTTTCCGCGTCAACGGGGGCTGCCGCTTCCCCGGGGGCGGTGACGGCGATGGCCGGGAGCTCGGGCTCGTGGGCGACGTCTTCGGCTCTGGGGCGCGGGGCCTCGGAGGTGTCGACGACGACCTGATCGACTACGGCCTGCATCTGCAAGACGCCCCTCTCAACCGTTCTGCTGCGGTGGACCTCGATGCGCGAGCGCACCAGCAGGGCCTGCGTGTAAATCTGCCAGTTAGTTGCCTTATCCGACACGACGCGCACGGCGTACGGCAGAACCTCCTCCGACGTCAGCGTGTCGACGGGGGAGAAGGTGTCCTTGAGGGTGGCCTCGGTGAGGAGTATGATCTGGTCGAGCGGCGACAGCTGAGGCTGGGCGTCCGGAGACAGATCCGCCAACGTAGCAGGGAGGCCGGCGGACGTGGCCGCCAGCTCGCCATGCTTGCCGCTCGCCTCCTTGGAGAATTGGATCTCCTCGAGCAGGGTGTCGTCGTTCAGCGCCACGGCCTCGGGCTTCGCCTCGGTGTCGTCGTTCTCCTCCGCGTTCTCTGTAGGCGAGTCGCTCTTGGCAAGGACGACAAGCTGGCTGGTGCTCTTCTCCTGAAACTTGGTCCTCTTCCCGAGCGCGCCAGAGAGTGCGTAGGCAAACCTGCTCAGCTCCGTCGCCTCCTTCAGCGCCTCGCGCGCCCTATCGTCGCGGCCGAGCATGATGTGCGTGTTAGCCGCCTCGAGCAGGAACTGCACCTTCTCTTCCTTCGACCAGGTGCTCTCCTCGCTCGTCGACCACACGTGCTCGTCGAGGATCTGCTTCCTGACGGCCTCCATGCCGAAGTTAATCTGCTCCGCCAGCGTCGGGACGTCGATCCACTGCGACGACTTTGCAAAATTGGAGCCCGGGCCGAGGGAGGGCTGGCTGAGGAGTTTGAAGTGCCACACGTTGATGCGCAGGCGTGTCCACGGCAGGCTCAACCGCGACGAAGAGAGCTTGATGACGGCGCCGCTAGCGGATGCGGACTCAGTGAAGATGTGACGAGCGAGGGCGAAGAGTTCAATGTTGGGGATGTATGCATACGGCGAGACGCCATCAACTTCGAGAGCTTTGAAACTGTTCTTCCGAAGCGCCTTGAGGGTGTCTGCCACCCCAAGGGGGGCTGCCGCGGACGCTTCGACGAAGAGCGCCTCGACCTTGTCGACATGCTCCAGCACCGGTCCGGTCACGTTCGCCTGGAGGAATGCATTGAGGGCAGCGAGACCGACAGCAGTCTCTTCTTCGGACAGCGACTCCTGCGATGGTGCGGGCAGGGTATTGCTGTTCTCCCCGGCAGTTTGCGCTTCGAGGCGGCGGACGAACTTGGTAACGAGGTCCTTGGCGACCGGCGACGTAAGGACGTCTATGTATGCGCCGTTCGAGACTTGTGAGAGTAGAGAGGCAGCTTCATGGCCGCCGTTTGTCTGTGATTCCGCCATCTTCGGACCAAAGTTTGGTGCAAGATACTCACTCGCACTTCGCCTGTGATTATGGAGGGGTCGTAAAGCTGCGATAAGTGCGCCGTTTGCCCCGCGTCGCGGGGTATGTCGCGCCCGAAACTGATCAACGACGGCTGTTGCCAAAGTACACGAGCTCCAAACGGGTCAAAGAGGCTATCTTCGATCTGTGTTTTTTGCAATTCGCAGTGCTTTATATGCTCACAAGAGCAATGGTTTTCTTCCGTTTTCTTCCGGCCAGAAAGTTGACTCAATCGGGGAACAGGCGCAGCGTTGATGCCCTGTGAAATCGAAATTTCCATGGTGGGGGCGGGGCAAATTTTCACCTACTCACTGTGTTACATAAGCGGCTCACCCAGGACAACCACTCATCTCATACCTTCACTCACTCATTCATTCCCTTACCTTCCATTCGCTTACCTTTCATTCACTCATTCATTACCTTGCTTCCCTAATTGCCTCGTCTCATTTAATCCTTTCTTCGTTTTATCCGTGGTGCAGATTTTGCCCGGTTCATTCATCACATCGCAAAGCACGCTCAAAAATGATATCACTGCTTGCTGACATGCTACCTATCGCTTGCATTTAGCGCTACATGTTGACGCTATGGCCCAATGGCAGTAATCCATCCAGAAGTAAACTCGCCGTCCGAACATCGTCAGGGCATCGTCCCGCTTGGCAATTACATCGTTACAGCCTCAGCCATCAAATTCGCCGCTGCGCATGCCCCCGTGGAGCTCCTGACCATTCATTGTCTTCAGTTGCCCTTCTTGCCCGCCTTCTTGCGCGTCGGGACTACCTTGAAACTGGCGCCTTGGATACCAGCGTCTCCCGCAGCCGCACTGGCGGGAGACTGCTCCTTGTGGCCGCCCTTCTTGGCTACCTCGTTCCAGCTGCCAGACTTGCTGTCCGTGACGGCGCCTTGCTTCTCGACCACACCCTTCTCGGCCAACTTCTTGCGCCGGATGAACTCTTCGGCAAAGTGGAGACCGTGCATGGTCTTGGAATTGGCATACACTGCATCGGCAATGATGGTGTTGTCGAGAGGGAGGATTTGGAGGGTAGCAGCGAAAGTATCAACTGTGACTGTAGTTAGTAATCGAGTCCTTTGTTTGGCAAGCGCATACTCAATACTCACTGTCGACACCAGTAATTCCACGGGATAGCTCGCGGTGGAGCCATTTGTTGAACTCATCCATGGCAACATCGCTCTTGGCAGGTCCAGCAGGGGCAGCAGCCGGGGAGGCTTGACAGCCGGCTTCGTCGCCGCCGGGGTAGCCTTCATGCCGGCAGCGCTAGCCGATCGCGTCTGAGACGCAGGTCCCGTGGGCACCTTGACTTTACCGCCAGCGCCGACCATGGCCCAACCGCTACCTGGGGGAGGGGCAGGCGAGTTGGTCTGCCCAAGACCGGGGGCATTGTTGGGCTTGGTAGCGAGGTCAGCATAACGCTTGCCGGCCGCCGCAGTGGCCAATCCCGTTTGGACGGCAACCTCCTTTGCCGCCTTGGCCTTCCTGTTCTCCTCCTCACGCTGGATGTCTGCAAGAGTCTTTTGTTTTCCGGGAGTGCTGGCGCCCGGGGTGGGCTTGACGGACGCGGGCTTCGTCCAGGGGCTGGCAGCTGCAACGGGTGAGCCGTTGCCCCAGGTGCTAGTCGTAGGAAGCCCTGTGGCGGAAGCGACGGCCTTCTCGCGCTCTCTGAGGGCAGCGGCCTCTTGCTCCAAAGCCACGCGGCGGCGCTCGGCAGCAGCCTCCTCGGCCTTGGCAGCCTTACGAGCTTCGGCCTCCTGGATCTCCTTGAGGCTGGGACCCTTGCGGCTAGCAGCTTCCTTGGCCCATGGAGCCAAAGGTGGGGGCTCAGTGGCTGACCCGGTGTCGGGGGTTCCAGTCTGGGATCGGCTGTACTGTTCGGGTAGATTGGACCGGACACGCTGAGCGGTCGGGGCGGGAAGAGGAGTGCCAGCCGTGGGGACAGGGGGAGGGAACGGCATGGGAAAGCCAGCAGCCGCGTTCTTGGCAGCCTCGGCAGCAGCCTGTGCCTGCTGAACTCTCTGAGTTAGAGACAGCTGCTCCTGCTGCTCCATGATCTCCTTCATGCCTGGGGCCGATGGCTTGTGGTTCTCCTTGGAGCTTGTCTCCGAACCAGTGGCAGCGGGGACCTCCTGGCTGCCATCATCTTGGTTGGTCTTTTTACCAGACTCTTGGGCCTGCTCCGAATCACGCTCGGCACGGATATCCTCAAACTCCTTCAATCGCTCACGAAATCCTTCCTCGTCCTTATCCAACTGCTCGGTTCCCGGAAGGTTGTTGCGGAGGTTGTTGTCGTTGGCATGAGCACCGACGGGCTGCTGGTTAAAGATGCTGGCGATGCTGTTCGGGGCCTGTACACTGGCAAGCATTTGGCGTTCGCTCGGGTTCAGCGTCGCAAGGTCTTCTTCACGAAAATGATCGAGTCCAGCACCAACAGGTGGCTGGGCTGACGCTTGCTGGGCGGCCGCATCGAAGAAACTGGACGTGGGGCCAACGCCACCTCCGATAGGCGGCTGCTGGGGATGAGCACCGATTGGCGACGAAATGCTACCGAAGCTAGGTTGGCTCTGCAGGCTGTGAGCGCTGTGCTGGTGGTGCAAGGAACCTGGGACACCACCTGGGCCTTGACTTTGCAGTCTAGTGATCGCCTGCTGCCTCATCATGAAGTCGCGCTGTTGGGCCATCGCCTGCTGTTCTTCCTGCTTCCTACGCTCTAGGTTATTCTGTTCCTCGGCGGTCAGCGTTCTCCCGAAGCTCGGGAACACCCCGCTGAGGGGAGGGATGACACCGGCGTTGCCGCTCGGCGAGAAGGGGCCGGCCTGGGATGGAGGGCCGTGAGCAATGCCGATTTGAGGGACAAGGAAGGGCTCGCGCGAGTTGCCGATTCTTCGAATAAGCTGGCCCAGGGGTTCGAAATCGGAGTCCTCCACCTTTTTGACGCGGAGGTCGGGTGTGAAGAAGTTGGCCTTGTACCAGTCGTTCATCTCGAGACCACTGAAGGGGCCTTGGACATGACCCTGAGGATCAAGGTAAACCCAGCGCATACGGTCGGGCATGACCATCTGACGAACCGGGGCAGAACCAAACTCGGTGCCGGTCGAAGCCCCGGGGGTGAATGCCTGAGGGTGACCTACACCGGGAGCTCCGGGGTGGGAGGGATCGGAGCCGCCGAAAACGCTGTGGGAACGGGTAGGATCGGAGGGGAACATCTCCTCGAACACACCGCCTCTGCCAGTTCGAAGCGGGCTGCCAGCGTCTCGTGGCACTGCATTGAAGTTGTTCCGACCGATGGCACCTAGAGGGTTGCTCTGACGAAGGTCGGGCAGCGCGTCGCCCAAGTTCTCCTGCTCGTGGCCTTGCATCTGAGCCTGCATCGCCGGAGGAAACAGGGAACCCAGCTTGCTGCGGCCAATGGTTCCGGCTCCACCAAGACCACCAGCACTAGCAGGGCCAAACACACCAGCGCCGATGCTCGACAAGCCCGGCGACTGAAGCTCGGTGCCCATGGGACTGAAGAGGGAATTTCCAAAAACTCCGCCAAAGCCAGCGCGCTCGCGATCAGGGGTGCCAGTAGACATGGGAACAGGCCAGCCAGAGGCATAGCCCCGGGGGCCAGCGCTGCTAGTCTGACTACGATCGCTGCCGTCAAAAGCATGGGTAGGGAAGCCACGCGACGACATGGTGTTGAATGCGGGGTTCTGCTCGCCGCCAATGGTCGTTCCATGGGGCTTCTCGGCGCCACCTTCATCATGGGATTCGCTACGGTCGGCCGGAGGGCTGCGGTAGGGGTTCGTCTCGGACGGGCTCGCAGGGCCTTGCTCGTTCTCGGCTTGGTGTCCGAGGTTCAGCCCAGACATGCCGAAGTCGCCAGTTGAGCCCTTGACGGGTGTCTCGAACATGCCGATATTGCTGGGGTTCGGGATCGGAGGAGGGCTGGTGTCTTGAGCACCGCCGAGTGCGGCGCTGCCGGAGAGGTTGTCGTCGCCTCCAAAGGGATCGGTGTCAGTGCGGGGTCGAGAACGCCAGGATCGGGTCGCGTCGGGGGTTGAGGCCTCATTCGTCTTGCCGGAGGTGTTGTCGGATCCTTCTTTGTTCATGAGGTTGGCGAAGCGGCTTCCGCCACGGCTGCCTGTACCGATGGTCGAAGTAGGAGTTGGCAGAGCGAACTGGCCGAAACTACCCATACCACCACCACTGCTACTGCTACCACCGCCACTACCACCAGGTACAGAGGTGTGAGAAGAGGCCCCCCAGAGTGAACTGATGTTGGCGCCCATGCTAGGGTTACCAGTCGTGTTGCTACGCGTCAGGTTTCCGTAGGGTGGCTTGGGCTGTGCCTGGTTCTGCGGCTGTCCAGCGCCTTCGTCCTCGCCAGGGTCCTGCTCCTTGACGTCGTTGTTCTTGCGACCGAACAAGAAAGCGTCGTCGCCGCGGGCAAAACGCGCCGCGCTCGGAGACGCAAGCGCACCGGTGCCGAATGGATTGGAGTCGGTCGTCTCTCGGCGTCGGGTTCCGGGTCGGGAGGCAGACGACGGCGATGCCAATCCGTATCCTGCAGCACTACCATGCGACAGAGAGGGCTTCCTTCCATTCGTTCCAGTACCCTGGTTTCCCTCCTGTTTTTGAATAGGCGCCTTCAGAGGAGAGTTGACATCAGATGCGAATGCCTGTCTTGAATTAGTCCCCGTTGCCTGGTACTTGGGTCCGTCTAGCCAACGCACCTCCTTCTCCTCTTCAGACAAGCCATTGACGCCGACGGGATGGCCATCCCCCGTGGGTTCCAACAGGCGGCGGGATCTTGAGAGTTGTGATTATTGTTGGTCTTGCCCCAGCCCCGCGCAGCGCCACCGTTTGTCTGTCCCGGAGTCCATCCCGATTCAAACACGTTGGCAGTGTCTATTTCCGCCGCCCCTTGCTTGAAAACACCAAGAATCGACTCCTTCTGGTACTGTGAAGGAGCTGGGTAGTCGTACGTCGCGGCTCCCGGCGTCTGGGGAGGTGCAGCAGATTCGAGGGAGGTGGCGGGGAAGGCGTTTTCGGACGATGCTGCGGATTGGGACGGGTGGCCGGGTGTCACTGAGGATCGTCGGAAGGTCAGGGTGCCGTTAGCTCTGCCGTCACGTCGAGCCCTGCTTATGATGTTAGCGAAATATTCGGGTTCAAGAGTGTCGCACGATGGGCAGTGAGTTCGGTGGTGATGCGACAGCATCTGATGTCGCCACCGCCGTCGCAACATAACTGTACTGTGCAACACACACACACACACACACACACACACACAAGCCAGAAATCCATACCCTCAACGTACAACGAAGAGGAGGCTTTCTGTGAAAATTGTGACGAGCCAGGAAGGAAATGCAAAGAAGCTACTACTGACCATTCCCCACTACCGGCTCCGCGACCGTCGGGGCGACCGGTTCTCGCGTCACGGCTGGAGTTTTGGCCGGCGGCGGCCGAGGCAAAGCTCGATGGTAGATTCGAAGGCATAGCGGGTGATGATGCTCAAAAGTATGTGTTGAGGTCGAGCAAAGATTCGGAGGGGTGCAAGCAAGGCAAAGCAAGCCACGCGCAGGTGTGGTGGGCTGATATGTTTTTTTTTAGTTCGGGATTTGCTGATCGATCTCTCGTGGACAAGTCACGAAAGATGGTGTGTGGGTTTTGGCGACGGCACGCGACTTTAGTTGGCTGGGGGGCGATGATACAGGTGGAGTGATGCGTGATACAGATAGCTGATGTCAGGCTTGCTAAACGATGGATTGATCGAGATACCGAAAAGGTCGATTCGCGAGCGTATGCGGTTCGTCGTGCGAGGGTGGGTGAGGAGGGTGAGCTGTCTCGTCGAAAAAATCAGAGGTTTGAAAGGAAAATTGCCAGCTCGGAAGGACCCACGATGTGTGGACCAGGGAGGAACTGTGGGAACCAACCAGCAGGGCGCTAGGCCCGGAGAGGGCAAGAGCCGTGGTTTATCCGGTCCCGGCCACACGTTTTCTCTACCTGAGGTAGGTACCTACCTACCTACCTAGCTAGGTGCGGTACCCAAGCAGCCAAGGTACGTGAAGTACCGGGGAGAATGAGGTAAGGTAAGGTGCGGATGACGTTGAGACCTGGCCGTACCTGCCTTGCCACGCTCCGTCCAGGTTCATTAATGCGCTTCCCCAGATTCCTACAGACGTACGGCTATCTACCTGAGCAAGTATCTATGATACCTCTTTGATTTTTCTTGTCTTTCCCTATTATTCCGTTTGCTTCACTTTGACCTGAATGAGGTAGCTACCTAGGAAAACAACTTCATCGAGTCATTCGTTTGTCTTGCTCTCTCTCAATCATCGCTGCCCGAATCCCTACGACGAGGGTGCCATCACGTGTGTCACACGTGACCCCACCCTGGGGCGTGCACTTCAGACATATTTGTCTTTTTCCCCCCCTCACAGGGCGGACGACAGCGGTACAAGCTCCGACCTAAAGGGGGGGAAGAGCAGTGGTTTTTGGGTTATTGGGCTGTGCTGCAGGGCACTAGGGTGGGATGTGACATAGTAGGTACCTAGCTAAACTTTTCAGGGGTAACCTCCTAGCAGTAGGGGGTAGCTCAAGCTCACCGACCTCTGCGCATCACCGACACCTGTCTTTTAAAGCTCCCTTTCTCCGGGTGCATGTAGTTGTACTGCTCTATTTGTTTTAAGGCAGCCTAGCATCGATTTGAATCCCTGAATACGAGAGACCCGGGCGAGAGAATGCATACGGGTGAAAAAAAGATGGACGTCCGAAGAGGTATCATGCGAGTGGTGGAGATGAAGAGGACAGAAAGGCAGGGCGGAATAGGTACCCGTGACATGTGTCCTCTCTGGGAAGTCGCATTTCGTTCCACTCACACACTCTCTCGTACCGTTCGCTCATGCTCATGCTCATGCTCCTGCTCATGCATGTCGTCCGCCCTCCCCCATCTCACTCGTCATCTCATCTCATCTCGTCTCATGTCTATCACCGGCCAGTCAGACTCTCTCGGCAATGACTCGTACTCTTCTACTCCAAGGCCAAGCTCATTGGCCGAAAGTTTTATAACATGCTGGAGGGCGACTTTAGCATTTGTGCTTGTTTCATGCCACAAACGGCTTTTGGAGTTTGAACGTCAGTCTGCCCTTTGACTTTCCCGAGGCTCGGTCTGCCTTTGCCTTGGAAAATTGCAAGAGGTGAGGAGGGTGGCACGATCGCACACGCTAATGAGACGTTGGTTGGTTCCCCTCATTTACAAACCTACTATCAGCTAGCTAGGTAGATACCTTGACTTACCTCGCTTTCCCCATGCAGCGTGAACGTCATGCTCAACAGTTGAGACGGCCACCTGATAATACTCCGTAGGCCGTAAGTCTAGACAGTACTCAAGCAAGTACACGTACTATGTAGAACCCAAGCTCTAGCATCCAATCCGCGGTAAGCTTGTTACCCGGGCAGCCAGCTGAAAACACCTTGCCCAGGTCAAATGATGTCGTTGTGGGAGCTTCGACCCCCCCTCACACACTGCCGTTCGCATGTCTTTCTACCATGTCTTATTAGTAGAATTCACCGTTGCATCGCGGTTTGCATCGTCATGTTTCGGCCGAGCCGGCTCCAACACTAATCGGCATTAGTGCCCCCGCTCATCTCAAAACTCAGACTACCCCTCCAAGTTGAATGGGGATTGTTTATCGTCGGCGTCTCTCGGCTGTTTCGTCTGCCCGGCCCCCCGCGTTTGACGACATCTCATCACCCCTCAACAACAGTGTCGGAGAATCGGCATTCCACTAGCCTGACAAGATGTCACGACCCGGTCTACTTTCATCTGGTACCTCCGGCCATGGCGGCCCGGTGCGTGTGGCCGTGGCCCTCCTGAAAAGCCGGCGGACGAGGTACCTTGGCCTCTTTGCTGCGCTCCTTGTTGGCATCCGGATCTTCGTCTTGGACTCATCGCCGGGCGGGGTCCCGGATGACTACGCAGCCACGAACCCGTGGCGGGACCTCCCTCCAAGCCCCGCCGTCCACGAGACCATCCGGGAGGTTCTCTTCATTGGGGACACGCTCCGAGACGGCATGCTGCCCACGTCCCTGCCGGGCGACAACTACGACATGTACTCGAATATGCTGAGCAGCCTCGAGACCAGGACTGACCTCACCTGGCTCGTGATCCAAGAGACCAATATCGACAAGACTGTCATGGCTATCGCCAATCGCGGTGGTCATCACAGCCCCATTCCGGAAGAGCCGCATGACTTGCACGCGCGCGCCGAGAGACTCCATCGTCATTGGTTCACGCTCGCTTCTGCCAAGGACAAGCCCGATCGATGGGACACTCGGTTCGACACCACTTCTCTCCCTCCGCTTGTCGTCAGACACACCCCCGGCTCCGGACCCAAGACCGACTCCTCGGGTCTAGAGTTGACGGTTGAGCAGAAGCTGGCGGCCGATGCCAAGTACAGAGCCTACCGAAAGCGCCGAGACCGCGCTGTGTCATACCTCAAAAGCCACCCACCTAAACCCATGGCTTGGCTACCGGTCCAGACAGAGCCTGAGGCGTCTCGGAGCGTCTGGGAGACGCTATTCGATGATGGGATCGTGCAAGCCGGACGGAAAGTGGTGGGGGGCAAGCTGGCTGGGAACCCCATGTTCAAGCCCGTGTATCGCGATCTCATCACGGAGCGTGTCCCCTACGACTGGGTCAACCCGGATGAGCCGGCAGCGGAATACGACGAGAAGGAACACCTAAAGAACATGGAAACATTTCGGGAGGAATCGCGTGTCAGGCAGGAGAGAACGGATCGGCAGGCAAAGCTCCAGGAGGAGCTGAGGGCCGAGGAGAGGTTGAAGCGGGGAGACAAGCAGGAACTATGATGAGCATGGGTAGATGCATGGGCAGTGTCACAGTGGATCATGACTGACAGCTCCACCCCATGTATCGAACAGCCTTTGATTTCCATTCATATGCATCGCCAGTCATAATAACAGAAAAGAATGCTGGGACTTGTCCTTTCGTCAACCAGCAATTTTCACCCACTCACGCAAGCACGGGCGTGACACTAATCAAATTCAACCTCTTCCCCACGATGAACCGCCACCCTACAGCCTTACACTCTCTCACTCCTAGGCTCATGCTCACACGTGCAGATTGCGTCGGGCGAACTCGCCTCTCGGAGCATCGCAACCTCGGGTGTGGGGAAGCTCAGTAGCCGGACAGCACGGCGCCGATGGAAGCCAGAGCCGGGACGGCCTGGATGAAGAAGATGCGGGGGTTGGCCGTGGCGCCGCCGTACGCGCCGGCGGCGACGATGCAGCCGAGGAAGAAGAGGCGGATCTGGTGGGCGAACTCGGGGACGGGGTGGGCGAGGCCCCAGACGAGACCGGCGGCGAGGAAGCCATTGTACAGGCCCTGGTTGGCTGCCAGCGTCTTGGTCTTCTCGGCGAAGTCGGCAGTCAGCTTGAAGGCCTTGCGGCCGCGCGGGGAGGTCCAGAGGAACATCTCGAGCACGAGGATGTAGCCGTGTAGGCCGGCCATGAGGCCTGTCGCGGTGGCGCCGATAAAGCCCATTGCTGTCAAAAGGGGGGCGTGGTGGGGACTGTTTTCTTTCTTTGTTGTACTGTCTTTAAAGAGGCGGGCGAGATGGAGTGTGAAGATTGAGGTGTGTGACGTCGGGTGAGAATGGCGTTGGGGTTTGGAGAGTTGGGAGGGGAGCAGTAATAATGATTCTCAATGTCTCAGACAAACCTGGCTCCGACTGGGTTTTTCGCAAAGTGCCAAGGCTGAGTTGGGGGCCAAAGGTGGTATTGATTTGGCTGCGGAACGGAAAAACGATGGGATCGTGAGGTCGTCTCGAGGTCGTCGTCGTATTTGCATCCGTACGTTCGACAGATTGGGCAAGTCGCGAGTCAGTCAGCCACTGACAGACAGATACTCACCTAAGCTCACCAGAGATTCATGCTACTATCTTTGAAAAATCCCCCCTCAGCAAAATTACAGCGCAAAACTGAATCGTATCATCTAATTTAGTTCCATTCTGCATTTGTAGTGGTGCTAGGGCCTGCACTATACGATTGTTGCCAGCCATACCGAATAGCCCAACGCTTATCTTGTTCAGATCTGAAATCAGATTGCGGTCGCTATTACATGTAGAAATTAGATGCAGTATATACGTCTACTTCCAAGCATTCAAGCCCATTGGTCTCAATTGCATCGCTATTCCATAACGCCACACAGCTTTTAGCCACACAAAAACCCGTCCAGCCGACATGCACTACAGGTGCTATAATGTCACGATAGCTTCCTACAGCACCTGTCGGGTGGGTTATAATGTGCCATATCAGATGGCGTTTCACTCATTACTCCCATCGCTTGCCTATATACAGGACCTTTCCTTTATATCTATACTTTCATAGGAATATGCCTTTCTTGATCCCATTCTTATATGCCCTGCTGTGTGCTTTAGCTTATGGCATTTAATGCAGGTTAGTATCAAGACGGTTGACATTGGCATCGCTGTCACCGCCTTAACGGCCGCCAACGGCGCTTCTGCTAACATAGGCATGTTCTCTCTGGAACATCCAATCCCACACTTGTGTTGACGGATGCTGCTGTGAAGTGGGTGTTGCCAACCGGGTGTGCTAAACTCAGCAGTCGTGATTTACCTACCTTGTCGTGTTCGGGCGGGCGGGCGGCGGAACCTTAGCTGCCCACGTCGCATAGAGACCGACGAGGACGATTACTTCTCATGGGGCATAGACGATTGAAATCCCGGACCAAGAGTTCTGTCACCTGTCGGAGAGATCATCCAACCATCCGAGGCTTGAAACTGGGACATGGCTGCGATTCGAGGGCATCCCTATAGGGTTGTCGGTACGGGATGGGGGGGGGGGGGGGGGGGGGGGGGTTTGGCGGACTCTTTTCCAGAAAAGAAGAAGGGTAAGATACATCAATGTATCTCAGCTTTTATCTCTTTCTGAAAATCTTCGAAACATGGAATCAAAACTACTAGCAGCTCGTCTGAAGCCTTTCCCATAATTTTTGACATGGTGCACTTCAAACGATCGAGTTCGCATGCCAAGTGCTGGCGACCTGGCTAAGTAATGTGGTAGAGCACTTCTAAGGCATTGCGAGCAAAACCTCGAGCACGTTTGATACACGGATATCATCAGTATAGATTAATGGATCATGATATATCGCATTGATTTGATTTCAGCTCGGCAAAATCAACCATTTATTAGTGGCACTATCCCTTCGTTTCACGGGGTAGCAGCTAATTACAAGGTGACCTGCATGCCAGAGTCAATGCTGATGATGACAACAAGGCGTCCTTTCTTTTTTCCAATAAGTAGTTGAACTACGTCAAAAATATAAAAAATGGTAAGCAAATATTAAATTTTTGGAGGGCAAGTACCGAGGAAGCCGCCATCTAACGCCATGAACATTCTGCTGCTTCCTTATCCAACCTAAAAGGTGACATGTTCACTATGAGCTGTTGACCAATCAAGTAATAAGCGACCGTCAAGCCTCCTTAACCACGTGACTGGACCTTGCATCATAATATCAATCTGGAAGTGGAAGGAAAGGGGGAGCTCCCTTCCTGCAGGGGGGACTCAACGGCTCAAAATGCAGAGAGAGAGAGAGGTACGTACTCCACGATCACATATTGTGTTGGGTACGACACTGAGCACGATACTTTTACTGTATTTTTGTTTACGACTGTGCATGGCGCATTGTGTACCTGTGTAACCTCGGGACAGAACGGAACGTCTTGTACCTGTACTTTGGCACTCCATGATGAACCCCCCCCCCCGGACTCCTTCCGCGGTGCTTGCCGCCTGCCGCCTGCCCCGCCCCCCAAAACGCGACAAACTATATTGTTTCCTCACGCGGCGCGTCGCCCGCGGCATCGGCCTCGATACCATCATCGAATCGTCCATGGGATTCTACCGCTACACCAGGACCTCCAGAATCTGCACCAGACTTCTCTCATCCAGCCATCCACTACCGCCCTTGTGTTCCGGTCAGCCTTGGTCGTTTTTACTACACATTTTCGTCCATACTCCCACCACGAAAGGCTAGCCAACACACGCAACCTACAACACGATCGTCTTGCCTCGTTACTAATGGGTCTAACGTAAGCCACAACCTGGTTTAACTTAACGTCTTGCCAGATCGCGTTTTGTTTGTCGCTCTTCTCGGCCAGTCGCATTTTGTATTACACCTGACCGCCCTCAAGATGCCTCCGATCAAGGTGGAGGGCATCGAGGCCGAGCGCTGCGAGGACAGCCTGAACAGCCTATCTATGACCCCCGACTCCATGTTGCAGCAGTCAGCTCTAGGTTCTGCCGATTCCATTCATGTAGCTTCTCCAGATGTTACAGCCCCGTCATCGGCGGCGACTCTTCCACCCGACACGCCGCTCCGCCGAATCAAGGCCGAGCCAAGTTCTGCTGAGATTAAGCAGGATATCAAACAAGAACAAGTCCATCCTGACGTGAACTCCGTTATCCCAGCTCACAATGATTCGATTTCGACGGCGGCCTCATTGCCCATCTCTCCCCAAGACTCCGAGGAAAGAGAGTCTCACGAGGTGGACTCCCTCGAGCAGTGGGCTACAGAGACATCACCCGAGATTCTCGAGAAAGGAGTCAAGATCGGCATGGAGCTGCTCGAAAGCCTCAAGGTTCCTCTCGGCCTCACAGCCTCACTTCCAGAGACCCAAGGCTCCACGTGGCTAAAGGCCATCAACGATATTCAGAGCCGCTCTCAGCCACCCAAGACTATTGTCGGCGTCGTCGGCAACACGGGCGCAGGCAAAAGCTCCGTTATCAACGCATTGCTCGACGAAGAGCGGCTTCTTCCTACCAACTGCCTGCGCGCTTGTACCGCTTCCCCAACTGAGATTTCCTACAACCACTCCCAGAATCCCGAGGAGCTTTACCGCTCCGAAATCGAGTTCATATCACTAGAAGACTGGAAGAAAGAGCTCAAGACACTCTTTACTGATCTTCTGGACGACAGCGGCAACATCTCGCGCGATTGCACCAACGAAGACAGCGAGGCGGGTATCGCGTACGCCAAGATCAGGGCTGTCTACCCTTCCAAGACAAAGGAGATGATTGCCGAAAGTAGCCCCGAGAAACTGGCCAACGAGCCCGCAGTCGCCCGCGTTCTGGGCACCGTCAAGAAGCTCACGGCGACTACGGCCAAGGATCTCTATGCTAGCATGCAGCGCTATGTCGACAGCAAGGAGAAGAATCCGCACAGCAAAAAGAATGTACAGATGGAGTTCTGGCCACTGATCAAAGTGGTCCGCATCTTCACCAAGGCCAATGCCTTGTCCACTGGTGCCGTCGTTGTCGACCTGCCAGGCGTGCAAGACTCCAACGTCGCCAGGGCCGCTGTTGCTCAGAACTACATGAAGTCTTGCACCGGACTTTGGATCGTCGCCCCCATCAACCGTGCAGTCGACGATAAGACCGCCAAGTCCCTCCTGGGCGACTCCTTCAAGCGCCAGCTCAAGTACGACGGCATATACTCGGCCGTTACCTTCATTTGCTCCAAGACAGACGACATCTCAGTGACTGAAGCTGCCGAGAGTCTCGACATTGAATCCGACATATCTGAATCCTGGGCCAAGATTGAAGACTTTCGACGCAAGCTTCGAGACCTTAAGCAGGAACTTAGCAACGCCAGAGATGAAAAGGCAGATCTCATCGAATGTCTTGAGCAGACCGACAGCGATTGGGACAAGTGGGACGAACTTGCAAACAAGTGTGCAGACGGCGAGACTGTCTACGCCCCTTCGGAGAATAGCAGGAAACGCAAGCGCGGATCGTCCTCGTCCAGGAGCCGCAAGAACCGTAGATCGTCTGATTCCGACGATAGCCCGGACGACTCGGATCTCAACTCGGATAGTGATAAGGAAAACAACCCCGATAACGAGAATCGACAGCCCTTGACCGAGGATAAGATCCAGGAAAAGCTGGCTGATCTTAAGAATCTAAGGAAGGAGATCCGTCAGAGTCGCAAGGAGGTGGATGCAAGGCTTTCCGACATCCGAGAGGAAATAAAAAAGATTCAGTCAGAGGAGGGGCGACTTCTGGGCAAGGTCAAGTCGATTTGCATCCAGGGCCGAAATGGATATGCGAAGGGTGCCATCCAAAGAGACTTCGCCATGGGCATCAAAGAGTAAGCTGTCTCCTCCACCTTGGCTCTGCTAACTGCGATTACTGACTACCATAGGCTGGACCAAGAGGCTGCCATCGAGGAAAATGAACAGACTTTCAACCCCGACGAAGACATCCGCGACTACGACGAGGTTGCTCGGAATCTGCCAGTGTTCTGCGTCAGCAGCCGCGCTTATCAGAAGATAAGAGGCAGGCTGCAGAAGGATGACTTCAACAACGAGGGCTTCCGTGACGTTAACGAGACCGAGATCCCACAACTCCAACAGCACGCGAAAAAGCTTACCGAGGGAGGTCGGGCTGCCAATTGCCGTCGCTTCCTCAACGACCTGAGACAGCTCCTCAACTCCATGCGGATGTGGGCTGCCAATGATGGAACTCAGGCTCAGATGACGGACCGAGACAAGTGGAATAAGGAGACTACCCTTAGAGCCCAATTGTCTAGTTTGGAAAAGGTTCGTTGGTAGCTGACATGTAAGACCAAGCATTCACTAAGTCTCGCACCAGGATTTCACCAAAGCAGTCGACGAGTGTGTCGCTGCCATCAAGGATGCTCTGTCCGAGAGCATCTATGACTTCTTCGACCAGTCCATCCCGGCCGCTTCAGATGCTGCTGTTCCCACGGCATCGGGCTGGGGGGCGCATCGTAGCGAAGGCGGTATGTTCTGGGCCACCTACAAGGCAACCTGCCGCCGAGCCGGCGTGTATACTGGGGCCTCTGGACCTCGCGACTTCAATGCAGAGCTGTTTGAGCCCATCTCCCGACAGCTCGCTACCGGGTGGGAGCGAGCTTTTCAGCGCCGCCTTCCACGGGCCCTCGAAAGTTTCGCCATAAGCGCTCGCTTGCTGCTGGAAGACTTCCACCGCAATGCCGTCTCGGGTTCGCTGGAGCGCGGCAATAACCACGCTGGGATCAACATGCTCAGCAATCAGCTGCGAGCACACACAGCTCGTTTGAAAGAGATTCCCGTGATGATTAAAACGGTTGTCCAAGAGCTGCAGCGCGAGGCAAGCCGCGGCTTTCACCCGGTCATTGAGCAGGAAATGCAGCCAGCGTACAATATATGTGTCGCCGAGTCTGGTACGTTCTGGCCAGGTCCCAACCCTTGCCTGCCTCGGCATCCACTGACTTTTGATGGTTACAGGCCCGGGCTCCTACGCTCGTATGAAGAGTCACATGGTCAACCACGTTGAGAACGCCCGACACACCATGTTCCGTCACTCCACCGATAGTGTTAAAGAGCAGCTTCGGGCGTTGTGTCGCCGCGTCGAGGATGAGATTACGCAGCAAGTGCAGGACATCTACAACCTGCTAGCGCGAGACTACTTGGCCGTGATTGTGGGCGTCGACAACAACGCCCAGCACAGCAGCCTCCCGCGCTCTGAGCGTTTGCTTCGGGCCGAAATGCGTCCCATCTTGGAGACGGCGGGCCAGTGGTTTGCGCGTTCCGGCTCCAAGGACGTCTCAGAGGCTCTGCATACACCGGAAGACGAGGGTGATCCATTTGCCGACCAGCATGAAACTGGTTTGGAAGACGTGCTGGCTTTGAAGGTCGGTGACGGCGGCGACCTAGCGGCTGTCAAGAGCGAGCCGTTTTACTAGATATGTCGTTAAGTATTCGTATTCTTGTGACTGGTAAGATTCTTTGAGGAAGGGAACGGCATAGGCGAACTTGGTCTCGAGCTGTATTATCGGCGTTGACTTGCGGAGTGCTGCCCCGAAAACCGGGCTTAACGGTGAAAAGCGGTTTTCGATTTAGCTTGCGGTGGATGGAAGATACCCAGTTGCTTTTGTTCATGGGCGTTTTGTAATTAGACGAACACTCACACAAAACATGAGCACTTTCTTTCGACCATCATAGTCTCGGATGCCGTGGCGGCCTGGCCGAGGGTTTGTCGCTTTGCAATCAATGATTCCGGAACAGGTGCGGTCTGACCCGGGGTTTAGGTCCCGGGGGTTAAACAGACCCGGGTCCGGTAGCGCGGGGAGCCAATCATGGCCGAGGCTGCTTAGCATAAGCCCGGATTGCTGAGAGGTTCATCTTGCCTACCTTACATAGACATCCAGAGAAAGAATGGAATAGAGTCTTAGTTTATGGGCATAAATAGGAGATGGAGTCCCTGGTGGTTACTGCATGCATTCTGGTCTTGCGATTTCGTCTCACGTCGTCCTTTGATCGTCTGTGAAGTAAGTGAGTGGTCACTGCTGTCAGTATATCGCATCTCAAAGCTCTGAAAAGCCACTTGGACCATGTACATTCCCTACGACAAGACGGAAAGCCTCGAACAGCACTCGATCGCTCAGATGCCCAATCTCAGCAGCATGTGGCTCAACATTGACAACTCCGAACAAAGCAAGACGGTGCATCAGGTACTTTAGACACCGGGTGCCCTAGTCATTGACGGTAGCCCACGGACGCATCCTCTTTACGTAGCGCTGTATATTGCGAAGGGAACTTACACCGGTGACGAGTCTGCCATTGCCTTCGCCACCGTGGAAACTCACGATGGCACCAAAACCACGTTCCCGATCCAGTCGTAGCCCGTCGGAGACAACCGCACTAAGATCGTCGCCGTGCTATCTCCTGGGCGCAACGTTCTGACCATTGCCCGCTCCTCTAGTACGGGTAAGATTGGACCTGACCCACGCCCCCCTCATCCAGGCACCGCCTCTCCACCTCGCCATCGTGGTCCCAAAAGACAGCCCCCTGCTCATCGACTACCCGCCCGCCGCTCGTTCCGGCTGGAGGAGGAGTGGACCGCCGACACGACGAGCTGCGGGTTCCTCGACGGTCTACACGAAGCCGCTCTCTTCGAAAGCAGGGAGATGCGCTCGTCCGCCAGGGTCCACGTCGTCCGGTCCGACAAGACGACGGCGCAGATCCGGGACGCCGAGGTCGCGCGGCAGAACGAGTCGGCCCAGTATATGGACAAGCTCTTTGACTCCCTCCACGAGGCCCTCGCCGCTCACGGGGTACCCTTCGACGCCTCGTCGCGCCCCATCGTGGCCGGTCTGGTTATCGACTCGCACTTCTCGGCCAACCAGAACCTCGCGCTGGGCTACGCGTCCCCGGCTCGGACGTGCTGCTACGGAAGCTTGCCGTTACGACCAGAGCGCTCGAGAAAGGGAACGGGGCCAACGACGACGGCGACGATGACTTCTGGGCCTGGGCAGTACTGCTCACGCGGCGCGGGAGGGACGACGCCGTCGCGCGCGCTTCATGTGTTGATGTGCTGACGGGGTGCCTCCGACTAGCGCGTCAACTGCGGTCCGAGGGTGGAGAGGTGGAATGTAGGCGAAGCGCACGTGTATGGCGGCCACGCGTCTGAGGAGGTCCATGTCCTGGAGGGCGAGGAGATTGTCAGGGTTGAGGTGGCGAGGGACGACGGTAGCGGTTAACAGGCAGACACTTTGCGGGGCAATACTTGAGTCATTAAAGTACCTCTTGAAGTCTCTCGCTTAATCCTGTATAGACCTACGCATAGACTAGTTTACCCTTTTACTAGAAAAAAAAGAAGAAAACAGAGATACCTCTATTAGCTTAACGTACTATCTAGAATATAGTAGTATAAATAAACTTTTTAGAGAGATTTACCTCTAGCAAAGTTCTATATAAAACTAAGAGTACTTAAGCTATAGTATATACTATTAGAAAAACTTTTTTTCTTTTTTTGTTAACTTAGGAGTTAAAGATTTAAAGTTAGTGGTGTAGGGACAGAAGTGACTTAAGAGGAGGTGGGTCAGTACTTTAAGATAGTCTGAGATGCTAAGGTTTGACCTGCAAAGTGTCTGCCTGTTAACTGCTACTGGGACAACAACTTCCTGTGGGGGGTGAGGATCTACCTGAGCAGCGGCGAGGCCGGGGGTAAGCTGTCGGGGGACGGCAGTGAGCCCGAAACGGTATCTTTGGGTAAGTTGAAGGCCACGTGGGCGCGCACACAGACGCACACTCCACCCCCCTTCCTTCTTTCTTTCTTTCTCTCTTTCTCGGCGTCAAAAGGTTCCCGTCTCCCGGTCCGGAGTTTTCCGGCTTTGTGTCAGGTGTTTTCTGCGTCGATGGCGGTGACAACGAGCTAACCATGACACGTCGTGCTAGAACCGCAAGCATACGAGCGCATCGTCAGGTTTTCGGACCGCAGCTGTTGGGGCCAAAACTGCGACGGCCTGGTCGAGTTCGGAATCACCACGGCGCCCAAGGGCTTTGAGCTCCCCGACGCGGTGTGTGACATGCCGGAGCTTCAGAACATGGATGGCGGGCGTACTGCAGGAAACCCCCTTCTTCCCTCCCTTCTCTCGCGCCAACACTCGAGATTCAAAGTCCCGTCACTGACATCATCTCAGCCGGAGGAGATCGAGTAAAGCAGATCAGGACGATGACATGGGTGAGGAAAAGGTTCAAGCTAACCTTACAGGTGTTGTGGTAACTAGCAGTGTCCCTCATCAAACAGGAACCGTGTTCCCCTAGTGCTGGACCGGTGTAGGGTTTGCGTGTGCATATAAGAAGATCACGTCCAGATTGGCGCGGGCACCTTAGCGCACCGCCTGCGTCTCTCGCCCTGGGTCTCTGCTCTCCTCCGAAACCACGAGTCCGCGTTTATAAAGCACGGCCGCAACTCGAGTTAGATGCGCGCGTCTGCGGCACAAGTTGCCGTTCGTACTGAAAACAGGTCGAAGTCACCAGGGACGCTCACCTACAAGGACCTCGTGGTGATCTTCAGGGGATTTCCTCTGACCGCATGACAACCACGTTCTTACCGCCTCCTGTCCAACTAACAACAACAACAACAACAACAACAATAATAATAATAATCCGCCGCTTTGTGCTTAGTCTGCAGCCAATCTTTCGTCCATTTCCTTCACATATCGTCGGCGTAACTCGTAGAGAGCTGAACGTCCCCGTTGTCCAGAACTATGGTTTTGATACAGTCTTCGCATCTTCCTGGCGCTTGACTGTCTCATAGAGTCGCGTTACCCAAAGCCATTCGCCGAGCCGAGCCGAGATAAGTCGGCCTCTTTCGGGATTGGTCATGGTTGAAACAAAAGTTGCGAGTTTTGGGTGTCGGCTTGTTTGTCCGACGTTCGTCTGCGAAACTTCTGCCCCTGGAAGCTTTGTGTCCGTCCAAGGAATAAGCCTCTCCGTTGCGTCCATCGACAAAGGGTCCGATGAGCTTGGGCGCAATGTCCGACGCCCCCTCCCTCCGCCCCCCTTCCCCCTGTTGCGGGCCAATCTCCGGTCCTATAAGAACTCGATGACCGTTGCGGGTGGCGTGATTTCTGTTTCATCGCTCTGTTTTTAGCTACCCCAACGCTATCTGGTGCATGATCGCCAAGCCGCTCTTTGAGCGCTGCGGAGTTCAGCTGAGCAAGTCTGAATTTGGCCCGGCTACCCTTCATGGTCGTGGTCGGGAGAAGGAAGAACATGGACATCCACTGTCAACAATCCTAAAATCGGTCTGTCAGTTCTTTGCGCAAAGAGGCTTGGCGATTGTGCATCAGTCCTCTCAAGTTGTGACCCTATTTGAGAGTTGAGACCTGTCTTCAGGGTGTCAGCTGAACCGAACCGAACCTTCCACAATAGCCACGTGGAATGTGATCCACGTTATATCAGTAGTGGACTTCGACGTTTGTCGGGCAGCAGATAGCAAGTAAAACTCGTCTTTTCTTTTGCGTGCTCGGCCTGTTGGGTGACCCAAACTCGGTCCCAACAACACTTTCCCAACTAGGATGGGGAATCCTGAGCCCTACGCATGTTTCTGTTGACTCGGTTGCATCGGTGCTATGAGTAATGAAGCAACCCATGGTATCAAGGTTGACGTTTTGTCGGATACATCGGGTACCTGTAACTGCTTGATAGATTGGACCCCTGCATGGTTATAGCTCGTGCTTGAAAAAAAGGTCATTGATTTTGGCTTCTTGATGACTGCGTTATGTCTTGTTGTGCTATAGATGGCGTCTGCCACGTGAGTTTGCCGATCCTTCCGGACACTTTGCCGATCCTTCCGGACACTTTGCCGATCCTTCCGGACACTTTGCCGGTCCTTCCGGACACTTTGCCGATCCTTCCGATCACTTTGCCGGTCCTTCCGGACACACGACTGAGATGGCGCGTCGTAATGTCTTATTGGCAAACTAGATAAACTCAAGATTCTTCAACGAGATAGCCATTTTCCTCATGCCCGTGTCACCGCTCACATCGATCGTAAGATTCCCAGACTTGGCTTTTTCACTAAATGCAGCAGCAACCCAATCTCAACTGCCGGTATTACAAACCGGGTTGACCGTTACGGCCTTGGTGCTATATCCCGTCGGCGACTTTCATCAAATCTTCAATATAACAGCTTCTCATTTAGTTTCGCGGTCGAGGCGGTGTCTTGACTCATCTAATGGCACCATGAGATAGCTAGGCTGGCCCTCTGAGCTTCGACATTGTTACAAGGAGCGGGGATTGATTGTGTTTCACATGAATAATTTGTCGCAGAATCAATCCCATGAGTTGCGGGCAGCAATTGATTGACGCCTTACATTCCCTGGGATGATATTGTAAGAGACGCGGAGGAAAAGTCGTCGTGGCACTCCCCATGACAGACAAAACAAAATCCAGTCCTTGGAAAACTACAGCACCCATCCGCCTCTTAGGGTCGCACCCGCGCACAGTAATACGACATTACAGTCGGATCCGGAATTCCGCGCGCCATTGTCTTACCGGTGATTCAGTCCGCTGATGTGAAGGGTATTCATGTCGGATTCGCAGTTTAGATCGCTATCAGTTATGGTCTAGAGTAATCTTTGCCGGATTCGCAACTTTTTCCGGTCTTCGCTGGTGGTTTCAACGCACGACTCTCTTGAAACTGCGCCAGTGTGCACACGCCTCGTCGACAGCCATCTCAACGTGGACCACGACCCTGCAAACTCTAACTCACGCAAACGTTGCGCCATCCTGCCATTCCCAAATGTCTCGAATCTGTGCCCAGCTAGGTAGTTGTAGCCGCTAAAGAACACACACATGGCATGATGGGTTTGGACGGCGGTCAACCGAGTTCTGGAAGCATTCGTCACTGAGCAAGGAATCTGAACAAGGGAAAATGGTTCGTACCAATCGGCATTTACAAATAGAACTCGTCTTTTCCTGGAGGATGCCCTGAACTGCCAGGTGAACTCTGTCATATTTTCGGAGCAAGGCCCCCTGTTATGCTACATTAGTCGTATTTTAGTAGTCGCTTGATGAAGTAAAGCCCCAATCCCTCACGAATATCCGTAATCCAAAATGATCTATTGTGTACCCCAGTCAAACATGAGACCCCTTTCGAGCCCATTCGGGAGCACCGGGATCCGAGAAAGGCGAGGTGCATAGGTTTGCAAACCACTCGTCAGTGCTGTTCTCCTTCGAATTCCAACTGCGCTGTAAGGTCGGGGTTAGACGGCTTATGTGTTCAATCGCGAATATGCAATCTCTCGGTGGTGGTGGCGGCAGCGGCTCACGCGCTTCCTCTACTGCCGCCGTCATTTCCACTGTCTGTAGGTCTGTCATATTTTGTGTACGAAGCCTGCTTCCTCCAAGAAATTTGAGGCTCTTGACGACGCTGCTGCTGGTGTAATAGCGACTTGATTGTTGCGTCTGCTTGCAGCCACGTGTGAGGAGAATATTAACAGCCGGAAAACATGCGCAAATCATCCCTATGCTCACCTCCGCGGTCCTGATTGTACGATCAGTCTTCATGGTCGGCGATTGTTAAAGTTCAAAGCGGCACTGGGGCCTTGACAAACATACCCAAGGAGGTTGAAGCGGATGAAGTCGACGGTTTCATCCTTTGTCTCCTGCATTCTAATCACAATGACCATCCGGGCGAGGCTCGCTGCCGTAGCGATGCCCCCCGCGCTGAGCATACCCATAACTTTCAACCGTTTCATCCATGACATCCGGAGGCTTGCTGCGGTAGGGATCGGTATGATGAGAACAGCCAAGTCGGTGACAGCACTGATGATTGTGTCGGCTACAAATATTGCTCGTTGGTCGAGACAAGTGGCGTGAGAATTCGGGTCCCAGAATCCGCCGATGGGTTGGCAAATAAACGTTTTCAGAAAGAAGACGGGGACGTAATATCCGGCCATAAAAGCGATCGTTACGTATATCCCGATTTTCGTCTTCTGGTGAAAACTGAAGACTCTAATCACAATCATAAGAAGTGCGACCTTCGTGAAGAATGAGTTTGGGCCGTATACAAGGGTGTCGGCATATAACCCCAGAGAGGATGTTAACGTGGGCTTTCCGCCACGTACGGGAAAAGTCATCTTACCTTCATGAAACCTTCCAAATTCTCTTTCGACAGTTCGTAGATGTGATATCCACCGCCGTAGTGACTCACTTGCGCCGCAAGAGTCAGCTCAAAAAAAAAAAAAAAAAAAAAAAAACAGATAGTGTGGAACTACTCACTCACGAGCGCCGTGGAGCTATACCCCAGCGTTAATACCTAGTCGTCGATTAATATGTTTCCTTCCTCAAGACCGATTGACCCGTCTCTTACCCACGCCAGCACAGCCACCCCTACGAAGTGTCAGCAAACACCACGATGCAGGAATTCGGCAATGATAAGGCTTACAATCTTCGGCATGGAACGGCGGGGCAACCCATGCTTTAGCATAGATACGTAGCAGCATGAATAAGGTTACGACCGAGACGGAGAGGATTTGCGATACAAGATTGATAGTGTGCAGAACGTCTTCTGGGTGTTGCAAGTCGGGTACTACGCCTTCTGGCGGCGGGGCTGCCCCCTCTACGATCGACATATCGCATTGAGTAGTGTGGGGTAAGGCATGGTCGTTTCGCAGTCGCGAGGTGGTTGAAGGGATACACGTGCTGGGACTGGGGAATGAGTGGAGGCAGTTTCGTTATCCAGCAAGTCTCGATGCCTGGAGAAATAGCATCTTTGTATTGGTCAGGATTTGGGATAGGTTTATCGAAAGTCGGTGAAGGGAGAGAAGCTCTGATATATCCTCAAACGCGCCGTACGATCCGGCGGCTTTGAGGCACGAACATTACGACTTTCTACCAGGCTGAGGAGATATTGCATGGTGGCTCCCAGATAGAACAAAGTCTAAATGCAATATTGAGAGGTTGACTGCGGGCGTGCATCCCCGACTCTCCTGACCTCGTGCTGCCCAACGCCCGCACACTGCGCGCTTCACTGCACAGAAGAAGCTTATTTACTCGGGTATGGCGAGTGGGGGGAGGTAGGGCGGTATAAGCTTCCCGGATTCAACAACAGAAAGCTCACTAAGGCTTATAATAAGGTCAGTATCCGAACAATATCCGAACACTGCCATTGATCGGTACTTGGATAGAGAGTTGGGTTATTATTTCGTGGCTGGAAGAGGGATTTACGTAGTAAACTCAGAGTCTAACAGCTGTAAGTTGTCCGGAAGGCTTGGTGTCGTTGAAACCGACGGGAACATAATCCTCTCAATCCTTATCTACTGATCTACCTATTTGGTTTCACGAGTCAAGTAGCCGAGGATTTCGGATCGAGAACAACCTTGCCGCGTATCCGTCGCAACAAGACTACTGCAATATGGAAGCTCGATCGCCAACTACTACTGGGGAGAGACTAGATCTAAGTCCGCATCCGATGCTGAGGGTTGTGAGCAAAAAAGTAAACCCTCTGGTTTGATCTAGCCCTTTCGACAATTATCAAACTTGGAAAAGGCTGATTGCATTCCACGGCTTCTCTGTATAAAACCAAATGTAGCATTGCACCTGACTCGCTGAGCACTACATGGGCGCTTGAAGAGTCCAGTGGTTCATCCTAGCGGCCTCTTATTGGACTACAATTTGGTAAAATGCGGCAGGGTCCCTTGTCTATTATTTTTTATGCTGTAGCTATGTATTTAAAGTTTGTCAAAACGTCCATCTGAACAGTTCGTCTTGTCTGATTATCAATTGGAGTAGGTATAGCGATTACCAAGTCTTCTGACCAAGCGTATACTGAAGTTGTCATTCTGATCACCTCATTGCGATGACTGACAGTCCAAAAGCAAAAGGAAAACCGCATATTCTCTATGCCGTGCCCCCACGAGAGGGGCATATGCGGCCCGCGCTCCAAATAAGCAAGCACCTGCTCGACAACGGCTTCAATGTCACTATTCTGGGAACAAAGAGATGGCAAGAAACAATACAAGCAGCTGGTGCCCATTTCAGCCCTATCCTTGGGCTATGGGGAACGCTTGACGACGCAACTCGCTGGCCAAAAATCGCGCATGCCCCAAGCCCTGCAGTACGCCTTGCTGCGTCCCTCGATGGTGGATTTGTTTCACTTTTACCGAGCGGTCTGGAGTCGATAAGGTTCGCTCTGGCGGCCATTCGCAGGCGGCAACCTGGATGTCACACCCTCGTTCTTTCGGATACATGCTTCTCTGGAACGTTGGCTCTGCGATTGCAGACCGACCTGCCGGAAGGATTTGACGAGGGAGAAGAGGTCAGAACAATCGGGATCGGAGTTGTGCCAACTTTCTGGACCAGCCCTGAGAGACCTCTTTGGGGATCAGGATTGCCCTTCGACAACAGTGAAAGAGGAATAAAGCGGAATATGCAAGCCATTCAAGAAACTTGGAATGCTGCTGCCGAAGAGCGTGCGAGATGGGTTTTGGCGATGATGGGCTGCGCCAAGGATGTCGAATCCTTGTACGATGACCTTTCGCCCACGATCCAACACCCCTTTTGGGATGCGTCAACAATCTGCCACGACACGACACTTCAACTGTGCCTCCCAAGCCTTGAATTTCCATCGTCAGACTGGCCGGAGAAAATCAAGTTCGCGGGCACATTACCGATCAAGCCCTTGCCGCCAAACCTTACATACCCAAGCTGGTTCAGCGAGATCCTGTCCAATAGCGCGACTCTTCACCCGCCAACTTTGGACAGAAAGAAAATTGTCTTTGTAGCACAGGGCACAGAAGTGTTGGATCACCAGGAACTGATCATTCCTACGATGAAAGCTCTAGCATGCCAGGATGATGTATTGGTCGTTGCCTGTTTATGCGTGGCTGGGGCCACTCTGGAGACTGGCAGCTTCAACAACGGGAAGATGCCTTCCAATGCCAGGATTGTCGACTACTTTCCATATGACGCAATTCTGGCACATGCCGACGTATTCGTCTCCAATAGTGGATATGGAGGATTTCAGCATGCAGTTGCAAACGGCGTCCCTATGGTACAATCCGGCAATGTGTTTGATAAGCCGGTCATTGGGAGAAGAGTTGAATGGTCTGGCTTGGGTGTGTATATGGTTGAGTCTCCGCCGACTGTGAAGGACATTCACCTTGCCATTACAAAGGTGCTGGGTGATGACAGGTATCGAAAACAAGCGAACGTGCTCAAGAAAGAGGCAGGAAGATTCGACCCTCTAAAGAAGGTGATGGATGAGATCTTGTTGCTAGCGGGCTTAAGCTCATAGGCCTTTAGCAAATAACATGCTTGAGAGTGTCTGAACTCACTGGTAATAGCATTGCATGATCATCAAGTCTTTGATGGTTCGTCCAATGGTATTTTGCGAATCAGCCACCATACCCATCAGAGTATACCGATAGACGGGGGAACTATAGTTAAATCAGGTAATAATGAAAACAGACGGAAATAATGACGGCGGCATCATCAAAGTAACTAGTAGCCAGCGATTAATCTCAAAGGTAGAATGTGGCTAGTGTGGGGACGAGTATACTCTTGTCCAGTGGTAGAAAACAGAACAAAATATCTTCAATCTGGGGAGCGTTTGCATAAGTTCTTTCCTCGAGCCGATGTGTATGGTGAATGTGATGGATGTTAGCCTAGAAACTACACGTGGGAAAGCTGTCACGATAGCTTAGTACATAACTGGCACTTGGCGTCAGCTTCGTCATGTGCTTCATTACATAGTGTTTCACTTATTACTCGCATTAATTGCCTATATATAGGAGTATTCTTTCACGTCTTTAGTGTTATATGATTAAGTATCCTTCACTCCTATTCTTATATACCCTGTTGTGTGCTCCAACTGGTGGCAAAAGAAAACTGGGAACTAACGTCGTGGTAAGAATCGGTAGACTTAAAGTCCAATGGCCAGTGACGAGGCTTCATAATAGCATTCTATCCACGCACGGGTAAACATCAATACCCATGCATCTATCTATCTATTTTCTTTACCTCTCGCCCTTCTCCTTCTTGGTCAACACGCACATCTCTGCCATACAGTCGATGCTTGCAATTTCTGACGACCAAGCGTTTTTTGGTGTAATTCCCTCCGGTGAAGACATTATATCGTCAACAAGCTCGTGAATCCAGCGGATAAAGGTTTTCTTGTTGAGATTGGTCCTGGTACTGTCGCCACCGTACTTATCCATGAAGCTTGTTTGCAAATCCTCGGCGAAGTAGACGCCGCCAGGACGAAGATACGGCCATAGCTCCTGAAGAGACGTCGTTTGCTGGTCCATAGTATGGCCGCCGTCGTCGACAATGATGTCCACCAGCCTATCAGCTGTGACCTCGGCGCCAACGTGGTGGAGAAACGGCACAGAAGACTGGTCCCCGAAGAAGATGACGGCTTCTGGGTTCTGGGCCGCCCAGACAGAACCGCATTCCTCATCGTACTCGACAATGTTGAGTTGGATAGTCGGGAAGTACGTGGTCCAGATGGGGTAAGAAGCGCCGGGTCCGTAAGGCTATATAGTTTTCTCATTTTCAGCACACAGCCATCATTGACAAGCTTGTTGGGACCATTGATTCTTACCATGCCACATCCCAAACCAATCTCAATCATTTTTACAGACTCATCGCGGAACTGTGCAAGGTACTTGTCGTACAGCAAACCGTAATTGTGAGTCGTCACCTTATCAGTACCACTTTTGTGAGCCAAATCCGTGAACGTGGGTCGGTTGTCGTGGTTCTTGCTTCCAAAGATCGGTTTATTCGAGGCTGGGGCAGCTACAGGTGAGTTTCCTTGTGTGTCATGCGGAGCATCATCTTGCGTGCCCTGAACGATGTTTTGCGCACCTTTCTGACCATCGGATTGTGGAGAACTGTACTAGAAGCATTAGTATTGATGGCACAGAAGAACTGGAAATAGATGCGGAAGGAAGTCTTGGATCGGGGAAACGTACCTAGACCATGGGTTTATCGGAGAGAGCACTTTGGGGACCTTGTCACCCGACATGTGCAGCGTCCCGAGGAGGAGGAGAATTGATGCACAAACGAGAAGAAACGAGAGGTACCGTGGAGTCTGAATCATCTTGACTGATCGTGATAGATTTCAGCTGGAGGACGTACTGACTGACTGTTGCTTCATAGAAGAACGTAAAGATGGTTGGGACAAGGTGAGCAGACTGTATTGTATTTGTATTCTATATCACCTGGATCAATTGATTCGAGAGATGAAAGATGAAGGAATGATGGATGGAATCCAACAATACTTCTGCGGAAAATATGAAGGGATAGGTACATCAGCTAAGCTAGTCTCGCCTTCTTAGTGACGGTAATGAGAACGGTTGCGGGTAAAATGATGGCCTTATTTTGGTAGATTTACGGCCCTCTAACCATGTCTGGTAAAGCTAACCATATTCAGCAGGCATTCGCCACAGCCACAGCGACCAATCCGGAGTAACTAGAAATACTGTATTCTGTCACCCTAACCCTAACTAACTCTAACCCTAACCCGAGTCCTGACTAGAATCCTAACCAGCCCTAATCACCCTAACCGTAGAGAAGATTTTAATTAGAATGGTTAGAATAGCTGGGGTTGGTTAGGATTCGGATTAGGGTCAGCTTTAGTCAGAATTCGCGTAACAGAATATGGTATTTCTAGCCGCCCGTTAGACTGAGGAGGGGGGGGCCGTGAAAATACCAAAAGGGGGCCGTCAATTTACCTACAACCATTAAAACAGGTAAATTGCCTTGAAAATGTAATCTTCTGTGCTAATGTTGCTCTCAGGGATAGTTGGGGTACAGAATTCATATTAGATAAGGAACAGCGTCCTTAGAGTACGTAATGACTATAATCATAATCCTTGGTAAGTATGAAGGGGTGGGCAAGTCCGCTTAGCTGATGCCTCATTCTTACCTTTGTGGCTTTTGCGCAGAGGCTGTAACAGGGAGAACTACCTCTGGAATGTAATATTCAGTGCTAACAAAATTCTTGGTGATGGTGGGCCTAAAGTGTAACATAAAGTTAGTACAGAAGGGGCAAATTAGCAATACTGAGAAGCCAAATACGTCTACTGAGAATATTAATGAATATTAGTGTTCGTTTGACGGTGAATATGATATCAAAAGCGAAGAGAGGCTGAGGAAACTAGGACGTGCTGTCAGTCTTACTCCGAGCTAGGGATGGACAAGGAATGGGAACATCCAAGAATAAAGGTGATACTTTTTACTAAAAACGAAAGTCTCTTATCTGGAGGCGGACAGGGCGATGGTCTTTTGACGGGTGGCGGGTGCAAACCAGGTAGCATATGCCTTCTAGCTTCAGTGATTATTTAGTAACGTCCATCCGTCTCTCGACTCCCGAGGCGTAGCATCTGAAACTGGATGAGATCAGGCCCTAGAATCAGGGTTGGCCAAGCTACCTAACGTATCCCATGGGTTTAGAACAAAGATCAAATCAGAGAAAGCCCGACCAAGGGGGGTGATGCTATGTCGAGGGAAGAATTGAGGTGAGGCATGGGGCAAAAGTGAGTCGAACAATTCCTGACTTTGGTCTACAGCTGGAGGGATAGGCACGAGCTATTTTGGATGGCGTAGAATGTATGTGTGTATGTGCGTGAATGGGTGTGCTCCCTGGAAGCCAGGCTTGAGCATATGTATAGTGATCTTTGAAATTATGCCTCTGGCAATTTATTTGGAAAGGGAGGACCAAGGCGGTTTGCTTACGAAACGTGGCGTTTCTAGGGTTAAAACAACAGTTTGCCATTCAACGCAGGACGCGTGTAACTTGGTTGAAAGTGTGAACCCAACTCGATCACTCGTGGAAATGCACCGCCAGAGACGTAAGGAAGAGGGGGGGGAGGATAAGACATGGATGAGACAAAGGCACATTGGGTCTTGATCCAGCGGCTGCGGCACTCCGGAAAAGCCACCAACCCAAGGTAGAGAATGGCAATGTCTCATGCCAGCACTTGATCTGTGGTCGTCCCCCAAGCCACACATACTCACCTTCGGCTGAAGCATGCATTGACTCTCCAGATAACAACAAAAATTGCCAGAAAATTCATTTACTGAAATTCACGTGGGTTTATCTCTAGCCTCAACAGGAAACGGGGATGCTAGACTCGCTAGACTTTGCGAGCTTGAGGCGTCGACAGGGGGCGAGGGTTCTTTTCCATTCCAAAGCCGCCCCAGTTGTCTATATATTACTTGACGTACAAATTTAGGCCAAGGTGTGTTGAAAAAGGTAAGTACCGTTATGGTCATGTCAAGATACCCCTGATTAATTATGAAGGCGCTCCGTTGACTGTATATGGAACGTGCAGTGGTGGGCTCTAATGAACTGCAAGCCATCTTTCTGTACTCCTTTATTATTACCTCCGTAGCACATGTCGTTGCAGATTTGAAAAGTGACCTTGGTATTTCCATGCACCTCCAACCCTTGGCTGTGGGAGGATTTTAGAAATGCCGATCAGGCGCTTCTCCTACAAAACAAGACAGCCAGAAGTCTGTTCCACTTCGGCACCACGCCTCGAACAGTTTCTTGAATAGGACTTGATTATCATGATGTCTAAAAAGCCAGCATTTAGGCAAGGATCTGATGGCAGTGTGTCTTGGCTCAACTCAAAAGACGATGGCCAGCATCGCAAGGGAGCTCGAAGAAAAGTCTGCGATGGGTGAGTTCGGACCTGACGAGCGGTGGTTGCTGAGTATATCAAAGCGGCGGGGCGCGCGTCTACCAGACGAGGGTAAATGTCTTGGTGAATCTTGCAGTTGAGTTATTAAACCATATTCATGGCCTATTCTCCTGTTATGCTGGCAGAATCTTCTCGTGAGAGGCCGGCATTCAGGTTAAAGAGATTCAATCATGGCTACGACCGGATAGTTTGGACTAAGGAAGGTGTCACGATATAAGTGTGGATACTGCCCACGTAACGAACTGCATCGTTTTGTTACGTGACAGAAGGTACGTTCGTCAGCGGGCGGCATGCAAAGTTTCGTCCGCTTCACGTGACCTAAATTATTCAACCACCAGGGAGCGCACCGTATCGAAACCCAGCGAGCAAGCGATCAATTACAGCAGCAGTGGTCTACAAGGTTTGACCAGCTCCCGGAGAACACGGCGGACCGCAGCAGGCGCTCCCGAGCGCTCGAATCAATCGCGTGGTCGAAGAATACCTAGGAAGGGGCTACGGTTCGACCGGATGGCGAGCTGTTACGACGCTGTACACGGACGAGCCCAGCACAGAGAATATATGGTTGCTTGGAGAGTTTGACGAAAAGTTGGCGGTTGCCGAGATCGCATGGGGAACCCGAGAACAGATAGCTAATCGCGTCGGCCTCGGCTTTTCCCCCATGTTTTTTCCCTCTATTCTTTTCATCAGGATTTTCTCCGTCCCAAAAGTGTGGGTTTGGCGAATGGCAGGCATCGGCCCGGCTGAATGCTACCAAATAGAGTTCTTGTCTTGACGAGAGATGGTTGGCCGAGCCGAAAAGCGAGTAGGGCTTATGTAAGATGATATGCGACCAGGACCGGGCGTCGTGGGTTCGAGATGACAGAGCCCGAAAAGGCCGAGAGCTTTATGATGCCACTTCCTCATCTCACCTATGACTCGGCGCATCGCATCGCATCACAACACGTACCAAAATCCGGCAGCCTTCTTCCTCATAAGATCCAAACAGCACTCTGACGCCTCTCAGTCGTTAATTAACGAGCAAGCCTCTTTCGTCGGGCCTGTCCCAGCACTCGTTCTGAGATCAAATAAACAAAAGAAAGATAGCAACAAGAACGGAAAGCCATCGGCTGACGTCGGACAACATGTATGAGCCATATGCGGTAAACGTGCCGCCGACAGAGCGGCCCAAGATCCTCTGCCTCCACGGCGGAGGGGCATCGGCGATGATTTTCCAGATCCAACTCATCAGGCTGTCGCGGGTGCTGGAGCCGCAGTTTGAATTCGTCTTCTTGGATGGACCGATCGAGGGGGAGGCCGGGCCCGGGGTGCTCCCCGTGTTCGAGGGATGCGGACCGTACCGGCGGTGGGTGACGGACGACCCGTCGCTGCCGGCAGAGGAGGTGCAGCGGCAGAAGGAGACGGCGATGGAGCTGCTCAAGATGTACGTGCAGCAGACGGGGCCGTACGTCGGGGTGATGGGGTTCTCGCAGGGGGCGCGGGCGGCGGCGAGCCTGTTGCTCGAGCAGCAGCGGCAGCCGTTCGTGCCGTACAACCTCTTCGGGGTGTTCCTGTGCGGGACGTACCCGCCGTTCGTGCCGGACGACAAAAAGATCAAGGCTCCGACGGTGCACGTGGTGGGGCTGTTCGACCCTTGGAAGCCGGCGAGCGAGGAGCTCATTGAGCTGTGTTCGGAGCAGAGCACGCGGCAGGTGGTGAGGTTCGCGGGAGGCCACCATCTGCCAAACGTGCCTGACACAATTCAGAACATTGCGGCCATGGTGATTGATGTGTGGAAGGAGACAACGGGTGCGAGAGTCTGATGTTGCCGTCGTTTTGTCTAGTCGATGGGCCTGATCTTGGTCTTGGTCATGGCCATTGTCATGGCCATGACAATGGCTTATCCTCGGCGAGCCGGGCCCGAGAAGGCAGGCAGAGGTCGGATGGGAGGAAGGGAAAGGCCCTGATACCTATGAGTTGATTGGAGATGGGGCGGTGAATCGATGGCAATAGACGGATAGGCAGGGGGGGTTAGACAAAGTGGGAGGCGACGGCGTTGTTAGATGGGCGTGGTGATGATGGGGTTGGAAAGCGAGAGGAGTGCGGGCTTGGCACTGAAGTAGCGATAACGAATGACACTGATGAAGAGGCCTTTCATGTGGAATTGGCCTTTCATGTGGAATTGTGCCGGACACTGCACCATCGCTGTTGCAGCGACATGGTTGGGTCGGTCAGTCAATGATTGTGAATATGGTTGTGATAGGTTCTTGTGCAATATCGTCATGGAAAAAAAAAAGAAAAAAAAAAGAGACCACCCGAACTCAATCAACGGGCGGGCACAGGAAGGAGCGGTTGAAGCGTGGCAGCCAGGTTTTGACGCCAACGCAGTGGGGTCGACCATTCCTAGATAGGACTAGCGTAATCGACCATTCGATGTACCTGATTATCTCAGCACCACCAAACTCCCACCGCGTCCTGTTAAGGCTGCTGCTGGTCCACCTCCCCTGTCGTTCACAAGCATTGCCCCGCTGTCGGTCGACGTCACTTGCAGAAGGCGCGACGCACTAGCAGGCAGTCTCAAGCTTCGCTTCCTGGCTCTCTCTACCGGTACTATGCTATCTCTCCGCCATCCACCAAAAAACAGGGAATGGGGCGCGCGGCGCTACACACCTCATTGGAGAACAAGTTTGCGCCGCAGCTTCTTTTTGGTTTGTTTCTATTTACTCTTGTGTTTCTTGACCATCATTGCCGTCGTGGAACGTCCTTCTTTTCTTCCTTCTTTTGCCACAAGCTCAAGAGAAGGTGCTTTACTGCGAGTCTCTGTTCAATTGGCTTCTGTCGAAAGCCTCTTGCTCCCGCCGATATTACCGACGATAACGACGACAGCGACTACCAACACATCGCCCATAGCATAGGAAGGCTCGCTCCTACCGAACTACTTGAAATTCCTACCGAACTATTTGAAATTCCATCGTCGACGAGCGCGATTCACTCGTAGCCATTCGCCATGGCCGCCTTCAACTGGGTTTCCCGCATGCTTGGCTGGGACCGACACCCAAGACACCACCACGACTTCCATTCGGACTGGATTCGCGATGACCGTAGACGCCGTACGTAACTCTTCATAAACTTGCGTTCCCTTGGGCTCCTCCACCTGCCACCTCGCGATGCCTGTTCTTCAACCGCTTCCCCTTGCTTACAAGAGGGTCTACTGTCCCGCACCAGTCCTGCCCCATTACCGATCCGAACACCTCGAGTCTGCCATCCCCGCCCCCGAAGTCACAAAGGTCGCCCTGAAGCTCCGCCACCTAATTGAGCTGGCCGTGCCCTGTGAGCTGGACGAGGTCGACATCACAAAAGCCCACAGCACCATCATCACCCAAAAGGTCATCAAGGCCGCCAAGGAGGCTGGCGGCTCCCACTACGGCTCCTGTGTCGTCTTCTGCCTCATCGTCTGCAAGAGGTGGTTCAAGCATCAGGCACTGATAGAGCTATGGGATGCCGACCTGCATCGCGTGCGCGCCGTGGCCTGTGAGGTCATTGCTAAGGAGATGTGAGTAAGAGAATCAGCCAGAACAAGACTGTTAGAGAGAGAAGAAAAAAAAAAAAAACACCAGAAAAAAAAAACCGGCCTAGCGCTAACCATGACTGCTGCGCAGCATCGAGGGAGAAGAGGACCTCCAATACCTCATGCACTCGGTTCTGCTCCGCCGCTACTCCATCCTCGTCGACGGCGAGGCCACTCCTCCCGCCAACGTCATCGAAAAGGCCGTCGATCTTCACGCCGTTAGAATAATTGGTTCGTCGGGCTACCAGAAGTGTATCTCCTACCTGTGGAAGGGATGGCTGGTTCAGGACGAGAACGACCCCTCCGTCTTCGTCGACTACAAAGACAAGACCAACCCCTCCTTCCTTGTTCACATGGACCCCGACCGTATTCGCGCTCCCATGTACCAGAACGCGACGCAGGTCATCATCTCCCTGGTCTACATCGGCCTCTACACCGGTGTCATTCATTCGGTCAACGCCAAGGGTGTCTTGGATTCGGTCGAGGTGCTGTTGTACATTTTCACGCTTGGCTTCATCTGCGAAGAGGTCACCAAGTTCTGGAAGGCCGGCTACCACATCCTGGGCTTCTGGAATGCCTTCAACGGCATTCTCTACTTCTTTATCTCGCTGTCCTTGATCCTGCGCATCATCGGCCTGACCCATGGCGAAGACGAAGATGCGCGGAGGTACTACAGCGAGCTCAGCTACAACTTCCTGGCCTTCAGTGCCCCCATGATCTGGTCTCGCCTGTTGCTGTACCTCGACAGCTTCCGCTTCTTCGGCGCCATGCTCGTCGTCCTCAAGGTCATGATGAAGGAGTCCATCATCTTCTTCGCCTTGCTGGCCGTGTTGATCATTGGCTTTCTCGAGGCATTTGTCGGCCTCGACCTGGCCGACGATCTCGTCGCCGATGACATTACCTTCATCATATCGGCCATGGCCAACGCCATCATGCAGAGCCCCGACTTTGGCGGGTTCGACAAATTTTCGCCGCCGTTTGGCATCATACTCTACTACTGCTTTACCTTTATCGTCATGGTAAGGCTTTCCCGTTCATGGGATACCTGTTGCATTCACTAACCGCAGCGCAGGTCGTTCTGCTCAACATCCTCATTGCGTTGTACAACTCGGCGTACGAGGACATCTACGAGAACGCGAACGACGAGTACCTTGCGCTGTTTGCGCAAAAGACTATGCAGTTCGTCCGCGCCCCCGATGAGAACGTCTACATCCCGCCTTTCAACCTGATCGAAATAGTCGTTATTGGCCTCTTCTGGTGGATGGAAAAGTCCAAGTTCGAGCGCATGAGCGACTTCATCATGGGGATTCTCTACTCGCCTGTCCTCGTTGCTGCAGCCGTCTTTGAGACGCGATCGGCCGCCGAGATTAGAAGTAACCGGGCCCGAGGCGAGGAAGACGATGATACGATCGAGGAATGGGAGCAAATGATAGACCAGGTCGACTTTGAGTCTGACGGTTGGAACAAGGTGTGCATCACGGCCAAGACCAACCTAGATGTCGACCCCACGATTTCCGAGGTGCAAAAGCTGCGCAGCGAGGTCGAGGAGCTCAAGAAAATGCTGGTGGACATCTCAAAGGCCGTCTCGGCTGGAAATGCCGGAAACGCGCAAGCAACCAATAATCTGATCGACCTCGGCGAGAGCACCGCTCCCGCCGCTGCCGGGGGCTCGGGTAAAAACAAGAAGAAGAGCAAGAAGGGGGAAAAAAAGAACAAGAACAACCAACAGCCGGCCGGCGACGACAGCAAGGCATCAGGGGGATCCAGCTCGAGTGACGAAGAGTGAAGAGCCTTTATCTAATGGATCGACGAGGGGTGGTAGCCCATGCTGAGTTATGTTCCCCTTTTTGTGCTGGCGTGTATATCTCTCCTGGGCCGACATGTTACAAAACTTTGCGGGGTGACGAAGCAATTTTGATCCGATTTTCCGGCTACCCTGGCAGAGGTAGCATTGCGTTTGCAAGCGAGTCAGTACGGCAGCCTGCAGGGCGCACTGGTCCAAAAGTTAAACGGTTACTACACCTACCCCATTAGTTTCTAGAAACACTGCATATTATTAATTTAACCTGTACATAACTAATTAGTCTTTTAAATAAATTATCCTTTTAGATATATTTATATTACTCTATATAGCCTAGAATATTATAGTTCTACTTACCTAGATACCTTAATTATCTAATTAGTCTATAAATAGGGAAGTGTGTGCCCTAGAGTATATACCTAATAAAAGTATATACCTAGGGCTAATTATAGGCGCTTTACCTTAACTATAAATATATTTCCCTTTACTTTTAAACTTCTTCTCCTTTTCCTACGCCTAATTTAGAGTATATAAGTAACCTCTAACTATATACTCCTATTAACTTTTATTTAATTTATTTATCTTATTTACTTATTTATTTTACTTTTTAATTATTACTAAACTAATGTTTTTTTTATAGATTTTTATATATTTATATATTCCTAGAGGTGCCTAGTGTTACCTTATATATTTAATAACTTCCTTATATATCCCTATATATCCCTATATATTACTATATATTACTATATATTACTATATAATCCTATAGGTCCCTATACTTTTATCTACGCCTATTACTAACTATATAACTTCTATATATCTATATAGACTTATATATTATAGCTAAGCTTATCCTAGAAGAGATTAGAGGTATATAGCTCCTAGTAAATAATGCTATTCCTATATAGCTTAGTAATAATTCTACTAATATAGAAATTACTATACACTATTATAAGTGTATATATATATTTTATATATTTCTACTTTATTTTATACTAATTTATATAGTTACTATTAAGTATACTTTTTAGTAAGTTATTACCTAGTTCTTTAATATAGAAGACACTTTTATAAGTTTATATATATATTTCTTCTATAAGTACTAACATCTATATAGCCTTATATACTTAATCTCTATATAAAAGTGTCTAATAGTATCTATACTAAGCGTAAACTTAAGTATAAACGCGCATAGAACAGTAACTTAATCCTAATATAGGTATATAAAACTATATACCCTAGTTTAAAAGCTTACACTAGTTACTAGAAGGGTAATAGTCTATATATAACTTATATAGTTATCTTAAATACTACTACTTATACTAACTATATTTATAACTTTAGTGTAAGTGCCTATAGCTTTAGTAAGTTCTATATATTTCTAGCTAGTATTTATATATACTTATACTTATATATAGTTTTAGGTAATTATAAGTAATTTAGTAGTAAGCTATTTACTTTACGTAAGTCTAAGGCTATTAAGGCTACCTATGCAAAGATAGACTTTCTTATATAGATCTATAGGCTTAAGCCTAAGTATATATACTATATTAGTAATATACTTATTTCTATAGTAGATAAGCTTAAGTCTATAGGCTATTATATATATTTATATAACCTTAGTCTTTATTTATATATTTACTAACTTCTATATAAGTACTAATAATCTTATTAACCTTCTAATCTAGTCTAATAGTAATAGTAATAGTTATACCTAATCTATATATATTTATATATATCCTAGCTAATTTAACACTTTTATATATACTTTTATAGTAGTAGTTAAGAGGATAACAAAGGATATAGGGGTTTATAAAAGGATATAGGCCCTTATAAAAGGATATAGAAGTTTATAGGTCTTAGAGAAATATATATATTTAGGTAATATAGTATATACCTAGCTAGTTTTTTATAGTAAAGCGTAAAGTTTAGTAGATAAGGTTAGTTTTTTATAGACCTAGGCACCCTTGTATACTCTTGTATATTAGTTTTAGCCTGCCTAGGTCCTTGTGTTTCTAGGTTTTTAGATACCTAATCTTATAGTTCTATATATAAAGATTTTTCCCTTGTATACCTTTATATAGACCTATATATCTTAAAATTTTTTCCTCTAAAATACCTTAGACTAGTTACTTATTATATAACCTTATATAGTATTTTATACTTATTTAAGAAAAGTTAAATTCTAGATAGACTTATATAGTAATTATTATATACCTATTAAAAAATTATTAACTTTAAGTTTCTTTTACTACTTTTAAATAATTCTTACTTTTAATTAACTATTACTATAAAGTCTATATATAATTCTTAGTTCTTTTACTCTAATGTATTTTTAAGCTCTTTTTTAACTACTGTTTTTCTAATTAGAATATCCTTACTACTTTATATATAGAGGGATTTTAAATCTTATAATATAGCCTTAAAGATATCTAAAGATACTATTTACTATAGTAACACTAAACACCTAAATAGCTCTAAGCTATATATTATAATATAGTTTAGTACCTTTTATTAGAAGATAGTATAGTAAATATAGTCTAAGACCTAGGCTATAAGTTTTTTTACACTTTTATACGCTAATATAGCTATATTATTAGCTAAGACGTCCTTTATAAAGCTAATTATTAAGTTTTTCCTAAAAATATATAGGAATATCTAAAAAAGCTTTAGTATTAATAGAAAGGTTAGACTACACTAAGGCCTAACTTTATCTAGTTAATTAATACTTATAATAAGCTACTTCTGTTTAGGTTTAAGATATATACTACTATTAATATATACTCCTAGTATATTATATAGTTTTATATAAGGTTCTTTATATATACTGCCTAATCTATACTTACCTAGTACCTCTCTATTATTCTTAAATAAAAGTATATACCCTCTACTATTTATTTAGACTATAGTATAGAAGTAGCCTTTACTATAAAAGGGCATTAGTATCTCTTATAAGAGTATATAAAATATACACTATCTTAACTAGATATAGATATTCTTATAACCTTTTATAATTATTAGGTCTTTAGTAAAAGTATCTATAATATTAAGATTAAAAGTTAGTAGAATTAATTATATTAGGCCTAATCTATATAATAGAAGGTAAATACTTACTTATTTATATATATATTCTAAGATACTTACACTTTATATAAGGATTCTTTTATTAACTATAGTCCTTATAACTTTTTTCTCTAAATTCTTTTTCTAATTAGATTACCTTACTTTTTATTTATATACTACTCCTTTATAAGGACTTTTCTAACTTTATATACCTCTAGAATAATTATTATATCTATATATAAAAGAATTAGCCTTATAGCGTCTATAGCTAGCCCTAGTTACTCTTTTACTAGCCTAATTAGACTTCTATAATTAATTTTATATAAAAGGTTAATCTCTTAAAAGTACAAGAAATACTTATAGTGCTTAAATAGGATAATATAAATCTTAATCTATATTTACCTATATAAATAATATAAGTCTATAAAGATATTCTTAGTTCTAGAGAGACTTTCTTACTTATTATAGAGTTTTATAGTTTAAAGTACCCTTATATTAAGGTATATAACTTTCTATAGTAATATTTAGAGATATATATTATCTTAAAGGTATCTCTAGAGGTTTCTCTATTAGAGAAGTAAAGTAGTAAAGTTAAGTAAGTAAAGACATAATTTATTACACTTAGGATTAATTTACAGTAAATCTTTATAAAGTAGTTAACTTTATTCTAAACTAGAAGGTAAACTCTCCTTTAGTTTAACCTATATACTCTCCTATATATCCTTTATCTAATCCTTATTCTTAATACTATCCTATATAGCTACCTCTTAATCTTTACTTCCTATATCTTCTACCTTTAAGTATATATACTTTTATAATTTTACTTATAAGCTTGCCTCTAGAGCTTTAAGTGTTAGTTTTTGTTCTATTTTAGTCTAAATAGTACTAAGGTATATAAGTGTAGGCTAGACTTCTTTTTACTATACAAGAGTAGGTAGCTTTAGCTAGTAGTACTTAAATTATTATTTTTTTAAAACTTAAGGCTTAGAGATAGGCAGTTTAATTTATATTTTAAATATAAGTGTAATAGTAAAGCTATCTTTTTTACTAGAAAGTAAAGTCTTATAAAGAAACGTTTAAAGATTAAGGGCTTTATATATAGCACTATAGAACTCTATAATATCTAATAGGTTCTTTATATTAATTAAAATTACCTTCTACTTATGTCTAAGAAAAGCCTTATCTAAAGTAAACTTTATAATAAAGCACTTTATTATATTAATATATAAAGTATACTTTATAGTTAATAAAAATTATAACCTCTTGTTAAACTTCTTAAGGCATTATATATAAGTGTATATATAAAAACTAAGGCTATTAATATTTACTTTATAATATAAGGTAACCTAAAGACTAATATTAATATAGATAGTTAGGTCCTAAATTAGCTAGTTCTTTATCTATTATATACTTACTTTATACTCCTATAAGCCTTTAATAATTACTATAAAGAAGCTTATTAAAGGTTTTATATCTAGGATATATAGTATAAACTTAGTTAGGTTTATATTGTTTTTAGGTAGTTATAATTAGATACTAGTAAAGGATTTTAGGAGTTTAAAGATATTTTTATTAATTAAGGTAAAGTTAATTATAGGCAGTTCTTAGAGGATAGTTAAATTAAGAGAATAAAAAAGGCAAAAGTGCTACTTATAAAGTAACTTTACTATAAAATAGTTAAAGCTATCCTTTTTAGGACACTTTAATACTATCTTATACTAAATAGTATATATTATAAGTATATAAGTCTATATATAAGTGTATATAAGCTATATAGATTTTATCTTTATATAGATAGGGCTTATAAATACTATACAGATAAATTACTATCTGTAAAGTAATATTACTGCTATCTGTACACTAGTAGTAGCCCTAGTACTGATTAGCAACCTAATTAGGCAAGTTCTGACTTTTGGACCAGTGCGCCCTGCAGGCTGCCGTAAGTCGGGAAGCATTGGCGTTGGACATCGGCCATGGGTTTGTAATTAGCGTGACGGGCGCGCGAGAGATTGGACAATCTTCTAAATTGGAGGACTATTGAGTTAGGGGTAAATATGCAGTAACCCGACCCTGGCCAAAACGCGATTCAACCGACTCTCGAGTGATGAACCGAAAGGGGCGGTCTTTACTTGGCAGATCCAGGGTTTCTAGCAACGTGGGAAATGGACAGCAGTTGTCCCGTCCTCCGGCTCAACCTGTAGGCAAAGGGGGGACAGTGGCGCGGAAGATGCGGAGGGGCTTGGCCTGGACCGACCAAAGTCCAAGGGGTTAGAGACGTCGCAGGATGCCGACCAGACCAGAACCTTATCCATATTTTTGGCATCTACTTTCTTTGGGATTTACCCAGCTGCGCGCTCAAGAGATCCCGGGGGAATTGACACGTTCACACAGAGCAACAATAGGATAGGCAGGCAGGCGTTGAGTCGAAGGACATTGAAAAGACTAAGAAGAAGAGAAGAAAGGAAAAAGAGGGGAGAGAGAGAGAGAGAGAGAGAGAGAGAGAGACGCATGGAGCATTGAGACGGCACAGTGAAAGCAGGCAACGCGAGCCGGCCAGCCCATATGCACATTAATAGCCCGAAGCAATATCCAACTTCTAACAGCGGTCTAACCTGGATCGAGCGGCAAACCTCAAGCTCGAGACGTTTTAGAGTTTCGCGGCGCTAACAGGTGCCTCGGTCGCAGAGGAAGTGGCTGGTTGGTGCCAGCGGCCCCCCCCCCCCCCCCCCCCCCCCCGATTCTGGGGGCACACCCTGTAGCAAGAAACACCAACAATCTTGAATCTGGGAAGAAGGGCAGGGGGGTTGAATGTGTGTGCGAGAGCGACTGGAAGAGTGAAAGTGAGGGCGAGGGTGAGAGAGAGAGAGAGAGGCAGAGAGAGAGAGGCAGAGAGAGAGAGGCAGAGAGAGAGAGGCAGAGAGAGAGAGGCAGAGAGAGGCTATCTGTGGCTGTTTCTGTTTGGGACGAACCTCGTACCGAGGGTTTTGCTATTGTTTCCGAAAGCCCTCTGTGGTCACTTAGTCCCCCCTCATGGCGGACTGCTCGATGGTCTGGTGTGTTGCTAACTGGGGAATAACAAAAGGGGACATATTGACTGGGAGAGGGATCCGTTCCACGGAACTCGGCACGGAAGAGACATGCTGTTTACAGAGGGTGCAGCGCAATGCCATTGATTTCTGGGGGGATCTTTTTCTTTCTTCAGCGCAGGCACATGAGCAACCTGAATAACCTGAAGCAGCTGGGGGGTTCTGAAGCAGTGACACGCGAGCTGACGGGGTCTGGGGTTTACGAAAGCCTCGGGCGAGTCCGGGGGGGGGGATATGGGGCACTGAAAAGCGTCCGAAAAGGGGGGACGTCTGAAATCCTTTGTGAAGCAGCTGGACGGTCTGAAGTGGTGAACCATTGGGTTTAGTCCGCCTGACAGACCGATTGACAGGCTGGCATGTTGAGGCGCCTCATCTTCATCCTCATCATCCTCGAGCTCCCGGCGCTTGCATCGGTGGTAGGGGGGGGGGGATGCATGATTTACGAAACGATCTCACCATTGGGCGGCGGGAAGGACGGGACAAGACTTTTGGTGGATGCAGATGCGAATGCACGGCGGTGCCAGCTGTGTTGGGTTCATTCATCAATCAGATTGGTTGAAATTCTTTTTCTTTCTTCTTCCTCTTTTCTTCCAGCTGGTCTCCATACATCGTCGTCGTCGTCGCCGTCGTCGGAATCCGGTCTCGCCCGGTCAAGCGATGGTGGGCACTTTGACGTTTGGCGTCAATGTCAAACGACATGGCGTGTCGTCGTCGTCTTTTCTCAGCCCGTCGTCCCATCTTCCGTCGTCCAACCCTCTCCAGGTTCCCTCCATTAATAGTGCATCTGGACTGTATGCCGCCGCCGTGAGCAGCCGTGAGCACCGTGATACCGCATCGGGCATTCTAGATACGTTCCAGGTTTCTGCCGCAGCGTAACGGTACAGAGCAGTGCAGCGATGCAACAGCGCGGCATCGCGGCACCGCATCACAGCTGCAGCCCGCCCAGATATGGAAAAAGCTTGGCCTCGAACCGCAGCACTGGCACACACATCTGATGGCACCTTCAGGGGTCTGTCAGCGTCGCGCCGAGGGTGCTTGGCCCTGCACGCGTGTTCGCCATCCAGGCACCACCACCTCGGATGTCAGACACCCCAGCCCGGGTCGCAAGGAACTGGGTGGGACCCTGGAAGGCGTTCCATCCGCGGGCCGGCGTGTTAACTGCCGTTGATGTATGTATTATTGCCTTTTGTTTCTGCCCTCTTACGCAGTACGGCGCTTCTGCCTACCTGGTCTGGTGACTGGTGACTGGTGACAGACGCGACCCGGGCCCAAGGATCCATCTGCTTCCGAACGGGGAATCCAGTCTGCTGCACCCTTGTTTTAGAGGGGAGGAAAGGAGGGGCGGAGCCCGATACAGCCAGTCGTCCGAGGGACCGCTAGGCTTTCGTGTTTGGGTTCAAACGTTGCCTGGGAGGGGGTGGGTGAGTGAAGGGAAGGGCGCGCGCGCAAGACTTGGGCATGTTCCAAGGGGAAGGGTCCGTTTTGGAAGCGCTGCTTTTGTTTTCTGCGATACTGGGTCATCCCGACAGAGGGAAGACATTTTGACGTGTATAAGAAGACGGAGATGCCCTCGCCGTTAACAGCCTGGTCTTGTTCTTCCATCAAACCAAACAAAAAAAAAACCCCCCCAATAGTCTTCACTTCTCTCCTACAGCCCGGCGCTAAGAACCCCCTATTAATCAACCTGCTTTATTTTTTAAACATATAAAAAAAAAACAGTACAATTCCAAAAAGAAAACAAGTCAAGATGCACGCCTCAACCGTCCTCGCCGCTGTCCTCCCCGCCGCCGCCGTCATGGGCGCCACCCACGTCGTCAAGGTCGGCGATGGAGGCCTCACCTTCTCGCCCAACGACATCAAGGCCGCCGTCGGCGACTTGGTCGAGTTCCAGTTCTACCCCAAGGCGCACTCGGTCGCCCAGTCCGCCTTCGATACCCCCTGCACGCCCTTGTCCAACGGCACCACGACCGGCTTCTTCAGCGGGCCCGTCCCCGTCACCTCGGGCGTCGGCGCCATGGCTTGGACCCTCGAGATCAAGGACAAGAGCCCCAAGTGGTTCTACTGCGCCACCGGCAAGCACTGCCAGAGCGGCATGGTCGGCGTCATTAACGCTCCGTACGTGTTCCCTCTCTCTCTCTCTCTCTCTCTCGCTGTCTCTCACCTCCCAGGGGGGGGCTCTGATCGACGCAATTGTACTAACGCGCGAAACGCAGTGCCGGCGGCAAGAAGACCGTAGAGATGTATGCCAAGGCCGCTGCCGAAGCCAAGGAAAACGTTGCTCCCAGCTCCACCAGTGGTGGCATGATGGGCCCCGCCTCCGCCGCCGACGCCCCCAAGTCTGGCGGCTCCGGCTCCGCTTCCCCCAGCGGCTCCTCCGGCGCCCCCGCCGCCTCCGGCTCCGGCATGCCCAGCGCCGGCATCGAGGCCCGCGGCGACGTGCGGTGGGGCCTGCTCAGCCTGGGTATGGCCGCCGCCGGCCTCGTCGGCGGGCTCCTCGTCTAAGAAGTCCACGCTTCCCGCGGCTTTTGTATCATTCTCATGAAGGGGGACAAAAAAAAACGAGAGGGTTGGCGTGTCTTGGACTATTACATGAGGGCGATGGACCAACTGTTTAATACCTATACGCATCGCATCATCCCCGAGGGGCGGGAACCTCATTTGAAACAAAATGAGGGGGAGACGAGGGGGAGACGAGGGGGTTTCAAACGGGACGGCGCTGTTTTTGGCTGCTTGACCCGAAGCCCGGAGCTCGCCCATTCCCACTGAGTGGGGAGGGCTGCGACGGGAAAACACTTCTTACTTATACATAGTACCCTACCGCATGTTTTTGGAATTTACATCATAATCGATCCGATTTGATAGACGCCGAAATGTTCCCACGCGTTGTGACTGATAAAGAGCCTTGTGTCATCTGCTTTGACGGGACAGCATTGTTGACATTCTCAAAAATTCACGTTTTATCCGTACGCGAGTGACGAGTAGGGCGTGGATATGCCCTTAAGAACCGGACTCCCCACACCTGGGCGGCCACAGGACGAGGGGAGTGTAGGGGACACGAAAGAATTCATGGACAAGACGGATCAGCATTTCTATACCTTTTGTAATACAACAGCCATGTTCACCAGGCGTTGCCCTTTTTGAATAGACATCGTCTTACGGATGGTGGCTTAAATCGTGGTCTACTCGTCGACACTCAATCATCCCTGTCCCTCAGGCCTCGCACTGTTCACTCAGCGTCTGCCCTCCCGCTGCACATATTCATCTCCAAACTCGAGAGGTTTCAATCTGTAGAGGTATATGATGGATGGCAAGACAATTACATCGACAATCTCGAAAGCACTGTTTATATAAGCTGAAGAAGCCATCTCCAAAAGCTGGTACTTGGCGGTTTGGACCTCGGGGTCTCTAATACTGCTGCGTTTCTATTCAGAAGCCTTCTGTTGTGTTGAGGATTAATTATCATAATTGCACTGTGCTTTTCTACTTTGCTGTTGTATTATTGTGTACTTGTGCGACCCTAAGAGACACCGCCTTGCACATGCATCTCAACTCAATAGGCGAAATCATTCCAATCTTTGTAAATTGTTCAGCAATGGCGCGAGGCACTCCAACAGTTTCGCGTGCACGAATGCGAGGGCGAGATGGGAAAATGGAAGATGCGCCTCTCGACCTTTACCCTGTTTCGGAATGCCCCCCAAGCCTAGGATTGTACAATCTTTCCATTCGCATCAGTGGCCAAGACGTACCAGAGACGGTACGGGTTGCTGTTATTGCCGGTCTTCTACCATACTTTTCGACATGCTGGAAACCGTGGCTAGCCGTGGATTGTGTCATCAGACTTACTAGATCGTTTGGATATGTTAACCGGTCAGTTGGGTTTGTGAATGCTGTAAGCTCTGGGCCCAAGGTTGAAAGGAAAGATCCCTAGTTGTTCAGATTGACTGATATATCTAGAAATTGTGATTGGAATATATCCAAAGACTCATATAATAATTGACGAGACTAAAAATAATACCGATGTGCTTGGTTGAACTAGTGGTTATAAGTTCTACAGTTTCAACATGTTGCTAAATGGTCAAGCCTGTGAGTTGAATAAGCATACACGTCTAACATTGACTTGATTACTTTCAGTATGGAGCTGAAATGCGGTAGTACCAGTGTCTCTTCTGCTTGAAGAACAGTATCTCATATCAGTTTCCTACTAATACCTAGAGCCCTAAGTTGATCCCAGCCAATTGAATAGATAACGAGACCAAACAAGGCAACGCTGTAGCCAACAAATTGCATAAATGTTATGCTCGTATGCCAGATAATGATCGAGGCTAAAATGAGCAATATGTTCTTGAGGATGCCGGTAAGCGTCATGACGAGGCCAGATGTTTTGCCGATCTGTTTCATCTTAATTAATGGACAATTGTTCCGCTGAGGAGTTGGGAGCTCTTACCAGAAAGACGCTCGAGACATTGAGCATGAAGGCGCCGGCGGCATTGAGCAGCAGCATGGGGAAACCTGTTCTGTAAAGATCCTGCATTTGAAAGGTCTTGAACTCGCTTGCCCATGCGACAAACAGATTCATGACGGCACAAACTGGGGCGTAATAGTATAGACTAACGAGAGGGTCCATTTGTTGTGCGTCCTCGTCGCCTTTCAGCAGGACCTGGATCATCACCAGCCGTACTGCCTCAAAAACGATGCCAGCCATCTGGAAGACGAAGCCAACCCAAGAAAACTCGATCTCTCCGAAAGAAGCAATTCCGACGCCAGCGACTATAAGCAGAATATTGTAAAACGTTTTCATGGAGGGGGTGACGACGCCCCAGATCCAGCTGGTGAGGAGAACGGCGACGGGAGCCGCAGCCTTGAGCATCTGTATGAAGGAGACTGACAGGTACAAATACACTAGGTTGGAACACACAAGTGAACAGGAATACAACAATCCAATGGGGACGACGGCCCGAAGGTAGATGCGGTTGGTCATCCGAACCTTGTGGCGGCCGTTAAGGAGAGGGGTGGTCCGTGCCAATACTTGGGTCGCCAACGTCGAGAATACAAGATGCCAGCATGTTAGGATAACGGCTGTAGTTTTTGTTAGTGACTGGCGTGTGGTCTTTTTGTGGCGATGTCACGTTGAGTTAACATACGATATTCTGCGAGATGTTAGTCAGAAACATGAGCCGCAAGATTGGATTTCATACTGAAGCCTGCCGTATCTAGGAACCATTTGTTAAACAAGATTGTAAGGTTGGAAAAGAAGATCCAGTTCCTGCGAATGGTTAACAATGCCAAGATTTAGTTGCGACTGAGCGGCACGTACGCGATATAGAAAGCAGGGTGAGTGGATGTATGTACGGGTCCGACTGGACCTTCCTTTGTCGGCAGCAAGCTCATCGCTGTGTTTCTACTGAAAGTTGTGATGACTCATAAGTTGGTACAAGAATATTGCGAATGAAAATATATTGAAAAGAGGGAGGTCGGGTGTCGTCGGAAAAGCGGGAGGCGGTTGGCGGCAAGTAGAGGGTTCGAAACCGTGGGAGTATCATTGTTGGAGGAGTTATATCGAACACACTGCCAGCAACGATCTCAGTGCAAGAGCGGCCCAAATCTTGCTGGAACGTCCTTGAGAATGGCAAGGGGAAACATTAGAGACACATGTCTCGTGGCATAAGGTTTGCCATGGCTGTGGTCACAGGGAGAGGAAATCATGATTTGGGAATCGATAGGTGAAAGAGAACCACGACAGTGCAACAAACCAATGTTAGACCAAGGGATGCAGGGGTCGCAGGGATGAACAAAAGAGGCGGGGAGAACAACGGAGGGAAAGTTTTCTTGTTAGAAGCATTATACTTTTGCCCATAGGAATGGAGTCAACTAGATTTGGAGGGGCACTTGCTTAGCCCGTTACAGTATCAACAGTGTCTGTCCCAGTATCACAATTTATCCAATCGAGTGAAGTTGTATTACCTTACTTCTATCGCTGCAGAGCGATATAATGCGACGGCACACAACAACAACAAAGTTTTGCCAGCTGACCAAAGAGTGGCCAGAATCAAACTCGAGATTCTCATAATCCGCCCCGCCCCTTGCATTGCCAAACGCAACCAATTCTCAGACATGCCTAACCATGGGCGAAAAGCAGCCACAAGCAAAGACTGTCTCGTCTGAGTTTATGCGGGGCCAGTAGTCGATGATATTACGTACTTCTGCTACGGAGTGCTCCGAGACTAATCTCACTAGTGAGCAGACGTTGGAATGAATGTCCGGAATCGATTGGCCACTTGGCTAGACCTGCCACTATCAATTCAGCTTGAGAATCCTAAAGTTCTAAACCGCAATCAGTCTGAAACTAGTACCCCAAAGAAAAGGGAGTGACCTTGGTACCATGGAGATCGTCCTCCCGCACCGCTCTGAGCACATAAGATGCTTTCAGAACCTGACGGCTTTGGCTTCATCAGCTAATGGGCCCATCAATAGCCAGACACAGCCAAACGTCCTTTCAGACTGCGCCCCCGCGCCATAACGATACGTTAGGGAATGGAAAGATAGCCCAGGTCAGGTGCTGACAATAGCCGTTTAGTTTAGTCACTGATTTTAGCTCTCTGAACAATGGCTGCTTGATGAAGGCGAGAAAGCTGAATGCGTGATCCAACCATTGAATGTCCAAGACTGATTCAAGCTAGTGACGTACGTGGTCTTGCGCAGCCCATACCAGATGAATGCTGGCGCATATAGTGAGGCAGAAATTCAGCCATATAAAGGGGTTTTATGTTCTGATCGTCCCTCCATCGCTTCGCGTCTCCCAAGAGAGCCGTCTCTCTTTCTTTTTGCACTGATTTCTCACAAAACCTTGCGTGGCCGAGGCCTCGTCATCTCAGGCGCCTGACCTTTGCTACAGTCATGAAACAAACGATCACGAGGGATCATATCAGGCTTCTAGCAATAACCGCCCCTGTGCACTTCATCTAGATACTGTAGATGATCTGAGGCCCCGGTTCCAACCAGGAGGTTCTTCAACATGGGAAAACTCAGGCATTCGTACTCGGGGATAGTTTATAGGCCTGAGAAGATAGAAACGAGGTTCTTACTCCTGATAATGCCGTCGACTATTGCAACCATTTCCGCTTGTAATCAGCCAGCCTCAGCCGGATGGCTTCTGAAATCAACTATTTTGTCATCATTCAGTCCAGCAGGACTTTCACCAACCACTCCAAGCTCTAATACGTCAAAAGAAATTAGGAATAATATCAACCAGGAGTGAAATCGACTGTGCCTTGAGGATGTTATTTTCGAGGCTTAAAGAGAAGACCGAGCTGCGAAAAGTTCTGTGCGTTAATAGCCTTTTTTTCTTTTTCTTTTAGAGATGCAATCATTTCATCACGAGCCACCCCCCTCAAGTCTTCTGCGCACTAAAAAAGTCCTTGAAGTTGGAACGAGTGCTACGGCTCTCGTCCTACTCGGAAATGAACAAGGTGGGCAGGGCTCGAAGTTCGTGAAGTGGCTCAGTGATCAGATATTGTGAATAAGTGGCGTGCCCTAGATAGACTTAAAATATTACACCCGTTGTCATGCGCGGAACGCATAGTCAGCCTAGCTCAAGCGGGCTTGCGAGATTAGTGCGACAGTGTACATGATCGGAGTACAACGAGTGGTCGTGATTTTTGATATAAGACCACTCCTACATGATCGGAGTATTGAATGTGGCCGTGATTGATTGGCAAAAGTGTTCCCGATGCTGAATTGTAGAAATACCTACAGAAAATCAACCGGATCGGCAGAAAATTGTGGCTTGCAAAATGGATGACGCTGCTTGTGATACCAATGACGATGGTGTCTGCTGTTCCCGGGCTAATTGCCTGCTCGCAAACACAAGGTCTAGAGGTTGTTGAAGTGGAAACGAACCCCCAACAGCGGGGTGTCACTACCGGTTGCGAATCTTCTTTGATGACTCCCGAGTACCCTATCTAGCGGTCTAGATGATGTTTATGGCGTTGTGTGTTTAAACTAAATTTCATGCTGGGGAATGGATTACGAGTGGTTGTACGCCCGCGGCAGTCGGTACACCTTGACGAGGCAAATCCGTCCGGTCCGGACATTTAGTTCCATGTGTAGGGCATGGCCGAAGCACTGGCCATGCAACAGCCGGTCCGAGTGAGTATTAGCCCTGGGCTAGGCTTCGTATGTATTTGCCGCTTAAGTGGTCTATACTGTTTGGGTGGGTTGCGATTGTGTTCCTCATCGAAGACCTATCTCTCTGCTTGCGGCATATCTTCCATTCACGTAGCTGTATGCAGGGAATCTGTCGTGGAGGACAGCAAGGCTCCTCTACAACTTGCCTTTTGGTAGGTAAGTATGTAGATATATTAATCGCTCTGTGTACAACTTGTAGATTCTATACATATCATATGCCGGACTGTATTTCTGTGACAAAAGGGATCGCCAGGGTGACCTATGTTCTCCATTCATTCCCCTATTGCCTTTCATCTTCTCTTCACTTTCCAACATCGCCGTTCTTATATTCCTTACCCCGCCAAAAACCTTTCACCTCTCTGAGCTGTTTCTTTACTTTCACCAAACGAGTTATATTGTCATTGACGACGTCGTTTATCTGTAACGATCTTTTTAGAGTTCGATCAGCTCCTGTACTTCAACTTGGACCTGCGCAAGAACACCATCTTTTACGCGTGCGAGAGACGCATAAGAAAATGGCCACGAATCTTGACCTCGAGATACTCGAGTCTCAATCTCAGGATTATTCAAAGTACTCCTCTTTTTCGGTGGATCATGGACACGATTCTTCAGAGCAGCTAGCTCCGAGATTCGAAGACAGACTTATCAACGAGGGCATTCCTGTCGCCCAGCACTTGCCCACTTGGCTAAGGTATGGGGAACGAGCATTTTGGATCCTCATGCCTTCATTTTTGCACCCCTCGCCAACCAAGGTCGCACCTAAACCTCTTCATCCATCGGCATGGCTCGGTAGGTTTGTCATCCCTCTACTGACTACCTCCCCGCTAATACCGTAGCGCAGATGGACTGCGTGGCATATCTGCTTTGTTTGTCGTCTGCCATCACTGGAGTCTTGTTGTCATGCCTGCCAACATGCGACGTGGCTTCATGACCGACGACTATCCTATGTTTCTTCAGCTTCCCATAATTCGATTAACTGTTACGGGATTTTCTGCCGTCTGCGTCTTTTTTGTTATATCTGGCTACGCACTTAGCTATAAACCTGCAAAGCTCACGGCACAAACGAAAAACGTCGACTTTCTAACCACCGTGGCTTCCTCCGTATTTCGACGATACCTTCGACTTTTTCTCCCAACAATGGCAACCACCCTTGTGGTGGCTTGTTTGGCATACTTCAGACTTTTCGAGGTCGCCCCGGTGCCAAACCAGGCTGTTGTATGGGCCAGACCACCTGTACTTGACACCTTCTTCGATCAGATGAAGAACTGGTGGTTGCAATTCGGCTCATTGTCAGACCCCCTTTCCAATGACATAATACGAGGTGGTAGGTTTACCTACGACCCTGTACTTTGGACGATCCCTGTTGAGTACGACGGATCAATGCTTGTGTTCCTGACACAGATTGCCTTTTATCGACTTCGTCCTAGGATTCGAATTTTCTTCAATATCCTGATTGTGGCGTATGCCATTCACTTTCGCTACTGGCCATATTTTCTTTTCCTCTCTGGGCTTTGCATCGCTACCCTTCACTTCCACGCTCAAGCTAAGGATGATGCGCATGAGCCCGCATCCCTGATGCTACCATTCACATCAACTACATTGACTCCAGGAAGTTTTAGATCTTCATTCTTCCTACCGGTGGCTCCAGGAAAAAACGATGTCCGCAACAAGGCCATACAAATCGCTTCATTTCTTGGTGCTCTCTGGCTTCTGTCATACCCAGAAGCCACTGCTGCGATTGCGCCAGGATACAGGACTATCTTCACTTTAACCCCCGCTTCATATGGTGTAGAAGACCATCATTTCTGGATTCCTATTGCTGCTGTCTGGCTTGTTTTCACTGTCGACAAATCGCCAGTTATTCAGCCGCTTTTTACAAATCGTTATATTCAGTATTTGGGCCGCATTTCATATTCTATCTACATTGTTCACTTTAGCATGATATGGCTATACGGCATACATCTCATCCGACTTTTTGCTTTGGTCACGGGATCAACTTTCGAGGCGAACTCAGCAAGTGTAAGCTGGGCTGTCAGCGCTATTTTGGCAACAATTTTCTTTCTCCCTGTAACAATATGTCTGGCAGACTTTGTACAAAGATATGTAGATGTTCAGTCTGTAAGAGTTTCAGCTTGGTTGGAAAGCAGGGTAGTTAGTAGGACAAGATGAAGCTAGGTAAACTTGGTAGCGGACATTCAACATCGACCTATAATCATTAATCCTCTTATTTTAAAGAAGAGTCCATACCTAGAAGAACATAGTTCACGTAAACGCATTTATATACCTACGACTGCTTAGAGTAGATATATGGAGGGAATCAAATGTTGTCCTCAAGTGAGTGGCTCCTTTCTCGTAGGCATTCTGCTATTGGCTTTGGAGGTTATTAGGTCTGAGGATAGCGGAGAGATTGCCCAAAAGCTCAGACATTAACTTTGCGTTCCAAAATGATGAGCTCTTCCTACAAATTGTTGTTCTTGCGCCAACCAAGTTCCTTTCATACGCCCTTTAGTTTGGAAAAGGGATCTAGAGCACATCATGCTTTGGCTGCGGAATAAGTGTACCACTTTCTCAGTAATGGACTTCCCCCAATGCCATAGTCACGTAAAAGCAAGGGGGGAGCGAGGGGTTCATTGGCCATGTGATACATATTAGCGGAGAGGTACCTCATCTGTAAGGGCAATGATGTAAGGTTATAACGCCGCACATTGCTTATCACGCATCTGCCGCCTTCAAGACGGCGACATTTGAGTTGAACAGTTAATCCCATTCAAGGTTTCACACGAAATGGTACAGCGCATTTGAAGCATCAAAGCCTTCTCAATAAGGGCAATCCGATTGTGTATTCAAACTGGATGCCAGACAATGCAAGTATTGGGCGTTCAACTACAGAAAGTAGTCGGTTGAGCTATTATTATGGGAAAGTATCCATAATATCATGGCCATCTATAACAAACTCATTTGTAAATTCGTCCCCCTTCGTTATAAGTTGTTCGAGATAGTACCGTTCTAGGCCCCAGCGCTGAGTGTCAGGGTAGATATATGTCCCAAAGAAGACCAGCTGGTCCTTAGTCTGCGCATAAATTATGACTAATGACTTGGTAGAGATTAGACTTCTCTGAAAGTATCAGCCCCTTATCAGCACAATGTACTCAACCGCAGCCTTTTGATCGAATGCCAGACGATTGACAGAGTCAAGCATGTGAGGACGATCCGCCAGCCAAGTCCACTTATCGTGCACTGTATAGTTGTCTGCGGCCATGATGTCGTGAAAAGCTTGGACGACGGCTTTGTCACCGCAAATGACGTAGATGCTGGTGGTTGGTTTAACGCTCCTTCATTCACGCGGCGGATTTCGGCGGCGTGAATCTCCATTTGCCTGGCTGGCATGGCCCAATAATCTGGCTAGTCGGACTCAGCACGAAGGTGGGTTTCCGCAATATTGCCATTCTGCAGTTACTTGGAGCTGAAAACAGCGTCGCTGAGGGGCAGAAGCGACTCGTTAAATAGCTTGGTGCGGAAGAGCGCCTTGTGCAGTGTAGCTAACTAGCCAGAGGCGCCATAGTCCCAAGACATATGGCTGCCTCTGAAGCCTAGCAGTAACAGACTCTCGGGTGTTACGTCGTCGATAGAGATGCTTTCGCTTGAGAGATGCTTCGTAACGAAAGTCCTGAAAGCCCCATGTCTGCCGTAATGCGGCTGCTCCCTATAATCACATCTAGGAAGGGGTATAATGCGCTCGATGTTCAGGCTCAACTCGCACAGCATGTTTTGGATGCCAGGACAAAGCTCTTTCATCGACTTCGTTAGCCTCTGGGTGTCCCACCACAAAGATGGGCAGACAACACTCGCCTGGAATGCGCCTATGTTATCCTTGGAACGCTTTGTCATATATAGCGCCTATTTTAATCTCTAGGCGTAAACAATTTTGACCTGGGTTAGGCGCATTGTTGATTCCGCCACAGATAGATGTTCTGTCTGGCCCGCAGTTGCTGTGACAACTCAGTCAAAGTCCATTCGTCCACTTTATTTTGTTTCAGGGCCTTATTAAATCAGCATCGGTTACGTCATGTCGCTCCGTTTTAAAAATATATTGCTTCTATTTGGTGTTGGTCTTTGTTTGCCACGACCATGCCCCTGAAGAAAGTATGCTTAACGTTTCGACTTTCTCCACAAGTTGAGTCTCGACGTTTGAAGGCTGAAGAATCCATATCAGAATCAGTACGCCGATAGCCCATCCGGCTATTTTGATCAGACTGTAAGAGGTTGTTCCCGTTCGCATCTCTAAATTTTGAGGCAGACAGTCTTGTTGGGTATTGAATGCAATAGACAAAAGTGGAAGATTTTGAAGGGATAAAAAACCCGCATGAGAAATATACACGGAGATGAAAAAGAAGATCGTTTGAATTTGGTAACAGGTAAAACCGGTCAGTATTAATGGAAACACGTGGATGGCTACTACTTGACTCCAGCTTCATCCCTTAGTCTAAGCCCTTGCTGTGATGGCAATATCAGTAAAGGGTGGGTTAAGACACGAGCGCGCCTTACAAGATATATTGATAGGTGCGTTGCTTGAGAGAGGATAGGGAATTGATCCATACATTGAGTGATGTGCAATGCGGAAATACCGAACCATTTACTACCTATTTAGGGTTAGACATTGCCTCGATCTGGGGACCTTTGAGAACAATGCTATTTAATATATACATGCGCCTCAATACGCCTTGGTCCACTTTAGAGCCTGGATAGCCGAGCAAGTTGTTCAGGCTAAGCAAATGGCCACATCGCCTACCCACCTTAAACACCAGCTAGGTACGAAGGAAACCTCGAACCACTGCCGTCACAAGCCCCCGGGGAGCTGGTAGTCACGTCGTAACATGCACGAACTTGTTCAAGAGCCCGTTGAGTATGGAATTGACCTTCTCGAGGATCTCGCCCTCGAGATGGCCAACCTTGATGACTACCTTTGGTTACAACTATATCCGCCTACTCTGACTGGTGGCATTGTTTATCGCTTATTCTATCGTTTCCTTACGCGCGCGTTGCTTTCTTCCTTCACTCTCTCACTTCGTCTCTTCACGTTACTGCCCATGCTCCTGCCCTTCAGCTCCCACAGCCCATATACACTATCAGATTTGAAACGGCAACTAAGAGGGCTTTGCAGTTTGTAAATAAATCTATTCTGTGATTAGGTGATTTGAAACGAAAGCCCAATCAGGGGCTTTTACCTATCATCGTCTCCTATGTAAATTCTTCACAGATTAGTTAGCTACTTTGCAAATTTCTCATACACACTGCGGTTCATCACAGGTTGGAACTAATGCTTGTAAATATTATGGTTGCAGGTTCTCTTGCTCAGTACAACGTCTTTGTTTTCGATTATCTAGCTATCACTACAGGTAAAAACTGTGACTGTGATGCAACACATTAATCTAACTCTTGGCATCCGTCCCACTAGGCACTCGGCAGCGCTCTCGTACAGTCAGTCAACTCGTTTATGTTGAAGACCCCAAGCAGGCTGAGACGGAGGTATTCTCTCGCGTAAGCCTGTGCGCAGGTTAGCCATGTTCATCGGAATAACACTCAAGTGGCGACTTACAGCATCCCACAGCGGGGTCTGCTCTGCAAAAGCCTTGAAAGCCGGGGCAGACCTTGGGTCTTGCGAGAGGGCCGTGTCGCTGGGGAAGGTGACGATTTCCGAAGGAGCTGCAGCCAGAGTTTGTTGGTAGAAGAGGACATCCCAGGTTGTAGGTGTTGTGTCCTCAGGGGCGTTGGCGCGTGCCACGTCAAAAAACCGTTGGCGACTGACCGTGTGTGCGCCGACGAGAGCAGCGAGGCCCGGGGGAGTGATGGTCTTATTCGCAAACAAATCAATCAGCCTGTCCGCGTGGTCCCTTGGGTCGGGCAACAAGCCGTCGGGACAGGCCACGGACGAGTCTTTGCGGCCGACGAACGTCTTGATCCTGGGCCCACCGGGGCACGCCACGGTGGCCGTCGTCGCAGCGAACTGGATCAGGTCGGCCATGCCAGCGCCAAACTTGCTGTACTTATCGTGCCAAACCTTCATCTGTGCCACGATGTCCTCCAGGCCTTTGTTGAGGGACCGCCCAAGCTCCTCGGGTGCGAGGACGATGGACCCGTCAGCGCCACCGAGGTCGCCGGTAAATTTGCTCCACCCGGCGGCATCGTGAAATCCCAGGCGGATGGACGCGCGAGCAGGTTCAGTGCAGCCATTCCCGTCGCGGAACTTGGTAATAAGATCGTTGGCGACATGCTTCCACACGCAGCACTTGTCCGCGGCGCATTCGTTGCTGCCAAGGTCGGGGACGGCATCCACCGAGTCCGAAGAGACAGCGCTGCCGTCGGCGGTCAAGATGCCCTTGACATCCTTTCCGACATCGGAAAGGTTGTTGTCAGGGATGTTGAGGAGGTCGCCAATGGCTTCCTTGTCATCGGCTCGGGCGCTGTATTTAGCTCCGTTGGGGCCACCGCGGCCCACCATTGCTATCAGGTCCTCGTGGGTCACGCCGTCGGGAACCCGGCCCATGCCAGGGTAAGCGGCGACAACGGCAGTGAGTGCCGTAAGAAGGACGACTACTTTATTTGAACGAGGCATTGTGTCGACTTGCTGGGAGTTGCCCAGGAAAATGGCAGTGAGACTGGGTTCGAAGGAAGCGAATGTGAAGAAGTGAGTGGAGCGAACGACTATGTATGTTTCCTAGGCCTGTAATGAGGTTGGTGGAGCGAATGACTGGGTGTATGTTTGCTGTTCTCTCCAGCCTAATTGCTGACAGCAGGAATACTGGTCTCTAATTATATGTTTGCTCCTCTGTTGCGTTGTTGGTGGCACAAGGATGTCCGGTCTGCATGATATCCACCTCCATACTCCGTACATTTACTGGTCACCGAGAGCTCGGTCCCGAGAGGGAATGCAGGATCCATCAGTTTCGCTTCAGACAGTGAGGCACGGATACTATGTTTCGAGTCCTCAAGACGGCAACCAAAGCCACCACATAACACGGGAAGTTCACTTGTAAGACCCGAGATCCTGTGACTATTGCAGCTGAGTTCCTGTGTCGTCTGGTTTTTGGGCGATGATCCTGCCTCCCATCCCAACTGTTGGCTTACGTGGCGTTGTCATTGTGCGGCCTTCAAAACCGTAGTCTGATGCCAACCCCTTGCGTCCGTGGGCACATGGGCCCGTGGGAAAAATAACGAACGAGCTGAATAATTTTCCTCGTGGGATAATGAGTGTGCAGAGTTATCTGACCGAAGTCTTTGAAATAAGCTGAAAGAGCGCAACCTTGTAAGTAAACGCTCAATCTAATTGTTCGGATGCCGCGTGTAAGTTCAGAGCGCTCATCCGAGCCTCCACCGGCTCCTGTGCTGTTCGGTTACAGATGGCTGATCGAATATTGAAATTTTTAGGCTTTCTCTTGAAGGTCGAACGACTTTCATTCGTAGGTGGCATCCTCTGATCTTTTTGGAGCATGAGGCGATGCGTGATAGCAAGGACTAGTTTTCGCAGCAAGGATCTGTCGGCTATTCGCTGCATACATCCCGTATCTCGTTTGTCTCCACAAAGGCCTATCTCGCAGCAGATCAAGAACCAGAAGTTAGGATTAAGAGTTAATGTAGTGTATGAAATGTACCTTGCGAAGGCCACTTCCTCGGGAAGTGCCGTAAAGTCTTGAGTCTGGTATTTTGCCCCTGTAGCAAGTGGCTGAGACCTCCGCCTCCCACTTCCAATCGATGAGAACAAACCAAATATAATCCAGACGTATCGGCTGTACGGCAAAGTGTGCTCACGTGAACTGACGTAGCCAATGTAAGGGCCAACCGTGCTTCAGTCTCTCGGACATCCGAGCTTACACGCCCAAGCCGGCACCCAACCGCATAATTTGGATCTGAACTTCGCTCCCTAACGCCGCAGACCATCCGTATCTTGAGAGTCTCGCAGAAAGAAATGAAAATAAAAATGGATGAAGCTAATGCACTTATCGGTCATCGCCACAATCCCGGCCTTTGGACAACGACTTTGTATGCCGGTGGCCGAGATCACTGTGCCACCACAGAGCTTACCCCCGGTTGCGTCACTGGCGCATTTTACAGGAGGACAGACGAGCAGTGGGACGTTCACGGAGACTGATTACGCCGTGACGGATAGCCGTCCATCCGCGAAGTTCGTGGTCTTTGCAGCAACCTCAGCGATTCTGCATTTCACGTATTGCTCGATCCCAACAAAGAGTGTGCACACAACCTCAAGATAAGGGGCAGAGCTAATATAAAGCTACTGTATTGTTGAACACGCGATAATAAGAATATTCGTACATTTTGTATAATTAGAGTTTAGCTAAACTAGAGAGATTGTTAATTTCACTTGTACAGCAAGCTACATTGCACTCTTGGTAAATGCAGGAGTGAATAACGTTCCGCATACATATATCCATATCCAAAACAGTAGGGCCTGGGTCTGATGTTCGTGGACAGACGACGAATACTGGTAATGCTTAACAAACGGGTTTCATCGGCGTCAACGCAATCTCACGCATGACGTCAGCGTCACACTCCAAGCCCATCTGTCTCACTCTCACCCCAAAAAAGACTGGACGTCCCAGATTCGACTATTCCATTCGAATGATAGGCGTATCACCAAGATAAGTAGATTGCATTTTTCTCCATTCTACCTTCCATTTCACAATGTCCTGGATTAATTGCCGCTCCATTTCCTGACCCAGCCTTCTCTTCACTGCCAATGCCTGGATCATCCCGTTCGACTCGCGAGGCCTTAGGCCAGCGAGATTGATAGACACAGTGGCTGTACGTTGATAAGCCTCTGCCTCGTTACCCTGAGGCTGTTGTAGAGTGGCTCTTCGAGCAGCATCTCAGAAGTCGTATTACATGTGAAGACTTGTGGCCACAGCAACCGTAAAAGGGAGCCAAGCCCCAAAGTTCACTGTCACCATCCGCCACCAGTTGATCCTTAGCCAATCATCCAAGATTCCATTAACATCCTTCTTCCCTTCTGCCTCCGTCAATGACTCCACATGTGGCGCAATGAGTGGTACGTAAGCCAGATGCCCCGCAGACACGACTGCGCAAACAGCATACCACCGTGACGCATCTGTTCTATGCAGCGCCACTCACTGTGTATGAAAATTGGCGACCGAAGTCGTGATTGACAGGGCAGTGAAGCCCAGGACGAACCAGATGCCACGGCGGAAGAAGGTGTCAAAGTAGGACTTCAGCCACCGGCGCGCTCTTCATGCGACTCTCGGCGGTGCAGTTAAACAGCTCGAGAAAGAAATGTTGATCCCGGGCATACAGAAGTGTGCACAGGATGCCATACTAGTATTGTGGGTATTGTGGCTGATCAATGGGCTTGCTGCATGTAGGAATCACCCGGATGACAGAGCGACTTAAAGAAGCCACAGCACAATAATCAAAGTAGTAGAGAGTTGGATAACAAATGTCGGCAAGCTGCTAACAGCCGAAATTCATGCTTACCTCCGTTGGCCTTTAATGGCGGCTTTCCGACTTGGTCTCGGATAATCTTCCCTCTACGGGCCGCTGGAGGATTGATCGTATGACAGTCGGTTTTCAAGCGAGAGGTAGCGGGTAAAATGACACAATAACCACATCAGATCATACATGTAACACTAGCTATGCCTCTATCCTGAACCCTCCATAAGAAACACGGATTGGGTCTACACGGAGGGTTAAGATGGAGAGAACGGGGAGCTGTCGGAAAACGATATTGTCGGGGCGTAGTATGGGTACTATGGCCTGCTATTGCCCTGGTCGACTTACACATCACGACACTGTATCACAATCAATGGCGAATGGGGCTTGCGCACCGAACGCAACCGGCCTGATCAGGCACGAGGAGCTAGCTTTTCACAGACATGTGCAACGTCTTCGCGAGCCAGAGCAAGTGAACTACAACACTATGCGAAGCGTTTTTGCAGGCGACTACCTTGGCATTGAGAATCGCTGGGAAGAACACATTACCCCTCAGCTCTGGCGCATCTGAAGGCGGTGTTATCCTCGAGGCGTCGCGGATCAACCGCTTATGCCAACGCAACGCTCAGAACACCTGGAATGTGATCTGGGCGAACTCATAATCCACTTATTTAGGGACGTCTCTGAAGTTGAGGAAATATTATGTCCCCTTTGTCAAAGACTCGGAAAACTTCGCGACTAGGGAAGCATTCTTACAGCAGCCTGTAGGGTCCATCTGTTCCCACGAGCAATAGTTTCTTGGGAGCAGCGGCCGGTGAGCTTCGGGTTGCCGAAGCCGCTGAACTTCAAGTCCATTGGACCCCTCATATTAGTGGAGTTCAAGCGGAACCCCATCCACCGTACCACTCTCGACCACAACGCTTCCCTCCTCACCAAGGCTCTCCACAGTCCTTCCGAGGATGAGGAGCCCGAGGCTCGTCCGGGCACGTCCTTCTTTGCTCGTCGCCGCTCCATGGCCAGCAACATCAGCTTGGAACGCAACGCTTTGCCACCCCGCGCAGGCCGAGATGAGAACGGCAGCACCGAGTACGCTGCGGGACCCAGCCTCTCCGGCCACATGGGCGACCGCGTTAGCATCCTCGGGTTGGACGGCGCAGATAAATTGACCCTTGCAAAGCTTCTTGTGGACGGGACAAAGCCCATCCGAGACACAGTGACGACCCAGGCTTGGTTGAAGCTCGAGTACTGCTCCCAATCCTCCGCAAGAAAAAGACTGTGCCGATCCTTTCCGCGACGGCTTCATACCATTTCACAGGTGAAGTCGCCTGGGAGCCGGGCCAAGGTCAGTTCTGTAGCATCCTGAGCAGCCTCAGCTTGTCTTGTTGTATCGTGTCCGATATACCCCTGGGGACGTTGTCGAGCAGCCGGCTCGTGCAGCGCAAGCTCGCGCCTTGTTAGTGGAAACCGCACTACCTCATTTTCAACGAGGCAACGGCCCAGCTCGACCACAAGACGGCGGCAGGCCACGCGGCGAGGGAATTACTGACATACCGGCGCTGATGGCATTGTTGAACCTACTATCAAGATCATAACAGATTCACGGGGTGACTGATGTGACAGCCACGATGACTTCATTAAACTCTGCCACCAGGGTTGTCGAAAACTTTGCACCTTGATTCACACTGTAGATATGTGATGACAAAAGCGGATCCGTAATTGCCACTGCGCAATTACGGCCTATATCACGACAAGATAATACTGGAGATAGCTTAACTCTCCACAAACCTTGCTGTCATGTGCAGGTCGATCACACACATCACTTAGAGGCCCTCTAGTTCCGACAGTGTAGCATGACTGTTGATATCCTGTATGTGAAACACCTCATCAACACGGGCCGCGCTAAATGAATCCCTATTCATATGAGCGCCAGGATCATTCAAGAAGCCGCTGAGAGTGACTTCTCTCGACCGAAGTGAGAAAGCACAGCCGTTGGATCGGAGAAAACTCCATCACAGGCTTGACTTGAGTGCATGCAACTTATGAGCAAACCGAAGTTCCCGAACTAGCCCACTATTATTCGCTACCAGAACAAAAGGCGCAATCAACAGCCAATCAACACGGCTCAGCTAATCCAACAACAGCATCGTGCGGCTCTCCCAAGTCAATTTCAATATCTACAAAACGAGCGGCTCCACGAGGATTATTCACTTTTTGGCCGGTTGCCGCTGCGAGCCACCATGGTATTATGTATGAAACGGGATTGGAAATTAAACGAGGGGCTTGAACATCGTTTTCGAGGAGAAGAATCAATCAAGGGAAACAGACATTGGCGCTTTGTTGAATACTTAAAAGTCGGCGACCTTGAGCTGACAACTAATTATTCTACTGTTTTTTAACGGTTTCCTCGTTGTTGTGGTCTCCGGTTATTTGCACGACTTTTTCTTTTTTACAAATTTTTGTTTTTCTTCTTCTTCAGCTGTCGTTCGTTACAGGCACAGGATGTCTTCACTTCTTTTCATCACCGGCCTGCTTGCGGGCATGGCTGAAGCCTATACCCAGGTCAACGTTGCCTCTCCTTTCATGACCAAGAACATCGACCCGATCGTCTTCCCCGGCCAGTATGACAAGTCCCATCTGCACTCCTTCTTCGGCTCCGACGCTGTCACCGTCAACACCAACACTAGCGCCGAGCTTCAGAAGGGGTGCACCAACGCCGAGAACCCTAATGATTTGTCCGTATACTGGATCCCCACGCCTCTCTACACAGCCGATGGCGGCAAGACCTACGCACCCATGCCCGTCTCACGCTTCAGCGCCTACTATAACCTCGGCGAGACCCCGGCCGAGGTCGCCATCCCCCAGAATCTGAAGATGGTCGCCGGCGACGGCGAGGCCCAGACCCAGGATGCGATGATCGCCGGAGCCCAGTCCTCATGGGGCTGCGAGAACGGGGGCGGCGAGAGCCTTGACGCCAACGGTTTCCCCAGCACGACCTGCGGCACTCACGTGCATCAGCTTCTCTTCTTCCCCCAGTGTGTCAACACCGAGACCCTCGAGACCGCCTACAAAGACCGCCGCGGCGGCAGCTGCCCGGGTGGCATGAAATCGATGCCCCAGCTCCGGTTCTCCATCCGGTACGACGTGCGTAAGGTCCTCCCCAATGGCTGGACCGGCACCGCGCCCTTCAAGCTCGCCTGCGGCCCTGCATGGTGCTCCCACGGCGACTTTATCAACGGCTGGACCGAGGAGGCCGCGACGAACATGATTGCCACCACCAAAGACAAGATGAAGTTTTCTGCCGTAAACGGCGCTCTCGGGGATGCCGGCTCCGGCCCTACCTGCAAGGCTAAAGACGCCGACCCCGCCCACGGCACCGGCGATTACGCTAAGAGCGTTGCCGCTATGAGCAAGCGCGATGTTGATTCTTGGGGGTGGGCCTCCAAGTCGCGATTCGTTCGTGTATAGTCCGAACACGGGGGAAATGGGCGGCAGTGAGGTTATGCATAGGCCAAGTGGGTTAATCTTTCTTTGTAACATAGTATTTTCAACGACGAATATACTTGGCTCCAAAAGCCACAAACCTCAAGAGCGGCTTTTGCCTGAGGGAGTACTTGCATTCATCGTGACAATAGATTATGTTATTCACCAGCTGTATTAGGGTTGTGGTTCCGATGTCTAGACCTTTCTGATGTTTGATGCAACCTACTTAAGAGAAGAGAGTCTATAGAAGCCCCGAGCTGGCAAAATTGAAGTTGGAAACCGATAAATAATACTCAAAATGCTAAGAAGCAACCGTTCCTCCGCTGACTCAGTTACACAGGGTTTAGATTTGGCACCATTACTAGCTTGAGGTTAGCGCCATCAATGTGTTTCTCATACTTGAGTTTCACATAGAACACGTCAGCAGGACAACTAGTACCAGACATTGCATTTCAGAGGTGGATCTCCCTATTGCAGCTTCCACACAAGAGCTACAAAAGGTGAGAATGAGGTATTAGCTAAGCTGACTTGCCTACCCCTTCATACTTACTGAAGGTTATGATTGTAGTTATTGTGTACGGAGTACTCTACGGACATTAATCCTTCTCTAATACAAATTTTATACCCTAACTTCCTATTGTTCTAATAGCCATTAGAGCTAAGAACGCGAGACCAGCTTAGCTGACTCACCCATCCCTTTATATTCTCCATAAAAGTATTATTACATTTTGTTATTCGTTTATCCTTCATATCAGTAATGTCTCGATCGAAGGTAATATATAACTACGCACTTTTGTAAGAGCGCTCGTTCGCCATCAGTTTGCAGCCTCGAAGTCATGAGCTGTTGAAGCTAAGTATCTCCTACCTTTATACTACATCTCATTTAACCAAGGATTTACCCTTCTCTCTGCAACAATTCCGCTTCTGCAATGTCTAACACTCTGAATAAGAGGTTAATCATTAAGCTATTGTGGTTGGGGGCATCCGTCGTCTTCGCCTTTGCGTTTCTGCACAATCTAAACAGCTACCCCGAGACAAGATATTGGGCAGAAAAAAAGGTACAGAAGTTTCTCGGTGACCACCATGGAGGCAGTCGAGAATCGTTGCGTGACTTTATGTCGCGCTCCGAGTCCATCTGGGCCAAAACGGTGGCGCAGCGGCATGAGATGATTGCAGCAGATTTCGGCGATGCGTCCTTGATGCCCCTGTAAGTACTCTCACTCGTCTTGCCAACATCACTTGAATGGTTGGATATAGGAAGAAAATTTCTGAACTCATATTGCTCCTTCTTAGGTTTCCCGCCGTAACTATTGAGACATACCTTGCCACCCCTTATTCGGTTTGGGACTTCATTCCAGCATCCTACAATTGCCCGTGGGACGTTGAACGTATTGGTCGCATGGGAGATGGAGGCAAGTGGGTGTGTGGAATGTCCCGATACGTCAACTACCCTAAGAACCGGGAGTGCATTATCTATTCATTTGGTGTCCGTGATGAATCCAGCTTTGGTAAGTGAATACTGTAGGGGCATATTCTACTCGATTTACACTCACCGGGAACTGTAGAACAAGAAATGCTCGAAAGAACTGGCTGCATTATCTGGGCGTACGATTTCTCTGTCGTTGACTTTGGCGAACAATTGACGCCTAGCAATCGCGATAGGGCTCATTTCAGCCAACTTGGGATCGCCGGCAAAACGGACTTGACGAAGACTCCGCCATTATACAGCATCGGCGATATCATGAAAAAGAATGGACATGAGTATATGTTAGCTTGTCGTCAAGTTCCTTTTTGGTCAAGGGGTGCTAATATCAATGGAATTTCTAGCGATATTCTCAAGATGGACATCGATTCCTCAGAGTTCGAGGCCCTAGACGGCATGCATCGTGAATTCCCCATCTCCTGGGAGCTGCCCGTTGGTCAGCTTATGATCGAAGTTCACCTATCTGAAGACATGACATCCCAGGAATTCCTTGACTGGTGGGAGCGGCTTGAGGCTCGCGGTCTCCGTCCTGCTTGGACCGAACCAAACCTAATGGCTGTCACAGTGAGCGTGGGAGGCAAAGACCCGAATATGGCCGAGTACACCCTGGTGAACGTCCAAGATAGTAGAAACATCCTGTTCCATATGCAGTAGAGTAGACAATTTAGTGTATTTACGTTTTGCATCATGTCAACCTTTCTAGTGACTTTTCACGATTTACCAATGCGTGAGCTCACATAACAATGTCATAGCTTCACTAACTTACCTAGCTTTTAACATTGATATAAACGCCCTAGTACCGGAATATTACAATACGTATTGCGTATATATTTGGGTTTGAGGCGTTGGCCAAGGCTTAACCTGACGCGTCAACTTTATTTGATAACAGATCAATTGTGGCAAGGCCTCCTTCTTCCTAACCCATCCTACTTGGTGAATTCTGAGTGTTAACGACGCATGCAGTTACAACACCATCTATTTCCACAATCGACCTAAGTTGCTATTACAGTCATATCATTCCCGTTAATATTCTATTTGTGTAAATGACTTCCGCCCTACAATAGGCCAATCTCTGGACACCGCTCGGCTATTTTAGTTAGATCATCCTTTTGCCGTCGAGCTGGTTGATAATATCCTAAAGGTCTTTCGTAGTACATCGACTCTACCGAGAACTCCATCGCCTCTTCCGGGCTAGGCAGATTTCCGTTGCGTTCCCTGACTCTTGCATTGAGCCATTGGTCCTCAAAATCGGCCAGACCAAGAGTTGCGTCAGGGTCAGTAATAATGTCGTACATGAATTTCGGATTACGCAACGAAAGGCCACCGCTGTACCCTTGGCCTAATTGAGGTGCGATGGAGGCCCCGATCAAATCCTAGTGGAGGAAGTCCTCGACTGGAGACGGAAATTTGGAGCTTAGAATAATGTCTGCCTGGAACAATAGCACCCGATGATAGAAATAGAGTTGCTCCCAAATTCAAGGCGAAGCCAGGAACACAGACACTGTGTGGTGATCTGCCATGGTCGTCTCTGGTGGAGGAACATCACCCGTAGCCGGTCCGTCTCAATTAAGCGTTTAGAAGCGGGGAAGTTAAGAGGGTCCCAGTTCGATTCGAGCGTCATGAGCACTATCGACCAGGTAGGGCCCAACACCGTAGCAAAATGAAGTATGACGGGCACCAGATTGAACACTCGCGTGATATCCGTCTCGATGATGACGACAGCAACGTTGCTGGTATCTGGAGCTGCATGTGCACCCAATGCATCCGAGGCATAGAGGCCATCGCCGACGGAAGGCTCTTGATTGTCATATGTAAGATGTTCGCTGTGCTCACACGAAAGAATTATCAGTAGGTGCATATGAAGGTCCTGGACTCTAGCCGATTGCAAGCAGACCTCAAACATCTTTTAGCTTGTCAGTAGCACGACGAAAATAAAGAAGCATATCAGGTGAGTTCAACTAATCGTATAATGATCCAAGAATCCATGCCTGTTGGTCGACTTGGAACGCACTGTGACGGCCATATTTAGAAGGAGTGGTTTGCAAAGAGCACGAGTAGTGTTAAAGCGTGTTGCATCGGCTGCAGCGGGGAGTTTTACTCCACGTTATCAGTTTATGAACATCCTAATCGAGATTAATGGCTTTGTTGCACTGTCCTGCTGAAGCCAGGCATGTGATTAGACGATTCGCCATCCTACACATGCATTTGACGCATCACCCTAAATTATTTGGAATGGTGTTTGCGCGCCTCTTTATCACTCCTTGCTTGTGCTAAGGGAATCTAGGGAGGCTGGGGCTTATCAAAAGCTCCCTTGACTCATTTTCCGTAGGACGGAGTGATAATATTGTCTTTACGGTAGTGAATACCTAAATACGCAGAGCAACTGCCGAACCATCCTTCATTTTAATCACAATTCAAACGAACTTTGACGACGTGGAGCTTAGATGACAGCAGACTCATTGTAAGACAATCGTCGTCCGCGTCTGTGGCTGCTATCCGGGAAGGCGGATCGCTAGGCAGCGTATAGCCAGCATCTAGACACTTTGCAAATTGGAATGCCGCATTCGGACTGGAATTCAAATGAAAACAGCAAGATACACATAGGGAGCGAGAATGTTCCCTCCCTCACGTCCTCGCGACGTCAAACGCGGGCTAAGACGGAGGCGGCCCTGACAGTGTTCCCGCATGGAGCAGTTGTCTAGGACAGCCAGGTCATTGCCGACCGTTCCGCCTTGGCACTGTGTCAGTCTATCGCTGTCCGCCGTAGTGGTATAGGCCGTGCTGTCAGAATCGTCAAGGTTGGCTGCCGAACGGCACAGATCGCACGCCTTCGGCGTGACCGTGTTGTTAATGGAGCCGTCGGCCATTGTGCAACAGTATTGGCCGTAAAGCGGGCTCGCCGCCGGCGACCAGAGCGACGATGGGGGCTTTGATAATTGAGGCCTTCTTTTTGGAGAAGAGTGTGGATTTTATTTGTCTTCTTTCAAAAGAGTTCGGAATATTGAAGGTGCTCTAACGCGGATGTAAAGAGGGTACCTGAGCTGTGCTTCAGTGAGTGTTATCTGACGGAAAGAGGCATCTAAGACGATGAGTCAAACTAAATATTCTTATACATCTTCAATTGACTCTGTACATGTCACTGAAATCGATCCTATAGTATACCATTTTCGACTAGCTATCATTTCTAAAGGCATAGAGGCCCGCAGCGGTATATATATTAGAGTATTAATCGGTAATGCTACGCAGCATGTATGATTGTTGGTTGATGATCTGCTGGCAACCCCATTCGTCCTAAAATCAAATGCTACGCGGGATAAGGCTGGGGCGCCCACTCCTTTTGCGGAATCGATGGGGACTCAACCGACGCCTACCAGATGGACATTTCGGCATCTTGGCAGCCATTCAATACGGCTGACTGCGGCGTTTCACACAAACTGCACCTTGACCAAGGGTTCGGGGATACCGGCACAAAAGCGCAGAGGGTAGAACAAACACAAGGTACGAAGGAAACATTAGTTTAGTTAATCAAGTTGATGCCATCATAATATCTTATTTATCTTAGTCTGGTAAAGTCAAATACTAAGGTAACAGTCTTCCTTCCAAAAGAAACTACCCCTACGGGATCCCTTACGGATGATAATAGAGACTATCTTGGCTTCTGGGCTAATGATGGAATCACGACAGGTTTTTGAGTTTTCCAATACCTTGGAAGAAAAGATAAGCTGGATAAACAGTTGAGTCATTGGATATAGAATTGATCGTATGGTTGAAAGCATGCATGATTGGAAAAAAAAAGGAAAAAAAAAAGAGTACCCCATCTGTCCCTCGGCGGGTTTCTTGCCTGCCTACAAAAGAGGGCCTTTGAAATTACCTAACTATGAAGAAATTCTCAATCAAGGATTCTGCGAGAAAACATCTTGATTCGTGATTGTAAAGATTGGCTACCTTCAACCTCTCAGTAGTAGCTCCGCATGGCGTCCTTGTACGACTCTCCTCCCTTTAGATGAAGGTCAAAACTGTTCTGGACACCGAGGACCTGCTTGATGTGTTCCATGCCAAGGGGTTCACCCTTGTTGATGGCCAAGGCCTGCGCGGTGCGGACGGTGTTCTTGATCTGTCGGCCGTTCAGGTCGTGCTTTGCAAGGTTGTCATAGTCTTCGTTACTGAAAGGTTTGAGGTCGACCTTCTCGAGGACGCGGACCCTCTCGACAAATATCTTGAAGATGGACTTCTTTGCCTTTTGGTTGAGGCTCTCGTATCGCAAGGCGATATGGATGCGGGACTGGAAAGCGTCGTCGAATGTCTTCCTTGGTGTTAGCGCGTGCCCCAAAACACGGAAAAAGCATAGGCGGTCATACCTCGACTCGGTTTGTGGTTAAGAATAATATGCCTTGGAAGTACTCCAGCTGACGCAGAAAGATGCTAACCAACGCGTTGCGGGCAATCTCGTGGAGGTTCCTCTTTTCGAGGAACACATCGGCCTCATCAAGGAGGAGGATGGCGCCCCAAGCATGACAAATGTCGAGGATCTTCTGCAGCTCTGCCTCAAGATAGCGCGAGTCGGTGCCAAGCTCTCCGGCGGAGGCCATGTAGAGGGGGCACTTGAGAAGCTCGCTGATGCCCTCCGCTGTGAGCGTCTTTCCTGTACCAGGAGGTCCATGGAGAACCGCTATATAATAGTTAGGGATCAAAGAGAAGAGCAGGACGTTAACGGCACGTAAGAACCTACCGACAAGCCCCTTTCCCTTTCCTTGAATTACATCATCAATGCTCTCGGCAGCATGGTACTTATGGGACTCAACCAGTGCCTATTCATGAAATCAGCTTCGTCACGCATAATGAACACGAGGCGTGGCTTACCTTAACGATGTCCTTCTGCTTAGACTCGAGCACAAGAGAGTCGTAAGCGCTGTCATTCCATTGAATTTCATCAATTCCCGACACGGTGAACTCAAGCCATAGTTTCTCGGAGAAGGAAAACCCCAGAACAACAGACGAAGCAATGAGATAGTCTTCCTCAGAGAACACCGGCGCTTCCTTCGACTTTTCGCCGTCTTGACGAGATGCACCAGATAGGCTCTCAGTCTCAGCCTCCTTGACCTGCTCAAGCTTCTCTGCCGGAGCAGAGTCTTCAAGATCAGACTTTGGGACACGAACCATGCGAACACCGCCCTTTGCATCACGCACAACCTTTGCTACCATCTTCCCGCAGGCATCATCATCGCTCCCATTTTCATTGTCACAATCCGAGCCTTGGGCGCACGGGTTTTCCTCGTCAGAGTCCTCGGAATCGGATAAGACGTCGTGATCCTTGGGTCTGACCACGGAGACTTGGTAGTTGGGGTTGATCCTGCGATGAATGGCAGGGTCGACCATCACGCGACTGTTGACGTTGACTTTGATCACGGCCTTCTTCTTCTTGTAATATGCTAGTCCATGGTGGCTTCGGTAGTGCACGCCACCGAGCTGCACAAATCTTTTCCCTCGATCGATCAAAGCGGCCTTGACGGCCTCTTTGTCTTTATGGAAGTCGAGGGGGAAAGTGCTCAGACTGGTGATCTTGCGCGCTCCTCGGAACTCTAGAATTTCCTCGCAGAGAGTGCCGTAGCCGAACTGTTTCCCGTCAAACTCCAGGTACTGTGGTAGTGTAAGTTGATGTCTCGTGGCGATGTAAAGAACCGAAGTAACACTCACTTTACCGTCAATCCAGTAGAATACTCCTTTGGTAATGCTGGTCAGCTTTTCTGCCTGCTCCACTTTGAAGATTCGAGGCTCATCAGGAGATCCGTAAGTTGTTGTGTAAACAAGCGTATTAGGCTTGAAAAGTGCCCAGAGCAGGTCGAACGTGATCAGTCCGTTTTCAAGCATAGGATACAAACTGACGTATCGTTAGTAGCCGTCCTGGTATGCATGCCCAATCACCTTACCTCTTCTTCACGTGAGAATAGTCCTTATCGAGGTACTTCAAAAGAACCTTGAGATGCTGCCGCTTGGTTTTAATGTGCTTCTTGTGCTTCTTGCGGTCCTTTTTATCGACGATGACCACTACTGACTTCTTCAGCTGCTTATCAAACTTTCGGAAGTCTTCCAAATAACTAGAATTTGGTCAGCCACGTGTTATGTCTAGTCGGATTCACCGTAGTACCCACAGAAACAGCATATTGGGATCAACTTTCGGCGTCTCATCCACCAAGCTGACGCCTTTGATGTTGCCCATGACCTCCTGCAAAATCCCGCGAAGAAGTTTGCTCTTGACGTCGACCACGGTGGCCTTATACTTCCCCTCCCAGTCAAACGTTCGTCTGATCTGGAGAACGTATCCTTTGTACTGTGTGTCTGAGTTACTTGTCGCCGTGTCCTGGAGTTTGTATTGGTGGATCGCGCTGTCCCAGACTTGGTCGACGCGCTTGAAGTTCAACTTTGATTTCTTTTTTGACGATGGCGGCGTTGCCCGTTCTGTGGCTCGAGTTCCGTTGCCGAACATAGGATTCCCACCAATCCCAGCATCTCCCAAGCCAAGGCTACCGCCGCGCCTGGGAGGAGGGGGCCAGAAAGCCGGACCGTTATTGCCCCCAAGCGGTAAGGTGTTGTTGCTGCGTTGCCATTGTTGGAATAGCTGCATCTGTTGGGCTGTCATTGAGACCTTGGTCAGCCCGTCGTCAGCATCGTCATCATCGCTTGAAGAGTCCGAGTCGGTGTCAGACGAAGAAGATGATGGAGACGGGGACAAATTGCGTCTCTTGGAAGCTTTGCCCTTCCTGGTGGAACAGGAAGCAATGGAACGAGTTTTCTTGGCCGTGGTGGCTCCATGATGTCTTTTCGATTTAGTCTTGCGTTGAGATGCCTCGTCCTCCGAGTTTGACGAGAGGGAGTCTGAGTCAGACGAACCATCATCGTTGGCAAACTGATTATCACCCTCATCTGTAGCAGATGCAGAAGAGCCGTCACTGTGACGTGCATGCCTGTTATGCTTCTTTCCTTCTCTTTTAGACGGATTCTTGACTTTCGCTTTGGGCGACTTTTTCTTCCCATTGTTGGTGCTTACGGAAGATTTGGCTTGATGCATGGGGGTAGCGGCAGTTGTGACTGATCGCATGTTGGACTCCATGTTATCGACGTCAGCAGGATCAGACAAAGTACTTCCTGGCTGCCGCTCTGTCGAAGCGGCATCAAGAGAAGACATGGTGAAGGCACCGATGCGAGCAGCAGGTGAGCCAAGCAACGACAACGTGGCGGCAGCAGTGAGTCCGTGGGTTGGGATGGACAAAGAATGAATTAATCGGAAGAGGACTTGGCCAGGTTTTATTCCCCTCAAGTTAAAGGCAACTTCAGGCAATAGGACCCCTATCCGAAGCTGCAGGAAAGAGCTGGTTCCCTATTTTTCTAGGCTGCAGGCAGCGTGGAAATGGTTCGCCTGAACGAATCCTAGCTACTGCATGTGTCTTGAATATGAAGTGAGGTGAAGTAGACGTTAAGAAAAAAGGTGATGTGCAGCTAAACAAGAATTTGCCAATGCATCCATCGGCTGGAAAGATCTATGTACAAAATGTAGCACCTGTCGGGATACTTCCCCGAATCTTGTGGCAAAGACTGACTTATCACCACAGTATTTCTAGTGCTCGGCCATGTGTTTGTTTCTTCTATGCTGTGCCTTAGACTTACATTATTTCGGACTCTACCGGCTGCGTCTTGAAATAGGGAGGGTGTTACTGCATTAGCCGGAGTTGAAAGAAGCCAGATAGCGGTCGTGCTGATGTTGGCTGGCGTCAACTTTAGGCAGTGGTTTTGCCTTTTTCCATCCCAACATGCAGCACATTGGCCGGTTCGCATAAGAGAACATTGGCCAGGGTACGACAGCGAGCTTTCCGAAATAACCCGGGCCTTGCCAAGTCACAGGTAGTTCTTGGATTCTTAGTGACGGTCCGTGTCTCCTGCACTGGTAATGAACAAGGCGGCAATTGATCAAAAGAGGGGAAACCTGCAAACCACCAGTGTACATTTCGGTATCAGTGGTCATCCGGTAGCAAAAGAAAAGTTTGATGGAGTGTTCGCCCGCCTCAAAATTCTGGCGATTGGTGCCAAAGCCGCCGTGACAGGGATATACTACCTAGGATCATTAGCTGCTTGCACAAAGAGTGATGTGTCGCTCGAGAACCCTTAAACTCCTGACAATCAGCTTCGTTGTGGCAGATCCAAGACACTAGGGAGAGACACAATGCGGGGATGCGTATGCCAGTTTTCTTTGCGGGGTCGGCCTGTTCTTCCACCTCACTAGGCTTACACCTGGCTGGCAGGACGCGCAACGGGGAAGCCAGAGGCATCGGGCAGGCAACTACGTTCTCAGACGCTATCGGAACTCATTGCTTGTCTTGCATGCATATTATATGCATGCTTGCCGAACAGCGACAAGGCGGTCTGAGAATGTGTGGTGAACAACGCTGCCAGGTTGCACTGCCCAGCCATGTAAGTGTCAGATTGAGGCACTCGGTCTGTGATTGGGAATCGAGGGTTCTGGGCCAAGGCTAGTGGGATATGTCGCTTCTGCCCGGAGCCAATCATTGTTCGTAGACAGTTTTCGCTGTCATCTTCTATGGACAAAGGTACCTTTCTAGCCTGATGATCTGACGATCTTGATACTGAGCTGACCTTGATCACGGCATGCCTGTGGACTGTTGTTTCCAAAGTGGTTTACATCAGCTAGGAAGCCCTCTGTCACGTAACAAAACGATAATGTTAGTTACGTAGGCAGTAATAGTAGCTTATATATTGTGACACACCCCCCAGATTTAACTTACACTGTAAAAAGTCAGATCTGAACACACTTTTGATAAAAACCTAGTTAGGTACATCTCGCTAATCATAGGTGGTGAAGATCTATATAGACTTTAGTAGGATTTTTAACTAGGGGATCCTAATATAAATTAAACCTACGGTGCTTAAGATCTATAGCTAGTTACTGCACTTAAATTAACACATATGTTATTATAGTATATAGTAGGTAGGAGCTAGGCTTATAACTGTCATATAATAAAATAATACTGTTGGTGACGTGGGTAGTAATAGTAGCTTATATATTGTGACACCCTCTTAGTTTTCTTCCGAACTTCAACCCAGGTTGCATATCCATATATTCGACAAAACGCTATGCTTCTTAGTGCTTGAAGTGAATTGCAATACCTACGTGCAGCGGCTACAGGTAATACACCATATTTGTCCATGAAATTAGCTTGGGATTACATCGCCGGTATAGGTTCTTTACCCTATCAACCACCATCTTACGGACTGTAGCGTCTCTTGAAGAGAATCAAAAGTAGTTGTTACTGTCTAGTATACCTATCCAAGACAATGTCGTGTAAAAAAAACTGAATACAAAGTGGGTCGAGTGGTCTGGTACTCCACATCTGTGGTGATCGCAACTGATACTAGCCACACGAAGCTATCATATCTTCACAACACTCCACTCTCTTAGTAGGAAAACATCGAGAACCCTGGCGGAGTGTTAAAATTCAATCAAACTCAAATGCAATCGGAAATGCAGAATCAAAACTATTCACTGGAGAGCCCATGTTTGATGGCTCTTCCCGAACTTTAAATGTTGCAAGTACGATGATGGAGAGCAAGGCATGGATCATTTTGTATTAGAGCAAGAAAATCGAATTTGCTTTTATGACTATGTACATGCGCTACGTTAAATATTTGCCTTGGCGCAGAAAGTCAATAGCTTAAGGCAGCAGAAAGCAGCCAAAAGCAGCCGTGATAGAATGTCAGAAGCAACCTTGACCAATTCAGAATATGACAAACAATCGGTCAAGCCTGCGGTTGGTGGAGAATGCATTTAGAGGAGGTTGCAGAGGATGCCACCAAGGTTGAGCTTGTCAAGGATGCCACCGGCGAGGCCGAGGACGGTAGGCAGCAGGCCGCTGAGGACCTCGAGAAGGAGGCCGATGACACCGCCAAGGGTGGACAGAACGAACTGGAGAAGGCCTGCAACAATGGTGTTGAGCGTGGTGAGAAGGTGAAAGACGACGGAGAGGAGGACAAAGACAAGAGGACCGAGGAGCTCGAAGATGGCTTGGTTTTGTGGTCAGCGTACCGCAGAGATAATCGTAGGTCAAAGTTAACTTACTGATGCCGAGAACCTTGATAACCTTCTGCAGAGTGAAAAGAATCTCAAAGATTAGCTCGAGAACGGAGCTGATGATCTGGTCCTTCTCGTCGCCGACAATCTCGGTGGTCTCTCCGAGAAGCTCGACAACGTCGGTGATGAGGGTGTTGATGAGGCTGATGATGATAGTAACCTCGGACTGGACGAGCTTGATGATGTCCGCCTTCTTCTGCTGGACCTGGCCAGCGGGGGTGTTGTCAACGGTCTCGTTGATGGCACCGCAGTGCTTCCTGACCTCAATGTAGGTGTACTGGACCTTGGTGTGGACGATCTGAGCGCGCTTGGTCACCTTGTCGGTGACATCAGAGACGCCGGGAAGTCCAGAGAGAACGGGAACGTCGGGAGTGGCAGGGACCTTGACGTTGTTAAGGGCGGGAAGGTTGTTGGCGTCGGAAACAAGACCGTCAACGGCGTTGGTGGGGGCCGCGTAGGTGCTGGCGAAGAGGGAGGAAAGGGCCACGAGGCCGAGGTTGAGGTACTTCATTATTGCGGTGGGGAGTTTTGAAGGATTAAAGAGTGTGATTAGTTGGATAGTTGTAAAAGAACGAGAGTGCACTGGAAGATTCTGAAAGAATGACTGAGTGAGGATGATGCTGATGAGAGGGGACGTAAGACTGCCTTTCCGCTGAGTTGAGGACGTCTTAAGTATTCTGCGAGAGGCCAATGTCGAAGAAAGATCATCGCCGGCTACGATAACTCAAAGTCATGGTTTGTGACTCCTGACTATTGCCCGACGCTGCCGATCGCTCTCCACACTGTTTTCCGGTCAAAATTGTTCATTTGATGGAGAGGTCATGGCTTGTCCCCTTGCTGGTCGAATCCGACTTCACCGGCTTGTCTCCATTCTCTTCGTACCCTGGAACTACCTGCGTCATTATCACTCTGGTCAATGTTAAAAACGATGATCAAAAGTTGACTTTACGCCTTGCGTGATTGCACCCCCTTTCCAGAGTGGGTTGGTGCTAGTACGGTCCGTAGTCAATCCATAGTGTTGACGATCTTCACTCTCCGGGACGCCCCGAGTGATGTCAAACATTCCACTCAGGCGGCTATGAAATTAGGTAGGCACGGCTCTTCTCTTCCCGAAGCCGACGAAAAACTAGCCACGCTGCGACTACTTAAAAACAAGTCAAAAATGTTGTCAGCCTTACGGTCGCGTTACAATACGTTGAATTATCACATACCAACGTAATATCACCTTATTTAACTTGATCAATTATTTCAGGAGGCCTCTCCTGGCTCAGCGATCACTGCAGGTGACCCCACACAGATCTGCGAGCCCACAAGCTAATAGGCAGGGGATAGCTGAAGATCGCCATTTACAACCACGACTCATGGACCCCATGCCGTTGGGGTGTTACTTTGTTTTGTTCTGTATGGTTATGGCACCTCAGCGCTGGATCATGAGAAGCGGTGAGGTCGCAGTCTGGGGTCGGGTCCAAAGCGGCGGATCATTAACTTAAAAATCTCCTATCTATATCACCGTCAGGCGATCCCATTGATTTACTAGCAAACCGTCGTTCGGAAACTTGTCTTCTCGGGCACTTAGATCAACTATCCGAAAGGATGCATAAAGAAAAGGCTCACCTCTCCAAATACACCGTCGACAACACGCTATTTACTTTGCTCGTTTGCGCTCAAAGCTGTAGGCCCTCCCTTACCATCACCTACGTGGGTTGCGAAAAAACACTCACACTTTAGCATGCTAAAAACATGACTAACAACAATGAGATATACTCAGTACCTACCACATTCAGTACAATTGAACAATAGCTAATTGGAAGCGTAGAAATCTTATAGTTGATTTGAATTAATTTGTGGAGGAATCTCTGTTAAGCTGACGCGTCTCTGATTGCTGTAAAATGAGTGAACTGAAGGCCTCTATGGTTGAAGGCTCTAAACTGTAATGTCTTTTACTGTGCGTTTTTCTCCCCCCCCAACCCGCGTTCGTGTCAAAAACCGCTGAGGGCGCAGCGGGTCAGTCGTAGTGCACATGGTAATGGGGAAAAAATCACAGACAGGCTCGTATTGATGGCATATATTCGCGATGAATCCCTCAAGCGGCCTAGTGCAGTTCACCCGGGACATATAATTTATGATACGATACGTAAAAGTCCGATTGGCAGCACCTTGGACTTGTGCCACACCACACTATCTTAATAGGGTACAGTATACCTGGTAACGCCGAGCAACCGCCGAATCGGACTTGACTTCAACCACAGGATGCACCAATATACCACTGACATGTCATGGGAGGTTAAATCAATGACGAGTGAGGCGCAAGGTGAAAGTTTGAATACTATATGACGTAAGTAGTATTGTATGGCTGACTAGTGACTGATACAACTGGTTTTGAGGCAATCATAGATTTTTCTCCTTTAGCGGGGTTTAACACGAGCACGCAACCCTCACGCTCTTCGAAGCGATGCAGGCAACTAGCCTCTTTGTAGAAGGATAAAGAGGAGGAGATTGCGTTTTACTTTGTACCAAAGTTGGCCCACTTGTGTCAAGATGCCGATCTAACCGCTTTGTGTGGGGGCTCTCGTTCTCATTGGATTTGGCAACAATTGCCGGTGGATGCTGGAGTTTCAGGAGTGATCGACGCAGATTTTGGTTATTCGAGGCGAACTGGGCGATCGTTTGCTGACCAACTAGCACACTTTTTTCAGCTTTACTAGCCTACGAACGGAGCAATGGGCTTGCCGAAAGCTTAGCTAAATAGTCGGAAGAAGCCTAGGTTACTACCGGTAGACAAACATCAACGATGCCCAGGCACCGGACTCGCCTCGAACTATGAGTGTCTTTCTCTATCGGAGCTCAGCTCAGCTGGGCCTATTGTTTTCTCATTGCCGACTACACATACCGAATGTGGAAGTCGGCCGACGAGGGCCTTTACGACCGCCCGTAAACGTCGCAACGTCAAGCGAGCGGGGTGGCTTACGCATGTAGAGTTTCTGCGTACGGCAGATGGCAGGTGACAGAAAAGGACCGGAGACAACGACCATCCCATGCGCCCAAGCTGCCAGCATTGCACCTATGTTTCCTACTGGCCCTCAGCTGCGTCTCGTCCTAGATGAGGGGCGCAGGAAAGGGGCCAGGAGAAAGGACCACATGGAGATGCGTGCTTGGCACTTGAAACATGATGTGTTCGGGTCGATCATGGCACGTGGGTCGGCGTAGCGGCAACGGTATCCCATACTCGAGGAGGCTCTTTTGGGCTCCTACCCCCTTATTGTTCTTTCTTTTCAAGGAGCAGGGCTGCATCGGCGGCGACATGGCCGTCGGTTGAAACCGAGGCGGCTGCTAGCCTTGACTATTATCGAATAATAGTCGCGCTGTGTTAACAATAGCCCGAGGGGGGAAACCCATGCAGCAGATAACGGTCATTCAGGGTGTCATCGATTGGTCCCGGAGAGGCATGGGTTCATCATGGGAACCTCTATGTGATGTGCCCAGGGTTCAGACACGAAATAGATCTGTGGTCTGCTTTGCTAAGAGCCATCCGACCTGTTTACTGAACATGGCCATTACTTTGATTGCGGTCAAGAAATTAGCAGAAACCTTGGGTTAAGATTTGTGTCACTATCCAAGGCTAAGAAGTTTAGATGCCTCCTTGACACAGAAACATCTCATCGTTGAGTCATCTGATATTGCAAGTTCAATTACCAACATCAGTGTCGTCCAGTATCGCAGTCCGCGGACGTTGGTTGGGGTTAATACGGACGATATCAAAGCGCTTGTCTGATGTTGCCCCTGACCCCACCCGAGATAGCTGTCGCAGGCCTGGGGAAGGTGCTGTGATGTTTCACTCGGAGTAGACGCGATGGGTCAGTCAAATGGCCGTTTGGTTAAGCTGGATTGGGAAATCCATGACGGTTCGGATTCGTAACGACAAGCCAGAGAAAGTCCCGCCCGAATCTACCGTCAGGTTGTTTGCCATGAGGATGATATCGCCGCAACATCCCTTCCACCCAACTATAAAGCCATATGACTTTCCACCTACTACAGAAAACTTTTTTTCTTCTTCATCATCAGCATCATCTTCCTGTTGCTTTCTACTCTTCACTTCTGTCCACTTCTCACTTTACCGCCGATTGATTCGTGTGGGTATCATTTTCACTGTCCTTTATTTGACCGCTTCCTTCAGACAACACTTTCACTCCACGTTTTCACTTCACACAGCCATCCTCGTCGGTTTCTTCTACACTTCAAAATGATTGCCAAGACCCTCCTTCTGGCCCTTGCCGCTGCCCCGCTGGTCGCTGCTCACGGCAAGATTGCTGAGGTAACTGGTGATGCGGGTGGCAACGGGACTGCATTGGCTATCCAGGGTGGTGTGGTGCCCGGTCCTGGGCCTAACAAAAAGGTATATCTAATTACACCGGATACAGTAAAGAGGAACGAACAAGACTAACATCACTGGTTAGACTGAGGTCGACACCACTGTCTTCAAGGCCAAGAACATCATGTCCGACGGCCTTGGAAAGACCAACGGCGGAGGAAAGGTTACGGCTGCTGATATCTCGCAAGTGATGGCGCTGTCTGGCAGCACCCTTCCTCAGGTGTCTTCCACTGGCGGCTCAATTTCTGGCACATTCCACATCGTTACCACCGATGGTGCCGGCCCGATCAATGCGGTTCTGGACCCGACAGGAACCGGCGCCTTCTCGCAGGGCACGATGCTCAAGGTTGTCACGCAAGTTCCTGGAAAGGGTGGCAACATCAGGCCTGACGGCACAGTTCCCGGCGGCAAGCGATCTCTGTGGGAGAGGGCCATGAGTGTCATTTACAAGCGCGCGTCCAACGTCAACATGGACTTTGTAAGTCTTGTCGTCTATTGTGCCCAGGGATTGGGCGGAAGCTGAGGAGTGTGCTGACTGTCTACCTGTAGCCCATGAAGTTCGAAGTGCCAGCTGGAACCACGTGCACTGGTAGCATGGGTGGCCAAAGCAACGTCTGCTTGGTCAAGATTGCCAACAGCAACAGGGCTGGCCCCTTTGGTGGTGTCGTGCCAATCCAGATCGCTGGCGCCGGCGGCAATGCGACTGCTGCGACGCCTGCAACGGCAAAGCGCGCCGTTGAGTTCCAAGGCTAAAAAGCGCGGGGGACGACCGACAAAAAACAAGGAAAGCTCTTCATGCTTTGGTACATCAGATCGGAACGTGCATTTGGGCACTATTAGCTGAAGACCCCCCTCTGGCAATAGCTTTTGTCTCTTGTATCCGTAACTTCAGACAGAACTACCTTGTTACCTAGCATTCAAATAATACACAGTATTCTATTATGCAAAACATGTTACAAATGAATCACACCTTTAATGAGTCCTAATCCCCCAGAGCGTGCTATAATCATTGTTCAGACTGACGATGCCCTGGACGGCATCCCGACTTGAGCTCTCATTCCACGCCTATAAGTCCCAACTCTACTTCAGGGTTCTGCCCATATGCGTTGTTTGCCATACTTTGTCATCCACATCCATTCGGAGGAGAGTGAATCCCTGCCGTGTCCAAAACTGAATTGCCCCCGGCAGAAAAGGGTGTGTATGCAGGTACAACTGCCGTAAGCCTGCCTCTTCCGCGGTTTTCACCAAAGAAGCGACCATTTTCGATGCTAGTCCGCCGCGGCGCCAATCAGGATCGACATACAGCTTCACGACTTCCACGATACCCTCCGTCTCCAAACCCAATTGGTGACGATGGTCGTAGTCCTGGTAGCCAACAGTTGCGACCAACTTGCCTCCTGAGCGGGCGACGAGGTACGCCCCTAGCGGATGATCGATGAATGTCTGCTGGAAAGTCGCCAAGTCGTGTTCGGCCCTTTCTGCGCGCCATTTTTGGTCCATATGAGGGAACATCTCAACGCGTGCTCTTTTGGTGAGCTCTGCAACTTCAGCGATGTCATCGACTGTAACAGGCTTGATGCTGAAGTCCATTTTTTTTTTTTTTTTGGCGTTTATCCGAGGTCTCAGTGGTGTAACAACGTGTATGGTAATGGTTTTTGGAGCGGATGCGTTTGTGAATTTTTGACTGCAGGGAATATGACCAATAGGCTGGAATAGCGAGCAAGCGCGGGATATTGAGAACACAACAACGACGAGTTTGACTGATGGCACTTTGCCGCTCAAATTCGTGTCCGGGGGGGGCGTTATACGGATGGATAACTGATGGATTGATAAGATGCCCCACAGATACCTAATAAAACCAACTGGAAGAGCCATTCCCTGTTCGTAAGTATGCCAATGCTCGTATTGAGGCTTTGCCAAGATGTGGGAGTATAGGTTGACCGGGTTTCCCCAGCCATATCTTATTATTCTGCTCTAAAAGTGGGCTCGCAGGCTGTCGGAAAAGCGCTCATATCCTAAAAGACGGAAAGATAGAGAAACGAGGTGCAAACTTGTAGCTAGATGGTTGCCCAATGTGAGAAGTTAAGTAGATGAGTGCACTGAATCACATTTCTTTCTAGGCTATAGAGAAACAAGATAGAAATTGGAAGGACACATAGCCTTCAATTGTCTCTAGCTAAACCCTGTATACGCTTGGGGATACTCGCTGTCTCCATTAGTCTATCACGCGTGCGGCCCAGGACATCTAAGGGTACCTACCTTATAACCTCAAACTTGCATGGACGAAAAAAAAAACCTGTCGCGATGCCTTCACGACATCGCGCAGCCTTGTGGGCATCCGACTGGAGCCAGAACATCTATGAATCCAGTACCCACCGCCCAGATCCCCTGTAGAGACACGTATATCTGCAAGTCAGACCAGGCAGTCCAGAGTGTAGACAGGCAAGCCGTTTTCCTATGACTTTCTGTGATCGAGTAAGTGCATCGTGACAAAACCTCAGCTATAAAAGTCAATGAATCACGGAGTATCCGTATTCCATTCTTTTTGACCCGTTGACGTGAGTTTTTAGCGAAGAATTGGATTTCACCATCAGTGCCACGTGCAAATCTGCGAGTCAGCTTTGAATAAAAACTCCAATTGACCTTTCATGCAATCCTTGTAGGTAGAGTGAAGCCAGATTTCAGATGATAGCTGCGAATAATAGGGCGGTGAAGCCGTATATGCATGACTACGGGTGAGTAGTATTAATATGTGAGATTGATCTATTCGCCTCTTCCCAGGAAACGGATAGGATGGTAATGTTAACTTGAACTAGCATCACCATTCGTGTCAGAGGCTGGTGTGGTACAGAGTAGAAGAGTCAACGGTGTGGCAGTTGGGGGTCACTGGTGACTGTTATTCTAATCTGTCCTTTTTGTTTAAGGCAAAGCACCCACTTTTCAACTACCCCTGCATTTCAACCACCCAAAAATAAAGCCATCATAACCACCACCACTTTATTTAATTAACTATCTATAACCTCTTAATGCTATAATAATACAGCTTTTGGCCTCACTAGGTATATCTAATGCGCTAGATTTATCTAGTGTACTTTTAACATCGCTAGCCTTAATCTAGGCTTACTGCACCTCTTTAATTATTATAAACTTTATGTTTAGATCTAGGGCAACAGCCTTCCTTTTCCTTAGGTTACTATTAGCAACTTAGGCCTAGAGGAGCTATATCTAGTGCTTAGTAGTAGCTAACTTTAAGGCCTACTCTTAGAAGCCTTTTTTTACCTTTCTAAAGAGCTAGCGTTATATAGTAATAGTTTAATCTAGCTAGCTAAATAGTTATAGCTAGGCATCTAGCTTCCTCCTCTTTCTAGGCGTTAACTACCTAACTACTAATAAAGTAGATAGCTAATCCTCTATATCCTAGGTACTCTTGCTATTATAGGCACTATTTATACCTTTATTAAGTAGTGTTAATAGGGCTAGCTTGTCTAGTAATAGATAAAAGCTTATTAGAGGCTTTATAAAAGTAATAGGCTATAACCTAGTGTATTTTTAGCTACTCTTAATATTACTAGTAGTTAATTTAGCCTAGTAAGCCTTCTAATAATATAATATAAAGTTCTTTTTACTAATAATAGTTAAATTATTTTACTATATAAGGTATCTAAGCTTTTTTTAATAAGCTACCTTAATAAGACTAAAGACTACTTAGTTAAGAGGCTAAAGGATATAAGAAGTATATAGTAGTAAAAATAAAAGATAAATATTATTTATATAGTATAACTATATAAAGTTTATTATTATATAGCTCTTATATTTATTTAAGATAAGTAGTCTAGCCTAATTAGGTTAAAAGGGCTTAGTCTATAGTAAAAAGACCTTTTTTAGCTATTTAATAGTAGTAGTATTAGTAGTTTATTTATTATCTATTACTATAAATTACTACCTATTATATAGGCCTAGATCTAGAGGAAACTACTACTATTAAATACTTTTACCCTTATATATAACTAAAGGATAAATAAGAATATCTTTAGTAAATATACACTTAATAATAAATACCTAGGCTTATAATCTAGGCTACTTTTTTTTTACTACCTTTATTATAGCTTTACCTAGTACTAGCCTATTATCCCTTTTACTCTTAAGGATACTAGTCTTATCTATATTATATTTATTAGCTAGTTTAATAGCAGTAATATAAAGTATAGTAAAATATTTAAACTAATCCCTAATAACCTTAGTAAATGCCCTATTAATACGCCTTAAATTAATAGATTAACTTCTTTAGACCTTAATAGATAGGTTCCTTTAAATAAAGCTATCTATCTACCTTTTGCCTAGAGGCTAAGTATCCCTTATAGCTTAAAGGATATAATAGGTAAAGTCCTTTAGTTATTAATAGGTTAGTAGTAGCCTAAGGTCTACCTAGGTAGTTACCTAAGTGGCTAGGCTAGCCTCCTGGCTTATAGAGAGCCTCTAGAGGTCTTTAAATACATCTTACTGTTGTTAGTGGCCTTTTCTATAGCTTAGAAGTGTTAATTATAGTATACCCTATTAGCTAGCAGTAGCCTAAGTAAATAGGCTATTTTTAATATCCTTAAGTGCTAGAATAACCTTATTTTTAGTATACTGCTTTATTATATAATAAAGAAGGGATCCTAAAAAAATAATATAGATTAATAAAGAATAGAAATTGTTGTAATAGTTAGAAAATTAGGTATAGTAGTTAATAGAGTAGCTAGGCAGCATTTTTAGGTGGTCGAAATGCAGGGGTGGTCGAAAAGTGGGTGCTTTGCCTTAACCCTGAAGCTATTCCCAGACCCCTTTTGTGCGCCGCCCGGTGTAAAGTTATCCCGCTCCGCTGCCGCCCAGACCCCCCACCCGGTGCCCCCCCGGCACCCCGTTCCGAGGCCGCCCCCCTTCGGCACCTGACAATTCGTCAGCGGTGACCGTTTCACTACAAGCGTAACTCACTTGGGTAAAGACAAAGAAGCCTCTCTTTGCAACTAGTTCCCAAGATGAAGTTCGGATCAATGAATTTGGTTTGCAGTGACACTTCTGATTCCTGTCTATCACGTTGTCCCCGACTATCATTTGCCGACATTTTGAAGCATTGGACTAAAACTCATCAGACTTATGCTACCTCAAAATACCAATTATAATAGGGGTTTTGTGTTATCCGTCACATGTATTACTAACGCACATGAAAAGTAATGCAAAAGTACACAAAAGCAAAGTAAAACAGCTTGAGCCATCAAATCATCTGAAGCTAGCGATGGGTGCTTGATGACATTGCGGACCAAGGACATCGGGTCCGAAACGTGCTGATCTTCACATTTTACAGACGACGACATAGGCTTAGTTTGGTCCGCCGTTCATGAGCATCCTCGTTTTGATTTCTTCTACATAACTAAAAAGTAACACGAAAACAACAATACAATGCACCTAAGTCCTTGAGTAGGTTCATGAAATATCAGCAAGTAATATTGCTCACAAGAAAGTTTCCTGTCTCCCAATACACTACAAGACCAGACTTATCATTCACATTTGGTATCTCAAGACTGAACCGCCCATGACCCAGGCTCTATCCAAATAGCTACTGAGACAGATTGGATGAGCTCCCCTTTAACTTAATTGGACGATCTACTGCAACTACAACTATCCTAACTGCTAAAAGGCCGATTTCAAACTACGCCACCGTCAGCAAACAGGATCGCCAGCGGCCGCCAAAGGTTAGATGCCATTATTTCCGAGGCTAATTCCCCCTGTCGCCAAAGGTTGAGTGCCGGTATGTCCGGGACATTCACTCTAGTCTCGCCTTCTTTAGGCCAGATAGATGTTTTCAATACTCAGCTGATGGAATCGGGCTATAAGATAGACACTACCATCAACAGTTACTTAAAAAATTATTTGCTACCGAAATTTATCCTGACATGAACAACACGACCCCATCAATGAACAAGATCCTGCTCAAGAATGGAGTGCTTCTCGTCCACGGAGATGACGGAAAAGTGACCCCTACACGGTCGGACTTGATGATCGAAGGAGACCAGATCACTCAGATCGACAACAATATCGAGGCCGACACCAATGAGGTCAAAGTTTTTGATTGCGAAGAGGAAATCGTGTCGCCTGGTTTCATCAGCACACGCCACCACGTCTGGCAGACCGCCCTCAAGGGTCGTCACGTTAACCACACCCTGCTGGAGTACTTTCCACGCGGCAATTTCAGCGGGCTTTTACTCCATTGAGGATGTCTTTTAGAGAGAGCTAGGTGGTGCACTTGAATCAATTGACGGTGGTATCACCACAGTCGTTGATCACTCCAGTCTGAATATTGGCCCCGAGTATCGATAGTGCATCCCGTTCTTTTAGGACCAGATGAAGTATTGACACTGCACAGCACCGACAATGCTAGAGGCTTTTACTACTTCTGGGATTCGAGCCGTGTACTGATATTGCGTTCCTAGAGTTATCTCCAGCTGGAGTCCGCTTACAGCGCACGATGACTACGCTTCCTCGAGCGGCCATGAATCCTGGAAGTCCCTTGCCGCAAAGGACCCATACGGAGATGGGAGGATTCAACTTGGCTTTGTCGTGGACAATGTTTATCAGTCGGCCGACGAGATGAAGAAGCTGTACTCGGAGCTGCGGGCTGCGAAGGCCAAGGTCATTACTTCTCACTCTGAAACAGGCCTGCCTTTCGGTGATGGGCCGTCTGTGGTACAACTTCTCAACAGCCACGGCCTTCTCGGCTCCGACATCTTAATTTCGCACGCGAACTTTCCCAAAGATGATAACGCGGAGCTGATCGCTGAGCATGATGTCTACATCTCCTCAACTCCCATCACCGAGCCCCAGTTGGGTTGGCCCCCGGTTGGCCTTCTTCCAGAGTTTGAGGCGCATTCCAATCTGGGCGTGGACTGCCACTCTTTTGGCAGCAGCTTCATGCCGAGCCAGATACGCCTCGGCCTACAATACGTCCGCACCGAACGCCAGGAGACCCTCCGCAGATAGGGGAAGTGGAGCCGTCAACTTGGCCCTTTAGCCGAACAGGCCTTTAACCTGGCAACCATCGGCGGCGCCAAGGCAATCGGCATGGCGGGCAAGGTCGGACAGATTGGCCCACCAGCATGGGTGTGCCAATGGGTTCGGGCGCATGGAGTAAAGGTGACCGTGGCAATGGCGGCTTGCTCGTCACGATTGATGAGCTTCATGTAAACGTCGCCCGTGAAGTTGGCCGCTGGCTTTGCGACCGGCGATGTCGGGACTGGAATGATCTTTGACTCTGGCATGTTGGCTGTCGGTGATATGGTCAAGTTGACATTGGTGAAGGAAGAGGTGGGGGGTATCACCAAGAAAGATTACTTACTGGTAGTTGGATACGAGAAATAGCGTGGGAGTTATAATCACGCCATATGCTCCGCTATGTAGGCGATGAGGGAGTGTGACCGAGGACTCTTATTGATTAGATATGATGAGGTGTCACCGTGTAAGCTTTACGATACAGATTAACCTGACGGAAGGTGATCCAAATGTCATTGGGGTTGAAAATTATGAGCGAAAGAAGCTTTTACCGCTTCCAACAACGTCGCTGGCGGCATCTCTCACTGTAAGCATTCTTTCGGGGACTAGGGAATAGTCCAACTGTCTTCCGGGTCAATCAGGATCGTATGTGTATCTGACCAAGTCAGTAGCATTGCCTCATGGAAGCACTAGACCTTTGTCTGCCTACTCACATCCTAATGAGTCTCCTCGTCTTCATAGAAGGACTCGAAGTGAATTCTCGTTCACCAATCACGTCAAAACTTACTATACTATAATCTCTGGGCTCATGTCCACTCCTCTTGGAGGAAATTGGAAACCTCACACTACCTGTATCATTCATGATTCTTTTACATGGAAAATAAACTGTCGCGATAGCTTCATACAGCACCTATCAGGTAGATTATGATGTGCCATATCACGTGGCGTTTCACTCATGACTTGCATCATTTGCCCACGTATAGAATCATTTCTTTGCACATCTAACTTCATAGGAATTAGCCTTTCATGATCTTATTCTTATATGCTCTCTTATGTCCTCTCACTGGTTACACAAAGCCATTATCCCAGCCCATTATCGTCAAAGTTATGATTACTCTCGATGCGTAGCTGTCTTTTCCTGATGTCCCCCCTCCTCGTCACTAGGCACCGAGTATCCAGTTCCGGCGCCGCGCGTGTGTAGTACATTTTCAATCGTGTCATCTCCAGCAATCTCGCGAATATCCGAATCTTCGGTTGCGTCAAAGCTGCGGCGCAGATGCTCGGGACCAATAAATGTGAGGAGGACGACGTATGCAAAGACGCACCCCATAAAAATGCAGATTACCTTGCCGTAGTTGTAGCGCTTCACAACCCCCTCGGGCGCCAGCGGGAACCTCTCACCGAGACGCGCTTCGATGGTCGAGCTGGCGGAGGAGACCAAGTTACCGAGCTGGTATGACGTACCGACGACGAATGTGCGGAAAGCGCCGGGGCTAAGCTCCATCAGATGAATCGGGATGACACCCCACGCGCCCTGCACACAGAACTGCTCAAAGAAGGCGGCGGCCATGACAGCCTCAGTCGTGACGAAGGTGTAGGGGTAGAGCAGCGCGCCGCCGATGACGCAGCAAATCAGGATGCTGAACCGACGGCCGAAGATCTGACTGCAGTAGCCGACGGTGGTGCCACCCAGCATGGCGCCGAGGTTGGCAACCACTTGGGTGATGGTGACTTGGTCCGCGTTGAAACCAAACTGGCTCGACAGCATGGTGGGGTAGAGGTCCTGGCTGCCGTGCGACATGAAGTTGAAGCCAGCCATGAGAAGGACGAGGTACACCAACAGCAGCCAATGCTTGCGAATGGCGACCTTGCCCTCCTTCAGGAAGGTCGAGGTTACGCTTCCGCCGGCGGCCGCTTCTTGTTGACTGGCCGCCTCACGTATGCGCTTGTGCTCGATGAAGGTGTCGGTCTCGGGTAGCATCAGACGGAAGATGATAAACAGTACTGGTGGGCAGGCCCCGAACCAGAAGAGGGGACGCCAGCCATGCGGGGTAGTGTTGACCAACCCCCGGGTAAAGGCGGCTGCCAAGAGGTATCCGAAGGCGTACTGATTGGCAGGCGCTTAGCTCTTCTGACAAACCAACTTGCGCACCAAGAGGGGGCATAGTGAGGATGGGGGGAGGGGTCCGGGTGTGCGCCGGCCCTATCTCAGGAGGACTTACACCTTGCTGCAGGACACCGGACATCATCCCGCGAGTCTCGCTCGGGAGATCCTCGAGAGCCGTGGCTGCTGCGTTGCCGTATAGACCGCCCATGGCGATACCAAAGAGAGCGCGGCACGCGAGGAACTGGTCATAAGTCTGGCAGAAGCCGGTGCCCTGAAAGGATTCACCACCTGTTAGCCTTCCATCGCGACAAGAAACGATAGGGGAATGAATAAGGAGTGTGTGTTGATGTCACCACCAGTCGCTGACGCTAGTAGTAGCGCCGAATAGATTGCCGACTTGAATAGACTAGGTACCACCGTATGGAGAGAGGGGGAATGTGGGGAGCTACAGGGATTCTCTGTGCGTGCAGCCAAGACGGGAGAGGGTGGGAAGGCGAAAGCTTGTCTGATGTGACCATGCTCGGCACAGACATGCCGGTGGGAGCCCATCGAAGGTAGAAGGGGAGGGAAGAAAAGCATGAGTTGTTCCTTACCAGCTCGAGGATGATGAATAGGATATTATTTATCACGAACGGCCATTTTCGGCCATATTTATCAGCAGCGATGCCGAAGATGATCGAGCCGACGGATCGGAACATTAGGACCAGCGTGATGCCCCAAGTAATGTCGGTCTTGGACTTGTCAAAGGTCTTGGAGAGGTCGGTGATGGTGAGCGAGACGGTAAAAAAGTCGAAGGCGTCCCATGTCTACAACAAGATCTCGTCAGTGACCCGATGCGCTCAATGTCGGTGAGGCAGGCCGGGGATTAGATGTTCCACATACCCAGGCGGCAAACGCAACAAAGAAAAAGGCCCATTGACGCCTGTTGATCATCACAACGAGCTTAAACGGGTTCGGTGCGCTTAACATGGGTGGCTTCAAGGTCGTGAGGCGTGTCGTAAGGTAGCGACCGACAGACATGCCGTGCCACGGCTCTTGGCCTGCATGGTGTTCGACAGATGGACTGCGCTCGGGGTCAACCTGTGTCTTTTCGTGCGAACCCTTCATGGTGGCCAATTGCAAGGGTGTACTCCGTAGATATGGGAAAATTAAGGTACAGGTAAAACAGCCAGAGGTGGCCAGTATTTGGCAAGGAGGCAGTCTTATATCAGTACGTTGCAAGCCCTGTGGATGCTGTGTCCCCGCGTGAGAACTTGTTGATCATGAGCGGGGTCTTTCTCGAGTCAGAATAACGCTACCTAGGTCCGACAAAGGACGGGGGCATCCCGGAAGGCACCGGTAACCATACTAGGCAAGGTCGGGACTTCGCCAAACCCATGCATATAAATGGCGGACTCGTGAGCACATTGGATAGGGCATACGCAGCTAAACAGTCAGCTGCTGGGACGTACTCAGCCGGCGTGGATACCACCTCCTACCCCTTCGGCCTTTCTCATGTTGACGAAGAGCCTTCGGAAGATCCGTCGAAAGTCTGTCGAAGCTTTAGAACGCGCTGAAGTGTCACCGCCTGTTTTTATGTCGGTGTTCTGCACGATGGGTTGTCCCGTACGTCATCATCAGACATCGAGCCCAAAATTGAGACGAACTCCGGATGACATTACTAACAGCTTCTGCAATAGAGACAACGTGGAAACGCCCACGGCGGGCCGTAAGCGCCATCGCAGTTACTGATGACTTAGTTAGTTTCTTTTTCATTTTTCTTTGAATCTACCACAAACGGTCTAGCCCAGTTCACCCGGTACATGGACAATACGATGCATGTAACTCTATACGAGGACTTAGTATTTGTCTTTCTTCAATGGCAGCATTGGTGTCTGATCCGTGCACAAGATTGGATCGTGGACTTTGTTGAATTATGGGAGACCATCAGGAAGGAGTAGGCACTTCTTACTCGAAGCGACCCGTGATGGCCTGCGCCATCGTTGCTCAGATGTGTTTGGTGGCCAGGAATGACGGGTTTACCCATCGGCGGGTGGCTGCAGAAATCTTATCTGCATGGATATGTCGGCCGATATTGCCAAGAAAGCTCCGTACAGCAAAGGACTCAACTAAAACACGTTCTTAATGCATAGGCAGCTGTAGCATATGCTGACTGAACTGACAGCTACGTAGTATTTTTTGCCTACTATCCAGCACAATACTTATATCGTATCTGGCCCCGCAAGATGTTTACCACTGGCCAATCCGTTGGTATGCTACTGCTATGCAGCTCGGCTATGCTACAGGCAGCGTGACGCCAGTCTCCTGCTCTAGAAGCTTCAACAACTCGGCTTGCCTCTTCTCATCACTCGTGAACGGTACTGAGTCGTCTTCCTGTCCAGGAGGCTTGAAGTACTTCCCAGTGACATCGCCCGCGCCGGTTCCCTCCGCCAGCAGAACGTAACTTGCGACCCCGTCCTCTGCTTTGCCCGTCGCGCTCTGTCCGCCCATCTTCGTCGGTACCCAGCCGGGATCGACCGAGTTACTCCTCACATCCGGCCAGAGACGAGCAATTGCGTTTGCAAAGGTGGTGATATGCAATTTCGAGTCGCGGTAAGCCTGGTCGTCGTTCCACCCTTGTTCTCCGCGCCCGCGCCAGGTCGGGTCGGTGAAGCTGGAGTCGCCGCTCTTGTGCAGACCGGAAGAGATGTAGATGAGTCTCTTCGGCCTGTTGATCAAGGCGGTCAAAAGATACGGCGCAAATACGTTGACCGCGTACAAGGTAGGCAGGCCCAAGTCCGTTTTGCGGTAGGGACCGCGGTAGAAACCGGCATTGTGAATGATGACATCAAACGTTCCCAGCTTGTTGGCGTCTGCGGCCAGTTTCTTCACCTCGTCGATTTTGGAGAGGTCACCGATCAGGACGGCCTCGGCGTCCGGAACGGCCGACTTAGCCTCTTCGGCCCGCTGGGCGTTGCGAGCGTGGATGACGACCTGGTGGCCTTTTTTGAGGAGCGTGCGGGCTGCAACGGCACCCAGTCCGTCGGAAGATCCTGTGATGAAAATTCGTGCCATGTTGGTGATATTACTTTCGCTTTCCCCCTTGGTTATTCTTGTTTGCTGCCGAATCCCACACAAGAATGATGGCCGGTACAAATACTTATCGATGCCGGGGTTTGTCATGCCATTGATTAATAATGAAACCAAAAGAAATTCCGACGCTCCGCCAAGTCTCCGCAGCTCGCGCCGCGAGCTCACCCGCGAGGGGTTTCGAAGCGTCACTTGGTGGGGACTCCGATACCGCTCGGGTTTCCAACTTAGATGACGACACAATCGCTAGAATGATGTGGTGTTGCATCCACTCAGCTCGGTTCGTTATCGTACGCAAAATTGAACATCTGTGATGTTGATTGTGCAGTATCTTATGGTACGCCAATTCGTGCATCTAGATCGCGTTGGCCCGTGGCTTCTGGTTCCCCGGAAGCTTGGACTGGCTTGTATTCCGATGGTTTTCTAGAGCCTAAGTAGTCGTTGGTTTGCGGTCCAAGCTGTAAAACAGAAATTGGGGCGGGCTTTTTTTGTGGTTGGCCGTCTATTGGCTTTCACTCAAATACGAAGCTTGACACGAGCTTTTCTCAGTAAACGTATACGAACTCGTCATTGCAACTGCTCGTCATGTCTAAGAAAGCATTCTCTCCCAGATGAGCCCCTGATTCATCATTCTGTGCACTAGTGTAAGTATGCTCCATATTTACATCTTTGAATTTTCTCGCCTTTCAGTTCGCAACTCTCTTGAGCTCCTGCATCTTGTTGCAGAGAAGAGATTGACCACCTATAAAGCAGTAATAGCAAGCAGCGCGCGGGCGATGTTCATGACCTTGGTAAGGCCAGGCTTATACTCCGGAGCATCTTTCGTGCAGAAGAGCAGCGGGCCTACGATATTACCGGCAGACGATCCGGCATTGAACAATGACATGATGGCAGACTTCTTGGTGGTGCCGGCAATGTTGGATATTATCCAAGACACAACGAGGGGATTGCCGCCGAAGACGAAAGTAAGCATGTGGTATGCTGTCAACAGCAGAGATACGTAGTTCCGGCCTAGAACGTACAGCATGACGGCAACCGCCAGTAGAGGAGCGAGAATTACCGCTAGGGAAGCCGATTTGATACGGAATTGATGAGCCAAGTATGATGGTGGGAAGATTACCATGAGTTGAACAAAGCCGAAAGGGATGTTGAGCAACGCGGTCTTCTTGCTATTATCATACCCTAAGCCCGAGATGATGATGGGCTCGAAGTTGTTTGTCACAGCGGCAGTGACACCGACGCGGAAGGCCATTGCAATGAAAAGCTAGCTTTTGAGTTCGTAGAGAGCTTCAAATGCCTGGCCCCATTTGATTCCGCGGCTATATGTGCCCGTCTGGTTCGCTCGGAGGCGTTCAATGGCTTGTAGCTTCTCGTGATCGGCGAGGAACCGTGCCGTTGGGATACTGTTGTTCAGGAACATGTACAGCACGGGCGCGGTGAGAACGGTTGCCAGCCGGTCGAAGATGAAGAGAATCTGCCACGAGTGGATGACACCATTGATTTGGCCCAGCCCATATGACACAGAGCAGCAAACATTGTGACAAGACCGTGCTGCCTACCAGAACGCGACGCGCATTGGCTGCTCGGTGCGGCGATACCACTGAAAGGTGATGACAGAGAAGAGAGCGAGGCAGCCGGCTTCAAAAAAGCCACGTAGGAAACGGGTCGCCATCAAGCCAGCGTAGTTGTGGTAGACGGGCCTCAGCAATTCCCGGCCCAACACCAGACAGGGCACCAAGATGCGATGCGGCACCTTGAAGATGAGCCACGTGGGGAAGGACCACCATGAGAGCTGGGCAATGGCCAATTCAAAGCTGACTAGGGAGTATTAGTCACCCGTCAAGTTGCAGTCCTGCCGCAGCCCAAAGACGGCGCCATATCCAAGAACGGACTTATCAAGGATCTGGATGAAGTACACCCAGACGAGGATTGAGAGGACTCGCTCGTCAGTATTCCGAGAAATACGTTTTTGCTGCGGTAAGAATCGGCCCAGTCGAATTCTTGTCGAGGAGCTAGAACTTTGTCCAGTTGAGCGGACTAACGTCTTCTGCTGTGAAACTCAACCTGCTGGTCTCCGATCAGGCTTGTCGCGAGATCAGCACCTCTGAGATCGTTCTGGTACTTAAGATTCAGCTGCGCCGCATCTTCGATGCAGTGTTTATTTAACTTGGGGCGACAGATATCCGGCACGGGACACAAGATCGATGGCCACAAGTGCAGCTTTCTATTGTTCGCGCAAGAAAACTGAGAGTCGAAAGAAGAGAGATGGCGGACGTCTACTTTTTGGTCTCGGTGCTTCATATGGCGATCTCTGGTCGTATGTACTTATAGCTGAACCGTTGTATCGACTATCATCGTGCCCTATTCGACCGCATCGGTCTCGGGAAACAAGAAAGCTCGTACGAGGTTCTTGATTAGGAGCCACCCTCCGTTACGCAGCTGGCGATAGTTCTGTCTGATGCTTATCTATCAGCCTGCGCAGAACGGTATATCGGCAAAAGGCAAGGTTGCAATTCGGTTTCCCTGCACGCAGGGGAGTTGAAAGAAATCCGGTTGTGGTGAAACCTGGCTAAATTACTCGCCGGGCACAGAATGCTCCGAGTACGGGTGTCTGGGCGTGGGCGATTCAAGAAGTGGCAGTATCTAACCACTCTGAGCAAGTGAAGCAGTGTTGCAACCACACATTGAGCCGGCCTACAAACTCAATGCGAATGGACTACCCGGGGGTGCTAGTCAGCCTTCGCCAAAGCTAAACACCCCCTCCTCACGGAGGGGGCGAAAAAAGGGGGGTTGCAGTGAGAAAAGGGGGGTTGCACCTAGTCCCCGCCTTGTCCTACTTTTTGTTATATTCTCACTAAAAACAAGTAATTATTTGGACACGTTGTTGACAGATATTAACAGTAACTAAACTGCCTACCCTACTTTAACCCTTTAATATTGCCTTCTAATGTGATAAGAATATGACTGCTGATAAAAAGGCTGCCGAAGTGGTGTTTGCCGCCAAGCAGCAGGCTAGCCAATTTAATTAGCCCAGCAAGGAGCCGTCTGCTGTACCCTCTATCCGCCAACTTGCCTGGCAGTATAATATATCTGATACTTCTATTCACCGCACGCTCTGAAAGATGGGATAGATAGTTGAAGGGCAACAGGGATTATACCGCAAAATATCCCATATACGCCCCCATCAACACAAAAAAGGAGCAGCAACATATAGTGGATAATGATAAGAGTGATACCTGTATTACAGTGGTAATGTGAATTTGCAGTTATCGTAAGAAAAGGGAAAAGAAATGGTACCGCTGTAAAGTCCTTAATTAACTACTCTTGCTATTATACGACGTTGTGGCGGTTGTTGCTTTAAGAAATGAAAAGTTGACTATACTATATAACGCACGTAAAAGTGAGGGTATTCGTGATGTGGGTGCAACCCCCCTTTTCTCACTGCAACCCCCCTTTTTTCGCCCCCGGGTAAGAAACGGGAGTCTGCCAACCTACAAGGTTAGCTTCGCACGACAGAGGAGTTGCACGCAATTAAGAACCAATGTCAAAGAATTCTGCCGCCATTAATGAAACTATTCATTGCTCAGACTTCTTGAGCAGCTAGAGGTTAGTACTAGTTGAGATAGTATAAATTGTATTTAATGACAGTGTAGAATTCCTGATTCTTTACCCTTCTGGTATAGGTAACTAAGGATAATTCTAAGTTCTATTGGCCTCCTGGCTTTGAAATCGGTTTGCATGCTGCTACTAGTAGGATTTATATCTAGGATCTTGCTAATAAGCTTGTCAGTCAAGCCATACCCGATAGGAACGTTGCAACCTTTGGCGACGTCGATGACTTCTCTCATGAGGCGCTGTGCCATTGGCTTGGCTTCCGGCGATGAGCTCAGCCAGGAGTGTGTGTGTCGAGAAGCGTCAGTGTCGTCAGGGAGTTCCAAGCGGCCTTCCAGACCACCTTCTCCCAACGCTGAACCTGAACGTTGGGCACCACCTGGAAGACGGTCTTGCCCTCCGTCGGTAAAGAAGCAAACTCAGTCAGCCGTTGTTGCTCGACTCCTTGGTTGGGGTCGTTCTTGTATAAACCTATCTGCATATCCTCCGACTTTGTATGCTTGATAAACTCAGGCTAAGTCTGCGCCACTCCTGTCCAAGTCTAACCTGTCAGTACTCAAAGGTCCAGGTTCCCAGAGCCAAAGTCACTCACCACGCATGAGATGATTGTTGTATGGGGGAACGCTTGACGAAACGGCACTTCGTTGCCAACGCCTTTCTGAATAATGACAATTGTTGACTTGTCTTCATCTATCGCCGGGGCGATCTGCGCCGGAACGGCATTCTGCGGGATGGCCTTGTGGGCGCAGACAATGTACTCAGATTTGGCTTCTACCTCCGCTGCATTTCTCAGGACTCTAGAATATCAGCAACGCAAATTTCAAATTATAGGCTCGCGAAATGTAAATATGGGACTTTGTCACGCAGGATATTGCCAACCAACACCGCTTTCCAGAACAACGTCGCTTATTAATCCAACCCTCGCTCCTAAATATAGATACTCGCGGCAGAATCCACCAAGCAAGGCAATATTTAAGGAACATAGATTATAGTACTATAGATAAAAGAAATAAGCTACTTTTAACTATATAAATTACTCTCTTAAATATACTACTTAATAATAGTTATAAGCTTAACTTTAACTTAATTTATAAGTAATAATAACCTTTACTATTATAAAGTAGTATATACTTAAAATACTTTTTTTAAAAACTAATACTTTTTTTTAATTTTATTTTATACCTATAATACCTTTAAAAGTAATAGTAAGTCTATTAACTAACACTTACTTTTATAGCTTTTTAACTATATATAAAGATTAGTTCTTATAGTATATAAAGCTTTACTTCTTAATTACTTAATATAAAGTCTAGTAATTTATTAATCTAGATAGTAAAAAGAAGCTCCTTAAGCACTTAAGAGCACCTATACTAGCTAAATATATTATAAAGTAAAACACTAAACACTAAAAGTAATATAAAGCTAACCTTATAAACTAAAATAACCTCTTAGTTAGCTAGTAAATAAAGTAGTAAAGCTAAAAGCTTATTTAGCTAGTAGTACTAACTATTAATAATAAAGTAATAAAGTAAAAATAAATTATTACTATAAGTAATTTATTTTTTACTAAGCTAAAGATATATAAATAGTAAAAAATAAATAACTTATTATTAAGCTAAGTTAATACTATAGTTATAAAGAAGATTATAAAAAGTATATAGCTATAATTACTAAATAATAATATTAACTTTACTTTTTATATAATTATTTTAAAGATTAAATAATAATATATTTTTTCTTATAATATAGTAAGTAATATAGCCTATAATAATTATAATAAGACTTTTATATATACTTTCTTAATAAATAACTTATTTACTTAGCTTAAAGAATAGTATATTACCTTAATAAAGGCTAAAGTATATAGTATTCCTAAGATCTAAGGCACTTTCCTAATTAAGACCTTCTTATATACTATTAAGTAGTAAATTACTTTCTCTTAGGTAAGTAGTAAGCTAAATAACTTTATAAAGACTAAATAATACAAAGGATAATAAATAACCTTAAGAGAATATAGTAAATTACTAAGTAATTTACTATAAATAATATTTATAAAATCCTATAAAGTAATAAAGGTATATATAACCTTTATAAAAAAAGGTAAACTATAAAATAAAAAGTAGTACTTTAAATACTTTTATAAGAGGTCTAACTACCTATAGAAACCTATTAACTATAAGTATATTAAGTATATACTCTTTAGTAAGTTAAGGATTATTTAGGCTAACCTAAGTAAGTAAGTAGTAAAGGCTATTATTATAAAGCTTTTAAAGCTAAAGTAGTTAAACCTTAAAGGTAAAGTATAAAAGAAGTAAAAAAAGAGAGATTTAACCTTCTTTTATTTATAAGGTACCTTTATTATAATTATTATTAACCTTTGCTTATTTAATAAGACCTTAGCTATACTTCCTTTAACTTTTAGTATATTTTTAACTTTACTTATTAGCCTATATACTTTTAGTAAAAGTACTATTCTTAATAACTATAAAAGTCTTTATATTATAAATAATAAGTTACTCCTTAAGCCTAGCTTTTATAAAATAAATATAGATAATTATTAT